AGGAGACTGCGTGAATCAGGCCTTCATGGTCCAATTGCTGCAAAGAACCCACTACTAAAGGTCACCAATAAGAAGAAGAGACTTGCTTGGGCCAAGAAAAACGAGCAATGGACATGAGACCGGTGGAAATCTGTCCTTTGGTCTGATGAGTCCAAATTTGAGATTTTTGGTTCCAACGGCCGTGTCTTTGTGAGACGCAGACTAGGTGAACGGATGATCTCCGCATGTGTGGTTCCCACCCTGAAGCATGGAGGAGGAGGTGTGATGGTGTGGGGGTGCTTTGCTGGTGACACTGTCAATGATTTATTTAGAATTCAAGGCACACTTAACCAGCATGGCTACCACAGCATTCTGCAGCGATACGCCATCCCATCTGGTTTGTGCTTAGTGGGACTATCATTTGTTTTTCAACCGGACAATGACCATAAACACACCTCCAGGCTGTGTAAGGGCTATTTGACCAAGGAGAGTGATGGAGTGCTGCATCAGATGACCTGGCCTCCACAATCACCCGACCTCAACCCAATTGAGGTGGTTTGGGATGAGTTGGACCGCAGAGTGAAGGAAAAGCAGCCAACAAGTGCTCAACATGTAGGAACTCCTTCAAGACTGTTGGAAAAGCATTCCTCATGAAGCTGGTTGAGAGAATGCCAAGAGTGTGCAAAGCTGTCATCAAGGCAAAGGGTGGCTACTTTGAAGAATCTCAAATATAAAATATATCTTGATTTGTTTAACACTTTTTTTTGGTTACTACATGACTCCATATGTGTTATTTCATAGTTTTGATGTCTTCACTATTATTGTACAATGTAGAAAATAGTAAATATAAAGAAAAACCCTTGAATGAGTAGGTGTGTCCAAACCTTTGACTGGTACTGTATATATTAAGATATTAAGATCATACAGTGGACACCTAAGCCTATAGACCTTTGCATGCAATGCCCTGATACATTTAGTGCTGAAATATCTGACAGCTGAACCGTGAGGTGTGTCGTGAAGAAGTCTAGTCAGTATGACCAGGTGACTCCTCCAGTCTCCAGACAGAGCTATGGTAACGCTGAGACAAGGAAGATGAAGCGGAAGAAGGACAGGAAGAGGCCTCAACCACAGACAGCTGGGGAGAAGCAGAACCCAGTCAGAGACAGAGGAAATGATGGGTGCAGGTAGACTGTATGCAGATGATCCTCTGCCAGAGGGCGGAGGTTCATCTTGTATGGCAACACCCCCGTCAGATCTCGGCGCTGGGATGGAATTGGTAGAGTTACCTGATGGCACGTGGGCCATGAAGCAGATGACACGACGGATTGTCGTCACCTACGAAGGAACCACCGTGGTACCCGACTCTGTGTAGACATCACGTGTAAAGGAATACATGTGTTATGGAACTTTGCTTAAATGTCACGTGAAGGAGGAGGATGTCTTGTGTGGCTGTAGTCAAAGGAGGCATGGGCTTGGGCAATTTAAGGGGTATAAAACCACTATAAAAGATAGGGACCGGAGAGGAGATTCTGGGAAGACAGATCAGGAGCTGATTGATGTATTAGAAGTTAGAAGACTTTTGGGGTAAGGTAAGAACAGAACTTAATTACTATTGTTAGAAGCTACTGCATTGTAATTGCTATATATATAAAAAAATCCATCAGTGGTGAAACTGTGGAACCAAAAGAGAAGTGTTACTGGTTTTCATTAACTAGTTAAATGACTTGTTGAATAAAGTGCTGAAGAAGAACAGTAGCATGATAACAACTACAGTCTCAGGGGGTTCACCTTACGTGTCCCGCGACCAGACCATAATTGTGGGCTCCAGCAGGAAACCACGGGGGAGCTCGAGGGTGACCCTGGGAAGAGCACTGAGTATCTATAGTTTGTCCTTACTCAGATGAAGTGCTGAATCCCTGCTTTCAGTTAAGAATTAATTTCAAGAAATTAGTTTTAGCTGAAACGCTATTACCGGGATTTAGCGAGTGTGACTCACCCGTGAGGGTGTTGTCCGGTCAACTAGAAACGCTAGCAGGAGTGACTGAGACAATGCCGCGTTTATTTAAAAAAAATAGTATAACCCCATGGTTGAACGTATCCTGCATGAAAGGCGAGATAACACGCTAAAATAGCGCAGAGCGGACTATAAATAAATATTGGATTGCTTGTTGGTGTTGTACACAGAAATAGCCCCCGTTGACGCGTAGTATACCGTGTCACAAACTACCCGTGAAGTGTTAACAGTAGGAAGGAGTGAGCTAATCTCTGTGTGGAACAAAGTGAAGCCCAGGGCTCCACTGCGAACTCAGCCTCGGGGAGGGAGACAAGGAGGCCCCCTCACCAGGAAAGAGGCTCATACCGCGGGATGCATTTTTACATGCAAATCTGATTGGATACCGCACTTGATTATGGAAATATCAGCCTCAATTTAACTTCAGAGTTGTTTTTTTCTTTCTGAAGGCTAATCAGGGACATTTTCTGGGACAGCTACAGTGGGGGAAAAAAGTATTTAGTCAGCCACCAATTGGGCAAGTTCTCCCACTTAAAAAGATGAGAGAGGCCTGTAATTTTCATCAACTATGACAGACAAAATGAGAAAAAAAATCCTGAAAATCACATTGTAGGATTTTTTATGAATTTATTTGCAAATTATGCTGGAAAATAAGTATTTGGTCAATAACAAAAGTTTCTCAATACTTTGTTATATACCCTTTGTTGGCAATGACACAGGACAAACGTTTTCTGTAAGTCTTCACAAGGTTTTCACACACTGTTGCTGGTATTTTGGCCCATTCCTCCATGCAGATCTCCTCTAGAGCAGTGATGTTTTGGGGCTGTCGCTGGGCAACACGGATTTCAACTCCCTCCAAAGATTTTCTATGGGGTTGAGATCTGGAGACTGGCTAGGCCACTCCAGGACCTTGAAATGCTTCTTACGAAGCCACTCCTTCGTTGCCCGGGAGGTGTGTTTGGGATCATTGTCATGCTGAAAGCCCCAGCCACGTTTCATCTTCAATGCCCTTGCTGATGGTATCTCACGATACATGGCCCCATTCATTCTTTCCTTTACACGGATCAGTCGTCCTGGTCCCTTTGCAGAAAAACAGCCCCAAAGCATGACGTTTCCACCCCCATGCTTCACAGTAGAGTAGGTATGGTGTTCTTTGGATGCAACTCAGCATTCTTTGTCCTCCAAACACGACGAGTTGAGTTTTTACCAAAAAGTTCTATTTTGGTTTCATCTGACCATATGACATTCTCCCAATCCTCTTCTGGATCATCCAAATGCACTCTAGCAAACTTCAGACGGGCCTGGACATGTACTGGCTTAAGCAGGGGGACACGTCTGGCACTGCAGGATTTGAGTCCCTGGCGGCATAGTGTGTTACTGATGGTAGGCTTTGTTACTTTGGTCCCAGCTCTCTGCAGGTCATTCACTAGGTCCACCCGTGTGGTTCTGGGATTTTTGCTCACCGTTCTTGTGATCATTTTGACCCCACAGGGTGAGATCTTGCGTGGAGCCCCAGATCGAGGGAGATTATCAGTGGTCTTGTATGTCTTCCATTTCCTAATAATTGCTCCCACAGTTGATTTCTTCAAACCAAGCTGCTTACCTATTGCAGATTCAGTCTTCCCAGCCTGGTGCAGGTCTACAATTTAGTTTCTGGTGTCCTTTGACAGCTCTTTGGTCTTGGCCATAGTGGAGTTTGGAGTGTGACTGTTTGAGGTTGTGGACAGGTGTCTTTTATACTGATAACAAGTTCAAACAGGTGCCATTAATACAGGTGACGAGTGGAGGACAGAGGAGCCTCTTAAAGAAGAAGTTACAGGTCTGTGAGAGCCAGAAATCTTGCTTGTTTGTAGGTGACCAAATACTTATTTTCCACCATAATTTGCAAATAAATTCATTAAAAATCCTACAATGTGATTTTCTGGATTTTTAAAACTCGATTTGTCTGTCATAGTTGACGTGTACCTATGATGAAAATTACAGGCCTCTCTCATCTTTTTAAGTGGGAAAACTTACACAATTGGTGGCTGACTAAATACTTTTTTTCCCCCACTGTATATCCGGTCACTGGCCACCAAAATCGGGGACGTCTGGTCACCCTAGGCTTAATTAACAGATTTAGCTAGTTCTGGCTAAACTAACAGGTTAATGAAACAATAATGATTTATGATGTTTAATATTATATACAATATCTAATCACGTTGCAATATGACGATGAAAATAATAGCCTAATATATTCAACATGCTGCAATCTATTGGTTCTTTAACAGTTCGACTCTTCCATCCCTCATCACCCTAATTCCTATGACGCAACCCCTCACTGTTGTCATTGGTTGGACTAATTGCACTGTTTGTCTACATAGTCTGGTTCAAGCGTTCATGACGTTACCCTGAAGAAGGCACAGTCATGCTGAAACGTTGGTGGTTTACCCAATAAATTACTGGGAGCTTGTGTATCGCGTGTGATACTCACTTTATTTTCCATAACAGTTTACTCTCCATTAGTCAGCACCTCATACTAACTATTTTGGGCGTGCTTTTTACTAGGCTATCCGCCACTTTAGCTGCTTAGTCGGTGAACTTGTCTGACACGTCAAAACATCCACTACAGACAAGTTATTTCATTGCAAAACAACAAAAGCCGTTCGACGCCCTAGCCCACAGATGGTCTCTGCTTTGCCGTCATGGGTGAGCGCTGGTACCTTCAACAGGTGGTGAGCTCATCCCATGTATGGCTCAGCCAATCACACAGCGCGTTCTAAACCACAGCTCATTCATATTCATATCTTTGCCCCAAATCTCCTAGGTTCATTCTATTTGCGTACTGGAGTGAGAGGCCAACTAGAATGTGAAACAGTGGATCATTTACTGAATGGTCTATTGATTGATAGAGCAGAGAAGCAGGTTGTTGCAACCGTTATTTATTCAATCAAACACAATTATTAAACATACATATCTGCAATAGGGTACAGTAGCTAATGATATCATGAAACTAATTATTTCATAATCAATGGCTTTGATCAGGTCCTTCAAATAGAGTCAGAGCAGGAGTGAGGCTTGTGTTCTCTGTGTGGTGACGGTCTTTAGCTGTGTGATTCTCCTGGTGGGGAGGTCTCTCCTCACTGTCTGAGCAGTGGTTAGGACACGCTCCTAGGGGAACAGCAAGTACAGGTTACATATAGTACACAATATCGGAAATACACTGCCCTTTGGGACGCAACCTTTAAGATATATGTGTCCCAAATGGTTCCCTATTCGCTATAGAGCTCTGGTCTAAAGTAGAGGATCGGGTGCCATTTGGGACACAGTGATAGTAAGTCCTCATTACTTCATGTTTCTTTAAGGTCACCATCCGCCCTCCTCTTACTAAGTTCAACAGAACTCCCTCCTCTTACTAAGGTCAACAGAACTCCCTCCTCTTACTAAGTTCAACAGAACTCCCTCCTCTTACTAAGTTCAACAGAACTCCCTCCTCTTACTAAGTTCAACAGAACTCCCTCCTCTTACTAAGTTCAACAGAACTCCCTCCTCTTACTAAGTTCAACAGAACTCCCTCCTCTTACTAAGTTCAACAGAACTCCCTCCACTTACTAAGGTCAACATCCTCCCTCCACTTACTAAGGTCAACAGCCTCCCAGTCCACTTCTTCTACTGGGGACTGAATGAATCCGCTGACTTCTTCTTCTTCCTCTTCTTCTTTAACCGTCACCCCAACAGTTTGACTCAAGTCCTCCAGCTCCTCCTCTTCCACTACTTTAATGTTCATCCCCAGTGTCTGACTGAAGGCCCCTCTGTGGTCAGGACCCAGTGACCTGGGTTTGGATCTGGATTGTTCACCTGGATTCTAGAATGAAAACAGTGATGGATAATAAAGGAAGTAACACACCCTCTGAAGATCAGGGTCCGTATTAATAAAGCATCTCAGAGGAGGAGTGCTGATCTAGGATCAGGTCCCCCCTTTGTCCATTCTTTATTTACATTTTAGTCATTTAGCAGACGCTCTTATCCAGAGCGACTTACAGTTAGTGAGTGCATACATTTTAATTTTGTTATACTGGAATCGAACCCACAACCCTGGCATTACAAATGCCATGCTCTACCAACTGAGCTACATCCCTGCCGGCCATTCCCTCCCCTACCCTGGACGACGCTGGGCCAATTGTGCGCCGCCCCATGGGTCTCCCGGTCGCGGCCGGCTACGACAGAGCCTGGATTCGAACCAGGATGTCTAGTCATCTAAGAGGCAAAACTGATCCTAGATCAGTACTCCTACTCTGAGATGCTTGATACATTTGGCCCCTGAAATAGATGACATTAGCTTACAGTAAAATGTGAAAAGTTCATCGTCATTTTCTCCCACCTTGTTGATGTGTGATGTAGGGGGACTTCCTTCACTACCAGAGCCATGGACAGGACTCTCTCCTGTGGAGATAGGTTGGTATTACTGGTTATATATAATGACACTACCAGAGCCATGGACAGGACTCTCTCCTGTGGAGATAGGTTGGTATTACTGGTTATATATAATGACACTACCAGAGCCATGGACAGGACTCTCTCCTGTGGAGATAGGTTGGTATTACTGGTTATAATGACACTACCAGAGCCATGGACAGGACTCTCTCCTGTGGAGATAGGTTGGTATTACTGGTTATAATGACACTACCAGAGCCATGGACAGGACTCTCTCCTGTGGAGATAGGTTGGTATTACTGGTTATAATGACACTACCAGAGCCATGGACAGGACTCTCTCCTGTGGAGATAGGTTGGTATTACTGGTTATAATGAGACTACCAGAGCCATGGACAGGACTCTCTCCTGTGGAGATAGGTTGGTATTACTGGTTATAATGACACTACCAGAGCCATGGACAGGACTCTCTCCTGTGGAGATAGGTTGGTATTACTGGTTATAATGACACTACCAGAGCCATGGACAGGACTCTCTCCTGTGGAGATAGGTTGGTATTACTGGTTATAATGACCACTACCAGAGCCATGGACAGGACTCTCTCCTGTGGAGATAGGTTGGTATTACTGGTTATAATGACACTACCAGAGCCATGGACAGGACTCTCTCCTGTGGAGATAGGTTGGTATTACTGGTTATAATGACACTACCAGAGCCATGGACAGGACTCTCTCCTGTGGAGATAGGTTGGTATTACTGGTTATAATGACACTACCAGAGCCATGGACAGGACTCTCTCCTGTGGAGATAGGTTGGTATTACTGGTTATAATGACACTACCAGAGCCATGGACAGGACTCTCTCCTGTGGAGATAGGTTGGTATTACTGGTTATAATGACACTACCGGAGCCATGGACAGGACTCTCTCCTGTGGAGATAGGTTGGTATTACTGGTTATAATGACACTACCAGAGCCATGGACAGGACTCTCTCCTGTGGAGATAGGTTGGTATTACTGGTTATAATGACACTACCAGAGCCATGGACAGGACTCTCTCCTGTGGAGATAGGTTGGTATTACTGGTTATAATGACACTACCAGAGCCATGGACAGGACTCTCTCCCGTTTCTCATCTGATGAATGGATGGAGGGTCAAAAGTAGTGCACTACTTAGTGAATAGGGTGCCTGTCTCCACTTACTAAGATGAGAAGGGTCCCAGCCGACGTCTTCTCCATCAGAATTGATCAGACCTCCAACTTCCTCCTCCCCGTCTTCCTGTCCCCCAGTGTGACCGAGGTCCTCCCCCATGTGTGTCCGTAGGTGTTTTCTCAGAGCCTGCTCTGTAGGGAGGTCCTGTCCACACACTGGGCAGCGTTGAGACCCTAGGGAAAGGGTTTGTGAACATTAGAATGTTAGCAACAACACTGTATTTGTTTTGTGTTAGCAGCGAAGTAGCTGACAGTCTGAGAAGGTTGTGTGCGGCAAACATAAGTATCTGTTTCGTGTCTAAACTGCCACTACAAATAATAATGTTGCTATGTAGGCTTTCTATTACATTTAGTAAGATTAGTATTTGCAGTTTGAATATTACAGCTAAAAAGCATCAGTAAATAATCCGTAGAAAAATGAGCTATTTGCAGCTTCACCGTAACATTCTGGAATGTTCATTCAAATCGTTCAACTGAAATTGTTACTCTGGCAACATGTTGGCTGTAAAGGGAAGTGTTGTTGAACTCACCTCCTGTCTGGTTCTCTCTTGCGTGGGTCCGGAGGTGGTACTTCAGTGTGGCAGGCTGGGCGAACCTCCTCCCACACAGGCCACAGAAGTACGGCTTCTCCCCTGTATGCACCATCTGGTGTCTCTTCAGGACGTCCGCCTGGCTGAACCGTCTCCCACAGTCAGGGCAGGAGTACGGCTTCTCACCTGATGGATGGACAGATGGGTGGGAAAGACAGACAGACAGTGTCACTCCACAATAATGAGCCATTTACTTTATGTTCGTATTATTATTTTTTATTATTTGTTATTGTTGAGAAGGAACCTGCAAGTAAGCATTTCGTTGGACGGTGTATACCATGTGTATCCCGTGTCCAAGGTACACAAACAACATACCTAACACGGACAAGATCCCACAACCCACTATGCCAATAGCTGCCTAAGTATGGTCCCAATCAGAGACAACGAGCGACAGCTGCCTCTGATTGGGAACCACACCGGCCAACATAGATCTAGAATCCTAGATCCTACAACATAAAACAAACACAACAAGGAACATACACACCCTGACTCAACATATAAGCGTCCTCTGAGTCAGGGCGTGACACATACGACAAATCTGTAATGTATGCGGTCAATTGCTGCATAAAGTTTCAAGTTTGATTAAATAACCACATTGTGGACCACTCAGAGTTTTGAGACGTCGTTAAATCAACCTCACCTGTATGCACTCTCAGGTGGACTTTCAGGTGCCCGTTGTCGCGGAAACCCTTCCCGCACTCAGGGCAGACGCAGGGCTTCTCTCCCGTGTGAGACCTAAATCAAATCAAACTTTATCTAAAATGCATTTAAAATCGCAACAGACTTAACAGTAAAACAACAAAGAGATCAAATCCGAACAAATAAATGACCTCTGGTGCATCTTCAGGCTGTCCTTCTGGGTGAAACTGGCACCACACTCCTGGCACTGGTAAGGCTTCTCCCCGGTGTGAATCCGCTGGTGTTTCTTCAAGTTTCCTATCTGAGCAAAGCCCTTGCCACACACAGAGCAGGAGTAGGGCCTTTCTCCCGTGTGCGTTCGCTGGTGCACTTTCAAAAATTCATTTTGGGTGTAACTCTTGCCGCAGATGGAGCAAGAATAAGGTCTCTCCCCCGTGTGTGTCCGTAGGTGAACCCTAAGACTTCCCTTCTGGGTGAAGCTCTTCCCACACACAGAGCAGGAGTGAGGCTTCTCTCCGGAGTGTATCCTCTCATGTTCTCGGAGGCCTCCTGAGTGGGCGAACCTCTTGCCACAGTCAGAGCAGGAGTAGGGCTTCTCCCCTGTGTGTACTCTCTGGTGTCTAACCTTATGGAACACAATGGAAATAAGTCATTGACTTGTTTGGTGTTATCACGTAAGGTTTCATGTACTGTGTGTATATGTACTTTTTAAAACTGCCCAATAAAACCTATCAAACTCACCAGGTCACATGGGCGGGAAAACTCTTTCTCACAGTCCGGACAACAGTGAGAAAAGGTCTTGGTTGGTTCTGTTTGGTTCTCTTGATCAGGTTCTCCTGATGCAGGGGGGCTGTGGGATGGGGACGGGCTGGGCTGGTTGTCAACAACATCCTAAAAAAACGGTGAAGGGCGGAAGGCAGCCTTGACTACTAAGTTCTGGAGAGGGGAACATTTGTTTTGTTGTGGTAGACTATGAGTGTTTTGTTGTGGTAGACTATATGAGTGTTTTGTTGTGGTAGCCTATATGAGTGTCTTGTTATGGAAGCCTATATGAGTGTTTCGTTATGGAAGCCTATATGAGTGTTTTGTTATGGAAGCCTATATGAGTGTCTTGTTGTGGTAGCCTATATGAGTGTCTTGTTGTGGTAGCCTATATGAGTGTCTTGTTGTGGTAGCCTATATGAGTGTTTTGTTATGGAAGCCTATATGAGTGTCTTGTTGTGGTAGCCTATATGAGTGTCTTGTTGTGGTAGCCTATATGAGTGTCTTGTTGCGGTAGACTATATGAGTGTCTTGTTGTGGTAGCCAATATGAGTGTTTTGTTGTGGTAGCCTATATGAGTGTCTTGTTGTGGAAGCCTATATGAGTGTTTTGTTGTGGTAGCCTATATGAGTGTTTTTTGTGGTAGCCTGTATGAGTGTTTTTTGTGGTAGCCTATATGAGTGTTTTTTGTGGTAGCCTATATGAGTGTTTTGTTGTGGTAGCTTATATGAGTGTCTTGTTGTGGTAGCCTATATGAGTGTTTTGTTGTGGTAGCCTATATGAGTGTCTTGTTGTGGTAGCCTATATGAGTGTTTTGTTGTGGTAGCCTATATGAGTGTTTTTTGTGGTAGCCTATATGAGTGTTTTTTGTGGTAGCCTATATGAGTGTCTTGTTGTGGTAGCCTATATGAGTGTCTTGTTGTGGTAGCCTATATGAGTGTCTTGTTGTGGTAGCCTATATGAGTGTCCAAGACTTTGATCAGGGAATCAGGGCCTGTATTTCACAAAGCACCTAACAGTAGGAATGCTGACATCAGACCCTCCTTGTCCAGGTAATCCTAAGGCAAAACTGATCCTAGATCAGTGTGTTTATGTTAGTGCTTGGTAGGAACAAAAGACTGCACCCACCCACTCTGCAGATAAGATTGTCCTTGCCTTACAAGACCCACCCAGTGGCATGGTGTCAAAGTTGCGACTACAGACTGACTGAGCAGCAGCAGTAAACAAACGGGACAGTTTGATACTTTGTCAAATTGACAACCACACTCAAATCAGTTTCCAGATGACGGAGCATAAAAGGACCTAGCATAACCTGTTCGCGCTATTACGCCAACTCTTGTCACTTATTGTCATGCAATTACAGCAATGGAGTTTTCACAAACAGATTAAGGGACAAAGCTTGCCCATTCATGTACTGTGATGCATTGGAGTCAGAATAGCTAGGACAAGGCTAGTAGATTTGGCTGGCTAGCTAACGGGAATTCGTCCCTCCCGTGTCTTACCTCGTCCATTGTTGGTCGGTCAGAACCGAGAGGAGTGAATTCTGCCGACATGTTATTGATTGTTGTTGTTCTTTTGCGTTCACTTCAGCTCGAGGTCACTCACGTCAGTTGAACAACTTACTGGTCGTGAAACGATTTGAAACCTAGCCAGCTGGCTAAACGAAGGCTATACATGCAGAAATCATATATGTTGCCATTTTAACAGTAACTAGCCAGCTAAACTGTTTTGAATTGAGGTAAATAAGCCGACTGGCTGCATTACTGCATCACCGTACTTCCGGGTATGATTATTCTGCATGAGTAAACTACCTGGTGCAATAGCGCCACCTTGTGTGCAGGAGTGACAAGGCAGGCACTGCAAGTCGCTTACAACCTGCAGTAATCTTCTTCTATGATATAATGGCGGTCCGCAAACCAACGTTAAAGGTGCATGCCGCCACCTACTGTGTTGGAATGTGTTGTCAATCACGGTTTACAACATTTCTAAATCATCCAACCTAACTCAGTATTTCTGGGAAAATAAAAAAGATCCCTACTAACTTCTAATAGACTCTCCCCCATCCCCAAAATCCCTTCCAACCCCCCCCCCCCAACCTCAATGACCCTACACTTCAATCTTTCCCTCTCTTCAACATACTTAAGACAATATAACAACACATGCTCCACCGTTTCATCGACCATTCACATGCTTGCCAATCAGATGTAACGTCCTAAGCGCAATCGAGCAAACACCACCTCTTCCTTCATAATCTGACCTTTGAATCTTGGTCCACCGACCTTTCTTTGGAGGGCATATAAATGCCGGCCCTTGTGCTCAGAGTCCCATCTCTTCTGCCACACATCTATCAAAATGGCTCTGATCTTACATTTGGCCTCACCTCTACCCAGTGGAACATTAATATCAATTATATCTAGTTTCAAAGCTCTTTTGGCTAACTGGTCTACAATTTCATTCCCTTCCACACCCGAATGTGCTGGGACCCAGCAGAATCTCACTACTGGCCTCCCGAGTGCCGCAGCGGTCTAAGGCACTGCATCACTACAGCCTGGGGTTCGATCTCAGGCTGTGTCACAACCGGGAGTCCCATAGGGCGGCGCATAATTGGCCCAGCGTCGTCCGGGTTAGGGGAGGGATTGGCCGGGGGGGGGGGGCTTTACTTGGCTCATCGCGCTCTAGCGACTCCTTGTGGCGGGCCGGGCGCCTGCAGGCTGACTTCGGTCGTCAGTTGTACAGTGTTTCCTCTGACACATTGGTGCAGCTGGCTTCCGGGTTAAGTGAGCGGGTGTTAAGAAGAGCGGCTTGGAGACCTTCGCCTCTCCCGAGCCAGTTGGGGAGTCGCAGCGATGAGACAAGATCATAATCACGAAATTGGGGAGAAAAAGGGGGTAAAATGTTAAATAAAAATCTCACTACTACACCCATTCTCTCAATTCTCCATAATAACATGAATACCTCCAATAGTAGGTCACTCCTATTAGATTTACCAGATGATAAACTATTCAAGACAGAGCATACTATAATTCTAACAGGTTGTTCGTCCTCCACCCACTGGAGGGCGACTATTTATCGCCAACAGTTCAACTGAGTATACTGACAGTTCCCCTGCAGAAATCATAGTAAACACTTCAATATAGCCCGGTTACATTTTCTGCACGCCATATAAAGCCCCACGTTTACCAAGCCCGTCTTTTAAGCATAGCAAATAAAACCGTATCCTTGATATCCATCAGCTTGGCTCGGTAGTGTGAAAAGAGCATGCATAAAATGGCACTGTAAACAGAAACTGTTTTTATAGATCCATAGATGAAGTTAGAGGCAGTTTCTTTAGCTTATGTATTCACTCATCATGATACACCTTGCTTACTAGCTTATGGCAGCATAATGACCTGAATGATAGCATGGACGGAGCCACAGCTCGCTCTCTGTGCTCAAATGTCATGGGATTGAACATTTTATTTGGATGATACACAATAAAAGAACATCATTATTACATAACCTATTAAACAATCATTTCAACTGGGTTCCTCACACTGGATGGGGTGGACTGAGAACAAGCATTCCACGATTCCAATTTAGAACACCGCTCCTTCGGGAACTGTCTAGCGGACATATTGGGTGTACTTCCTGGTTCAAGTTCAATAACAAACTCACAACGGCACTGATCATTTCATCTCTCGGTCAGAACTGTGTGCTTTCTTCAAGTGGAATTTAGAACCATGTCCATTGTAACTGTTCCAACCGAGCCTATAGTTCTTCATCATGAGGTTAATAGTTGTGTTTGTCCACCCTGCTAACATCACTCATAGTGCTACTGTCAACACTAACTGATAAAGCCTCCCCATTCTTTCCCCCAACAGAGTAGGGTGAAGTTGCCCCTAGATGCTGGATCTTGGGTCAGCTTTGCATTTCCCCCACTAATGGTTAAGGTTAGGATTCGGGCAGGGGAAGCTGATCCTAGATCTGTGCTTGTGGGAAACTTCACCCAGCATCTGTCTCCTCCCAAGCAGCCTGTGTCCTGCGTCAGAATTCTGTAAATCATTTAGGTGGAATTTAGATCTCTGTCTATTCCAATAGTTCTCATTCTATTGTTTGATGGCATTTAGATCTGTCTATTCCAATGGTTCTCATTCTATTGTTTGATGGAATGTAGATCTGTCTATTCCAATGGTTCTGATTCTATTGTTTGATGGAATTTAGATCTGTCTATTCCAATGGTTCTCATTCTATTGTTTGATGGAATTTAGATCTATGTCTATTCCAATGGTTCTCATTCTATTGTTTGATGGAATTTAGATCTGTCTATTCCAATGGTTCTCATTCTATTGTTTGATGGAATTTAGATCTGTCTATTCCAATGGTTCTCATTCTATTGTTTGATGGAATTTAGATCTATGTCTATTCAATGGTTCTGATTCTATTGTTTGATGGAATTTAGATCTGTCTATTCCAATGGTTCTGATTCTATTGTTAGGTGGAATTTAGATCTCTGTCTATTCCAATGGTTCTGATTCTATTGTTTGATGGAATTTAGATCTCTGTCTATTCCAATGGTTCTCAGTCTATTGTTCTCCTGTCTGATGATGAAGTGTATCATTGTTTTTGTCCAGCTCACTAACATCCCCTATAGGAACACTAGGCTTATCATGTGTTATTGTCAAAGCCTCCTGGTTCTTCACTCCATCGCCCATCTCCTCTCCAGCATCAGTGGGTGTCCTGTCACTGTGGTGTGTCCGTTGGTGAGCCCGTAGCTTCTGAGAGCGGACGTATCTCTTCCCACAGTAATCACAGCTGTATGGCCTCTCCCCTGTATGAACTCTGTGGTGTATCCTGAGGTCTGACGCTCTAGAGAACCCTCTCCCACAGACCAGACACAGGTGAGGCTTCTCTCCACTGTGAGACTGCTGGTGCTCCCTCAGATGTCCTGATTGGGTGAAACTCTTCCCACACACAGAGCAGGAGTAAGGCTTCTCTCCAGTGTGTGTGAGGAGATGTCGTCTCATGGCTCCCTGGTGAGCGAACTTCTTGCCACAGTCGGGGCAGGGGTACGGCTTCTCTCCCGTGTGGATTCTCATGTGGATCTGTAGTACTGAGAGCTTATAGCATTCTCTGCCACACACTGAGCAGCAGTGGGATATCTTAGTTTTCTGATTCTCCTGGTGTTCAGGATGTTCTGATGTAGGGGGACTCTCTTTGCTGTCTAAGCCACGGTTGGGGCTTTCTCCTGTGTGAATAACAGAGTGGGTTAGGTATTGAGGCAAGCAAGTCGACATTAATTCGTGGTCTGTATCCCAAATGGTACCTTATTCCCTATGAAGTGCATTCATTTTGTCCAGGATCCTGGTCACTATATAGGAAATAGAATGCCATTTGGGACACATACTGGGTATTTTAGATAACCGTTCTGCCTCCACTTACTATGTTGAACAGACCACCAGTCACCGTTCTGCCTCCACTTACTATGTTGAACAGACCACCAGTCACCGTTCTGCCTCCACTTACTATGTTGAACAGACCCCCAGTCACCTAAAGAACAGTCAGCGTTCTGCCTCCACTTACTATGTTGAACAGAACCCCGGTCAACTAAAGAACAGTCAGCGTTCTGCCTCCACTTACTATGTTGAACAGAACCCCGGTCAACTAAAGAACAGTCACCGTTCTGCCTCCACAAACTATGTTGAACAGAACGACATTCAACTAAAGAACAGTCAGCGTTCTGCCTCCACAAACTATGTTGAACAGATCCCAGTCAACTAAAGAACAGTCAGCATTCTGCCTCCACTTACTATGTTGAACAGACCCCCAGTCACCTAAAGAACAGTCAGCGTTCTGCCTCCACTTACTATGTTGAACAGACCCCCAGTCAGCGTTCTGCCTCCACTTACTATGTTGAACAGAACCCAGTCAGCGTTCTGCCTCCACTTACTATGTTGAACAGAACCCCAGTCAACCAAAGAACAGTCAGCGTTCTGCCTCCACTTACTATGTTGAACAGAATCCCAGTCAACTAAAGAACAGTCAGCGTTCTGCCTCCACTTCCTATGTTCAACAGAAATCCCAGTCAACTAAAGAACAGTCAGCGTTCTGCCTCCACTTACTATGTTGAACAGACCCCCAGTCACCTAAAGAACAGTCAGCGTTCTGCCTCCACTTACTATGTTGAACAGAACCCAGTCAGCGTTCTGCCTCCACTTACTATGTTGAACAGAACCCCGGTCAACTAAAGAACAGTCAGCGTTCTGCCTCCACTTACTATGTTGAACAGAATCCCAGTCAACTAAAGAACAGTCAGCGTTCTGCCTCCACTTCCTATGTTCAACAGAAATCCCAGTCAACTAAAGAACAGTCAGTGTTCTGCCTCCACTTACTATGTTGAACAGAATATGAACAGTCAGTGTTCTGCCTCCACTTACTATGTTGAACAGACCCCCAGTCAACTAAACAACAGTCAGCGTTCTGCCTCCACTTACTATGTTGAACAGAACCCCGGTCAACTAAAGAACAGTCACCGTTCTGCCTCCACAAACTATGTTGAACAGAACGACATTCAACTAAAGAACAGTCAGCGTTCTGCCTCCACAAACTATGTTGAACAGATCCCAGTCAACTAAAGAACAGTCAGCATTCTGCCTCCACTTACTATGTTGAACAGACCCCCAGTCACCTAAAGAACAGTCAGCGTTCTGCCTCCACTTACTATGTTGAACAGACCCCCAGTCAGCGTTCTGCCTCCACTTACTATGTTGAACAGAACCCAGTCAGCGTTCTGCCTCCACTTACTATGTTGAACAGAACCCCAGTCAACCAAAGAACAGTCAGCGTTCTGCCTCCACTTACTATGTTGAACAGAATCCCAGTCAACTAAAGAACAGTCAGCGTTCTGCCTCCACTTCCTATGTTCAACAGAAATCCCAGTCAACTAAAGAACAGTCAGCGTTCTGCCTCCACTTACTATGTTGAACAGACCCCCAGTCACCTAAAGAACAGTCAGCGTTCTGCCTCCACTTACTATGTTGAACAGAACCCAGTCAGCGTTCTGCCTCCACTTACTATGTTGAACAGAACCCCGGTCAACTAAAGAACAGTCAGCGTTCTGCCTCCACTTACTATGTTGAACAGAATCCCAGTCAACTAAAGAACAGTCAGCGTTCTGCCTCCACTTCCTATGTTCAACAGAAATCCCAGTCAACTAAAGAACAGTCAGCGTTCTGCCTCCACTTACTATGTTGAACAGACCCCCAGTCACCACTGGTGTCCCCCAGGGCTCAGTTCTAGGCCCTCTCCTTTTCTCCCTATACACCAAGTCACTTGGCTCTGTCATATCCTCACATGGCCTCTCCTATCATTGCTACGCTGACGATACACAACTAATCTTCTCCTTTCCCCCTTCTGATAACCAGGTGGCGAATCGCATCTCTGCATGTCTGGCCGACATATCAGTATGGATGACGGATCACCACCTCAAGCTGAACCCTGGCAAGACGGAGCTGCTCTTCCTCCCGGGGAAGGACTGCCCGTTCCATGATCTCGCCATCACGGTTGACAACTCCGTTGTGTCCTCCTCCCAGAGTGCGAAGAGCCTTGGCGTGACCCTGGACAACACCCTGTCGTTCTCCGCCAACATCAAGGCGGTGACCCGATCCTGCAGGTTCATGCTCTACAACATGCGGAGAGTACGACCCTGCCTTACACAGGAAGCGGCACAGGTCCTAATCCAGGCACTTGTCATCTCCCATCTGGATTACTGCAACTCGCTGTTGGCTGGGCTCCCTGCCTGTGCCATTAAACCCCTACAACTCATCCAGAATGCCGCAGCCCGTCTGGTGTTCAACCTTCCCAAGTTCTCTCACGTCACCCCCCCTCCTCCGCACACTCCACTGGCTTCCAGTTGAAGCTCGCATCCGTTACAAGACCATGGTGCTTGCCTATGGAGCAGTGAGGGGAACGGCACCTCCGTACCTTCAGGCTCTGATCAGTCCCTACACCCAGGCGAGGGCATTGCGTTCATCCACCTCTGGCCTGCTGGCTCCCCTTCCTCTGCGGAAGCATAGTTCCCGCTCAGCCCAGTCAAAGCTGTTCGCTGCTCTGGCACCCCAATGGTGGAACAAGCTCCCTCACGACGCCAGGACAGCGGAGTCACTCACCACCTTCCGGAGACATTTGAAACCCCACCTCTTTAAGGAACACCTGGGATAGGATAAAGTAATCCTTCTACCCCCCCCCCCCCCCCCCCCCCACCCAAAAAAAAAAAAAAAAAAGTATAATTGTAAAGTGGTTATCCCACTGGCTATAGGGTGAATGCACCAATTTGTAGTCGCTCTGGATAAGAGCGTCTGCTAAATGACGTAAATGTGCCCTTGAGCAAGGCACTTAACCCTAATTGCTCCTGTAAGTCGCTCTGGATAAGAGCGTCTGCTAAATGACTAAAATGTAATGTAAATGTAACTAAAGAACAGTCAGCGTTCTGCCTCCACAAACTATGTTGAACAGATCCCAGTCAACTAAAGAACAGTCAGCGTTCTGCCTCCACTTACTATGTTGAACAGACCCCCAGTCAGCGTTCTGCCTCCACTTACTATGTTGAACAGAACCCAGTCAGCGTTCTGCCTCCACTTACTATGTTGAACAGAACCCCAGTCAACCAAAGAACAGTCAGCGTTCTGCCTCCACTTACTATGTTGAACAGAATCCCAGTCAACTAAAGAACAGTCAGCGTTCTGCCTCCACTTACTATGTTGAACAGAACCCAGTCAGCGTTCTGCCTCCACTTACTATGTTGAACAGAACCCCAGTCAACCAAAGAACAGTCAGCGTTCTGCCTCCACTTACTATGTTGAACAGACCCCCAGTCAACTAAACAACAGTCAGCGTTCTGCCTCCACTTACTATGTTGAACAGAACCCCGGTCAACTAAAGAACAGTCAGCGTTCTGCCTCCACTTCCTATGTTCAACAGAAATCCCAGTCAACTAAAGAACAGTCAGCGTTCTGCCTCCACTTACTATGTTGAACAGACCCCCAGTCACCTAAAGAACAGTCAGCGTTCTGCCTCCACTTACTATGTTGAACAGAAACCCAGTCAACTAAAGAAGAGTCAGCGTTCTGCCTCCACTTACTATGTTGAACAGATTCCCAGTCAGCGTTCTGCCTCCACTTCCTATGTTCAACAGAAATCCCAGTCAACTAAAGAACAGTCAGCGTTCTGCCTCCACTTACTATGTTGAACAGACCCCCAGTCACCTAAAGAACAGTCAGCTTTCTGCCTTCACTTACTATGTTGAACCGAATCCCAGTCAACTAAAGAACAGTCAGCGTTCTGCCTCCACTTACTATGTTGAACAGAAACCCAGTCAACTAAAGAAGAGTCAGCGTTCTGCCTCCACTTACTATGTTGAACAGATTCCCAGTCAACTAAAAAACAGTCAGCGTTCTGCCTCCACTTACTATGTTGAACATAATTCCAGTCAACTAAAGAACAGTCAGCGTTCTGCCTCCACTTACTATGTTGAACAGACCCCCAGTCAACTAAAGAACAGTCAGCGTTCTGCCTCCACTTACTATGTTGAACAGAACTCCAGTCAACTAAAGAACAGTCAGTGTTCTGCCTCCACTTACTATGTTGAACAGAACTCCAGTCAACTAAAGAACAGTCAGCATTCTGCCTCCACTTACTATGTTGAACAGAACCCCAGTCAACTAAAGAACAGTCAGCGTTCTGCCTCCACTTACTATGTTGAACAGACCCCCAGTCACCTAAAGAACAGTCAGCTTTCTGCCTTCACTTACTATGTTGAACAGAACCCCAGTCAACTAAAGAACAGTCAGCGTTCTGCCTCCACTTCCTATGTTGAACAGAATCCCAGCCAAATTCTTCTCCTTCAGAATTGATGAAACCACCAACTTCCTCCTCCTCTTCCTCTTCTACAATATGAGCGTTCATCCCAGGTGTTTGAGTGCTGTCCTCCTCATGGCTTCGATCAGGACCCTGGGACTCTATAGCTTTGGTGCTGGATTGGTCACCAGGATCCTACAATGAAAACATAACAACATCATTAACCACGTTAGAACTCTATTTATAAACGCAATACAAGAAAGACTTCTATTCCATCCTTTCAAGACCTGAAAACTAAAACATCAGCTTTGAAGGTGGAGCACCTTTCTTATTTTTTATCATATGAAATGTTCGTCGTCATTTTCTCCCACCTTGTTGATGTGTGATGTAGGGGGACTTCCTTCACTACCAGAGCCATGGACAGGACTCTCTCCTGTGGAGATAGGTTGGTATTACTGGTTATATATAATGACACTACCAGAGCCATGGACAGGACTCTCTCCTGTGGAGATAGGTTGGTATTACTGGTTATATATAATGACACTACCAGAGCCATGGACAGGACTCTCTCCTGTGGAGATAGGTTGGTATTACTGGTTATAATGACACTACCAGAGCCATGGACAGGACTCTCTCCTGTGGAGATAGGTTGGTATTACTGGTTATATATAATGACACTACCAGAGCCATGGACAGGACTCTCTCCTGTGGAGATAGGTTGGTATTACTGGTTATATACACTGCTCAAAAAAATTAAGGGAACACTAAAATAACACATCCTAGATCTGAATTAATGAAATAATCTTATGAAATACTTTTTTCTTTACATAGTTGAATGTGCTGACAACAAAATCAAACAAAAATTATCAATGGAAATCAAATGTATCAACCCATGGAGGTCTGGATTTGGAGTCACCCTCAAAATTAAAGTGGAAAACCACACTACAGGCTGATCCAACTTTGATGTAATGTCCTTAAAACAAGTCAAAATGAGGCTCAGTAGTGTGTGTGGCCTCCACGTGCCTGTATGACCTCCCTACAATGCCTGGGCATGCTCCTGATGAGGTGGCGGATGGTCTCCTGAGGGATCTCCTCCCAGACCTGGACTAAAACATTCGCCAACTCCTGGACAGTCTGTGGTGCAACGTGGCGTTGGTGGATGGAGCGAGACATGATGTCCCAGATGTGCTCAATTGGATTCAGGTCTGGGGAACGGGCGGGCCAATCCATAGCATCAATGCCTTCCTCTTGCAGGAACTGCTGACACACTCCAGCCACATGAGGTCTAGCATTGTCTTGCATTAGGAGGAACCCAGGGCCAACCGCACCAGCATATGGTCTCACAAGGGGTCTGAGGATCTCATCTCGGTACCTAATGGCAGTCAGGCTACCTCTGGCGAGCACATGGAGGGCTGTGCGGCCCCCCAAAGAAATGCCACCCCACACCATGACTGACCCACCGACAAACCGGTCATGCTGGAGGATGTTGCAGGCAGCAGAACGTTCTCCATGGCGTCTCCAGACTCTGTCACGTCTGTCACATGTGCTCAGTGTGAACCTGCTTTCATCTGTGAAGAGCACAGGGCGCCAGTGGCGAATTTGCCAATTTTGGTGTTCTCTGGCAAATGCCAAACGTCCTGCACGGTGTTGGGCTGTAAGCACAACCCCCACCTGTGGACGTCGGGCCCTCATACCACCCTCATGGAGTCTGTTTCTGACCGTTTGAGCAGACACATGCACATTTGTGGCCTGCTGGAGGTCATTTTGCAGGGCTCTGGCAGTGCTCCTCCTGCTCCTCCTTGCACAAAGGCAGAGGTAGCAGTCCTGCTGCTGGGTTGTTGCCATCCTACGGCCTCCTCCACGTCTCCTGATGTACTGGCCTGTCTCCTGGTAGCGCCTCCATGCTCTGGACACTACGTTGACAGACACAGCAAACCTTCCTGCCACAGCTCTCATTGATGGATGTGCCATCCTGGATGAGCTGCACTACCTGAGCCACTTGTGTGGGTTGTAGACTTCGTCTCATGCTACCACTAGAGTGAAAGCACCGCCAGCATTCAAAAGTGACCAAAACATCAGCCAGGAAGCATAGGAACTGAGAAGTGGTCTGTGGTCACCACCTGCAAAACCAGTCCTTTATTGGGGGTGTCTTGCTAATTGCCTATAATTTCCACCTGTTGTCTATTCCTTTTGCACAACAGCATGTGAAATGTATTGTCAATCAGTGTTGCTTCCTAAGTGGACAGTTTGATTTCACAGAAGTGTGATTGACTTGGAGTTACATTGTGTTGTTTAAGTGTTCCCTTAATTTTTTTGAGCAGTGTATAATTACACTACCAGAGCCATGGACAGGACTCTCTCCTGTGGAGATAGGTTGGTATTACTGGTTATAATGAGACTACCAGAGCCATGGACAGGGCTCTCTCCTGTGGAGATAGGTTGGTATTACTGGTTATAATGACACTACCAGAGCCATGGACAGGACTCTCTCCTGTGGAGATAGGTTGGTATAACTGGTTATAATGAACCGGTTAGTTGCCACGTGCCAAACTTTATTAACCATTTAATCAAAACTTTGCATTTAACAAATTTACCAACGTCTTACATTTTTGTCTTCGCACTACTTTGTTCATTCAACTTTTTCACCCCGGACGCTTTATCTGGACATGGTTCTACAGGACCTCCACCAGCCCAAAAAGCTAAGTAGTAACATTAACACTGTGGCATCTAATTGCAGTCGCTGTACTCATCATTTACTGGAGAACTAAAGCCTTATGGTGAGTATAGCCGAGTTGCAAGCCCAGCTTCAGACGCAATCGTTTGGCAAGGGCAAGATAAGTGCAGGAAAGGATGAAACAGCATCTGTGCCACCAGTAAGTACAGATAGTAGTATAAATCCCCTCGCACAGTCCCCGCAGACGGACAATTTTCTCAAGGCTTCTGGAAAGAAATGCTGTCGGCATGCTCAACCGGTGTTGCTCATTCAGCAGACAGAAACTTGCAACCGGTTCTTCCCACTAAGCAACGAGTTGGAGTCAGAGGCCGAGCCTTCTCAGGTCTCTCCTCCACCCGTTACCGGGTCTGAGCCGCCGAAGCCTCCCACTATTAGCTCTGACAAATTGAAAACCCTAGTCAACCCTTAGACTTTAAAATAATCATCCAGCGATCATGCACTTGTTTTCCGAGGGGGCTTGGCTACCGACGTAAAGGCTAATCTGAAGAGGGTGCTGGCTAAGGCTAAAACTGGTGAATGTAGAGAGTATAGGTATATTGTTATCCACGATGTTAAGATGAAACAGTCAGAGGTCACAAAGCGCAACATAGTCTCACAACTCAATCGCTGGTTGAAAACAGTTTTCTGCCTCTCCTAAAAGATACAATTTGTAGATAAGAGGGCCTCACCCACAAACAGGACCAAGCCTGGCCTGCTGAGGAGTGACGGACTCCATCCTAGCTGGAGGGGCGCGATCATCTTATCTATCAACACAGACAGGGCTCTAACTCCTCTAGCTCCACAACGAGATAGGGTGCAGGCCAGGCAGAAGCCTGTTAGCCAGCCTTAGTGGAGTCTACCGCTAGCACAGTCAGTGTGGTCAGCTTAGTTTTCCTCAATGAGACCAGGTCTGTGCCTCAATCTAGGTCGGGAAAATCTAAACATGGCGGTGTTCGCCTTAGCAATCTCACTGGAATAAAGACCTCCTCCATCCCTGTCATTTTTTAAAGAGACTGTGATAATACCTCACAACTCAAAATAGGACTACTTAATGTTAGATCGCTCACTTCCAAGGCAGTCATAGTCAATTAACTAATTACTGATCATAACCTTGATTTGAATGGCCTAACTGAAACATGGTTTAAGCCTGATTAATTTACTGAGTTAAATGAGGCCTCTCCTCCAGGTTACACTTGTGACCATATCCCCCCGCGCATTCCCGCAAAGGCGGAGGTGTTGCTAACATTTTTGACAGCAAATTTCAATTTATATAAAAAATATAAAAAATGCTGTTTCGTCTTGAGCTTCTAGTCATGAAATCTATGCAGCCTCCTGGGCCATATACAGCGTTCCTCACTGAGTTCCCTGAATTCCTATCGGACCTTGTAGTCTTGGCAGATAATATTCAAATTTCTGGTGACTTCAATATTCACATGGAGAAGTCCACAGACCCACTCGAAAAGGCATTCGGAGCCATCATCGACATCATGTCCAGCATGTCTCCGGACCTACGCATTACCACAGTCATACTCTGGATCTAGTTTTGTCCCGTGGAATAAATATTGTGGATCTAAATGTTTTTCCTCATAATCCTGGACTATCGGACCACCATTTTATTACGTTTGCAATCGCAACAAATAATCTGCTCAGACCCCAACCAAGGATTATCGCTATAAATTCTCGGACAACCCAAAGATTCCTAGATGCCCTTCCAGACTCCCTCCACCTACCTAAGGACGTCGGAGTACAAAAATCTATTAACCACCTAACCGAGGATCTAAATTTAACCTTGCGTAATACCCTAGATGCAGTCGCACTTCTAAAAACAAAAAAACATTTGTCACAAGAAATTAGCTCCCTGGTATACAGAATATACCTGAGCCCTGAAGCAAGCTTCCCGAATATTGGAACGGAAATGGTGCTCCACCAAACTGGAAGTCTTCCGACTAGCTTGGAAAGACAGTACAGTGCAATATGGACGAGCCCTCACTGCTGCTCCATCAGCCTACTTTTCCGACCTGATTGAGGAGAATAAAAACAAGCCAGAATGTATTTTTGATGCTGTCACAAAGCTAACTAAAAAGCAGCATTCCCCAAGAGAGGATGGCCTTCACTTCAGCAGTCATGAATTCATGAACTTCTTCTTCGACGAAAAGATCATGATCATTAGAATTACGGACTCCTCTTTGACTCTACGTATTTCTCCAAAACTCAGTTGTCCTGAGTCTGCAAAGAACTGCCAGGACCTAAGATCAATGGAGACACTCGAGTTTCTTAATCCTGTATCTCTCGAAAAACATTCACGAAAATAGTAATGGTCTCTAAACCTTCCAGCTGCCTACTAGACCCTACTCCATCTAAACTACTGAAAGAGCTACTTCCTGTTCCCTATCCACTGGATGTGTACCAAACTCACTAAGAGTGGCCTCTCCTGAGAAAGCCAAACCTTGACCCAGAAAATTAAAAAACGATCAGCCTATTTCGAATTTCCCATTCCTCTCAAATGTTTTTGAAAAAGCTGTTGCGCAGCAACTCACTGCCTTCCTGAACACAAATAATGTATACGAAAGTCTGGTTTTAGAACCATCATAGTACTGAGACTGCACTCATGAAGGTGATAAATGACATCAGACCAAGGCTCAGCATCTGTCCTCGTGCTCCTAGACCTTAGTGCCGCCTTTGACACCGTCGATCACCACATTCTTTTGGAGAGATTGGAAACCCTAATTAGGCTACACGGACAAGTTCTTGCCTGGTTTAGATCGCATCTGTCGGAAAGATATCAGTTCGTCTCCGTGAATGGTTCCTCAAGGTTCCGTCTTAGGACCACTATTGTTTTCACTATATATATATTCTACCTCTTGGTGATATCATTCGGAAACACAATGTCAACTTTCACTGGGTTGTTATTATTGGTTATAATGAGACTACCAAAGCCATGGACAGGACTCTCTCCTGTGGAGATAGGTTGGTATAACTGCTTATAATGACACTACCAAAGCCATGGACAGGGCTCTCTCCTGTGGAGATAGGTTGGTATTACTGGTTATAATGACACTACCAGAGCCATGGACAGGACTCTCTCCTGTGGAGATAGGTTGGTATTACTGGTTATAATGACACTACCAGAGCCATGGACAGGACTCTCTCCTGTGGAGATAGGTTGGTATTACTGGTTATAATGACACTACCAGAGCCATGGACAGGACTCTCTCCTGTGGAGATAGGTTGGTATTACTGGTTATAATGACACTACCAGAGCCATGGACAGGGCTCTCTCCTGTGGAGATAGGTTGGTATTACTGGTTATAATGACACTACCAGAGCCATGGACAGGACTCTCTCCGTGGAGATAGGTTGGTATTACTGGTAATGACCACTACCAGAGCCATGGACAGGACTCTCTCTGTGGAGATAGGTTGGTATTACTGGTTATAATGACACTACAGAGCCATGGACGACTCTCTCCTGTGGAGATAGGTTGGTATTACTGGTTATAATGACACTACCAGAGCCATGGACAGGGCTCTTCCCTGTGGAGATAGGTTGGTATTACTGGTTATAATGACACTACCAGAGCCATGGATAGGACTCCTCCTGTGGGAATAGGTTGGTATTACTGGTTATAATGAGACTACCAGAGCCATGGACAAGGACTCTCTCCTGTGGAGATAGGTTGGTATTACGGACTCTACTGTGGAGATCATTTGTGAGTAAAATAATTGGGGGTTGTGTCCTAAATGGTACCCTATTCCCCATTGGTCAAATGGTACCCTATTCCCCATTGGTCAAATGGTACCCTATTCCCCATTGGTCAAATGGTACTCTATTCCCCACTGGTCAAAGGGAATAGTGTGTCAGTTGGAACGCATCATCGACACAACTGATTGAAGAAGTGTCACCATTCTGCCTCTACTTACTGAGATCAGGGAAACGCCAGCCGACTTCCTCTCCTTCAGCAACCTCCTCTTCTTTCTCCTCCTTCACTTTCACTGGCAGGCAGAGAGAAAGACAAAGCATTCCTTTGTTCATTTATTCAACTATGACACAGCTATTGATGGATAGGTATCTTTAGTTTTTTCCTAATCATCATCATCATCATCATCATCATCAGATCGGGCCATGTGGTCAGGAAAACCTCCTGGGGACAGTTTCCCGGACACAGAATAGGCCTAGTCCTGGACTAACAAGCATTCTCAATGGGTCTAGTCCTGGACTAACAAGCATTCTCAACGGGTCTAGTCCTGGACTAACAAGCATTCTCAACGGGTCTAGTCCTGGACTAACAAGCATTCTCAACGGGTCTAGTCCTGGACTAACAAGCATTCTCAACGGGTCTAGTCCTGGACTAACAAGCATTCTCAACGGGCCTAGTCCTGGACTAACAAGCATTCTCAACGGGCCTAGTCCTGGACTAACAAGCATTCTCAATGAGCCTAGTCCTGGACTAACAAGCATTCTCAATGAGCCTAGTCCTGGACTAACAAGCATTCTCAACGGGTCTAGTCCTGGACTAACAAGCATTCTCAATGGGTCTAGTCCTGGACTAACAAGCATTCTCAATGGGCCTAGTCCTGGACTAACAAGCATTCTCAATGGGTCTAGTCCTGGACTAACAAGCATTCTCAACGGGTCTAGTCCTGGACTAACAAGCATTCTCAACGGGTCTAGTCCTGGACTAACAAGCATTCTCAATTCTCAATTCTCCATTAAAAGCTCTTATTAACCCAGGTCTAGGCTCACTATGTGTTCGGGACACCCCCAGCCCCCAGTCCTTTATGCATTGTTTATTATTAATACATTCCCTTCCTATTCACCCTGGATAGTAGCTGCCCTCTCCACCTCACCTCCACCACCCCCACCTTGTGTCCTCTGGTGAGTCAGCTTGTGAGCCCGGAGATTCTTTGACCTGATGTAGCTCTTGCCACACTCGGCACAGCGGTAGGGCCTTTCTCCTGTGTGAACTCTGTGGTGTATCTTCAGATCTTCTGCTCTGATGTACTGTTTCTGACAGATCAGACAGTGGTGTTTCTCTCCGGAGTGAGACTGCTGGTGCTCTTTCAGATGACCTGATTGGGTGAAACTCTTCCCACACACTGAGCAGGAGTAAGGCTTCTCTCCAGTGTGTGTGAGGTGGTGTCGTCTCATGGCTCCCAGGTGAGCGAACTTCTTGCCACAGTCGGGGCAGGGGTACGGCTTCTCTCCTGTGTGGATTCTCATGTGGATCTGGAGTATGGATAACTTTTGGCAGTGTCTTCCACACACTGGACAGGTGTGAAATGTATTGGGTTTCTGCTGATTCTCCTGGTGCTGTTTAGCTACTCCTGATGGAGGTTGTCTCTCTCCTGTGTGAATGATAGCACTAATGGGTTATAACAGTTTTATTGGTGGAAATAAATTAACTCAAAAACACAGAATGATACTGTGTTGTTAACAACACATATGGGTTAGATCAGTGTTTCTCAATCCTGGTCCCAAGGACCCAAAGGGGTGCACATCTTTTTTTTTTTTTGCCCTAGCACTAAAACACCTGATTCAAATCACGGGTTGATGATGAGTTGAATTAAGTGTTTGAGTGCTAGGGCAAAAACTCAAACGTGCACCCCTCTGGGTACCCAGGACCAGGATTGAGAAACACTGGGTTAGATGATGAACATAAATAATTCAACGATAAGTCATGTTCTTTTAGATCACCATTCTGTCCCAAACATTCCAATTCCAAACATTCCAATTCCAAACATTCCAACAATTCCAACTTACTAAAAAGAGAATCCCAGTCAACTTTAAGCAGCTTGGGACCCTGCAGTGTTCTCTGGTTCCTGCCAGGATCTGGTGACCGTCTGGGTTTAGGTCGAGTGGGACAGGAGATAGACAGGCTGGGTCTGCCATCACCGTCCTAAAATACATTTTTACATTTACATTTTAGTCATTTAGCAGACACTCTAATCCAGAGCGATATACAGGAGCAATTAGGGTTAAGGTCCTTGCTCAAGGGCACATCGGCAGATTTTTCACCTAGTCGGCTAGGGGATTCAAACCAGTGACCTTTCAGTTACTGTCCCAATGCTCGTAACCGCTAGGCTATCTGCCACAGATACAATAATTAAACATTAGAGGGATCATGTCTGATTTAAACTACAATGCATTATTATACTACTACGGCCATGAGTTTTACCCTGACAATGCATTATTATACTACTACGGCCATGAGTTTTACCCTGACAATGCATTATTATACTACTACGGCCATGAGTTTTACCCTGACAATGTATTATTATACTACTACGGCCATGAGTTTTACCCTGACGATGTATTATTATACTACTACGGCCATGAGTTTTACCCTGACGATGTATGCGTCCCAAATGCCTATTTAGTGCAATCCTTCAGTCCTATGGGCCCTGGTCAAAAGTATTGATCTGATCAGGAAACACTCCACAGGGCCTAGAGTGCTCCTGGCCAGGTCACGTGGTCTTTAGTCAGGGGATACATCTGCGGCCTATAATATGAATCTGACAGACAACTAAAGATTACATTACACTGCATGACATTTACTAACATGACCTACTGTACTGGAGTATAACGATCATTAGATGGAACAATAACTTAGGAGTCAACTGACAGCTTGCCTTGATATTATACGATAACTAACCACTAACATTTGGTATGACAACAAACCATGGCGTTAGCTAGCTACCTAGCGAACGTTTGTTACTAGACGTGCGCTTTCTCACCTCATCCATTGTGAATCGACCCAACAGTTCTTCAGGAGACTTTGGGGTTTGGAGAAATTGCCACTGAAACCCACTGTCACCTCAGAACGGGGTCGGCTCAGTTGTCGTGAAAATATTACAGCTAACTTGCTAGCTAGCTAACGTTAGCTAAACAAGCTAAGTTACCAATGTTGTTTTGTGCCTCTTCGCGTCTAGCTCGTTAGAATTACATAATGTTTTTTGACAGACGGGCGAATGTCTATGCCAATCACAACCGTATCAGAAATGGCATATCGACATATTTTATCAGTATTTTGAAGTGAAGTAGCTAGCCGAGCTAGCTAACTAGCGCCTGCATCCGCCTACTTCCGGGATAGACTCTTCTTCGGTCAGTGAGCAGCTTTTGGAGGAGAAAGGCAGGAAACGGGAGGGAGGGGGTCAACTGCCTGGTAAACTGCCATAGACCCTAGTGACATTAATTCTAATATAATTGATTCATAAATCTAGGGAAAAGAGCTTGTTTTTAAGGCGTATTTATTCAATCATGACATTTATTGTGCCTAGGCATCAGTGAGTGGTATTTCATGTGTTGGCTACAACCCCACCGAGTTTATTATTAGCACCACCAGAACTTGGACAAATACAAATATGATAAAAATGTGAAGGGATTTAACATATTTGCATGATTGAGATGTATTGTGGGGATCTATTTTCTTATAATTAGATGTGATGCCTAGCTTAAAAATAATACATTAATGATTAAACATAATAGGTTTGTGCTGTACTGATATAGATTGTTTAACATAACAAGCTGTGATTAATGTGAGGAACCGTTAGGGGGTAGGCTGAGATAGACTTGTGACTCACACACACACACACACACACACACACACACACACACTGCCTCTTTGTTAAACTGCTCAAGGACATGTGTACTGCTACAATGAAGAAGTGCTGACTTTCTAGACAAGTTGCAGAAACAACTAACGCCTGGCAACAGGGATGCGCCAAGGGCCTGGGACCAGCCTGTGCGCCATCGATAGGTTGGGTAAGTTTAAACCACACCCAGCCTCTACTCTGACAGGCCCAGCCTGGAGCAGGAACTATCTCTGTCAGAGTATTAAAGAAGAACCTTGGGTTGAAAAAGTTAGTTCTCTGTCTGCCCTGCGTGGTGTTTCAGTGAGCCCGTATATACGAACATCATATTTACCATTGAAGTGTTTTGCATTAATTAAAATACTAGTATATCTTAAAATACGTGTGTTCACCTCTTTTGTTCCAATACCAGATTCGAATTGACGCAACTTGACAGTATACAATAAAGAACAGAATAATTACAGAATCTCTTCAGTCAGGTTCTTCAAACAGAATTAATGTGAAGAACATTTTTATTGTAATTCAAAGGAACGTTCATGGTCAGTAGACGGGTTGTTTAGCAACTAAACCAATGAGTCCACAACTGGGGCAAAACAGGCGGGGTTGGCTTAGACTGTTGACAACATGTAAACTACATTTATTCTCCAAATGTTTATTGAAAACATAAATACATTTGCACAATGAGCACTTGTTTGTCTCTCAAATACATCGTTACAGTTGTTGGTTAGCTAGCTAGTGGATTTTAGCCATATTGGCATAGATGAGACATGGGTCAAAACAAGACATGGTTTCAAGAACAAGATAAAACTAGCTGAAATGAACGAGCTACGATTTCCCACACGGCAGCTTCTTGTCATTGTCGCTTGCTATATGACGTTCAGAATCATAACAACACATGGCGTTCTGCCCCATCATGTTTGTGACTATCAGGCAAGCCTTCTATACACTATATATACACAAAAAGTATGTGGACACCCCTTCAAATTAGTGGATTCGGCTATTTCAGCCACACCCGTTGCTGACAGGTGTATAAAATCGAGCACACAGCCATGCAATCTCCATAAACAAACATGGCAGTAGAATGGCCTTACTGAAAAGCTCAGTGACTTTCAACGTGGCACCGTCATAGGATGCCACTTTTCCAACAAGTCAATTCATCAAATTTCTGCCCTGCTAGAGCTGCCCCGGTCAACTGTAAGTGCTGTTATTGTGAAGTGGAAACGTCTTGGAGCAACAACAGCTCAGCCGCGAAGTGGTGGGCCACACAAGCTCACAGAACAGGACCGCAGAGTGCTGAAGCGCGTAGCGCGTAAAAATCGTCTCTCCTCGGTTGCAACACTCACTACCGAGTTCCAAACTGCATCTGGAAGCAACATCGCAAAAAGATCTGTTCGTCGGGAGCTTCATGAAATGGGTTTCCATGTGCCCGACTGACAAATCTAGGTTGGGCAGATGCCAGGAGAACGCTACCTGCCCCAATGCATAGTGCCAACTGTAATGTTTGGTGGAGGAGGAATAATGGTCTGGGGCTCTTTTTCATAGTTTGGGCTAGGCCCCTTAGTTCCAGTGAAGGGAAATCTTAATGCTACAGCATACAATTATATTCTACACAATTCTGTGCTTCCAACTTTGTGGCAACAGTTTGGGGAAGGCCTTTTCCTGTTTCAGGATGACAATGCCCCCGTGCACAAAGTGAGGTCCATACAGAAATGGTTTGTTGAGATCAGTGTGGAAGAACTTGACTGGCCTGCACAGAGCTCTGCCCTCAACCCCATCGAACACCTTTGGGATGAATTGGAACGCCGACTGCGAGCCAGGCCTAATCGCCCAACATCAGTGCCCGACCTCACTAATGCTCTTGTGGCTGAATGGAAGCAAGTCCCCGCAGCAATGTTCCAACATCTAGTGGAAAGCCTTCCCAGAAGAGTATGAGGCTGTTATAGAGGCAAAGGGGGGGGACCAACTCCATATTAATGCCCATGATTTTAGCAATGAGATGTTGGACGAGCAGGTGTCCACATACTTTTGGTCATGTAGTGTATGTTTTAGCTCAAACTCAATTTCTCGACACTAATCATTTAGTCTCTCACACTTTGCTGCCCTCCTCTGGTAGAATTTAGAACTACAGTAAGCCCATTCTATTGGTTCTTGGTCTACAGATCATCATCGCAAAGACTCTTGCTGAATCACAAATGACACCCTATTCCCTATGTAGTGCACTAGTTTTGATCAGGGCCCGGTATTTAGGGAATAGGGTGCCATTTGGGACGCAGGAAAATCCTAATGTGGAAGGCTAGCCCTGGTTTTGGTCCATCCTATCCTAATGTGGAAGGCTAGCCCTGGTTTTGGTCCTCCTATCCTAATGTGGAAGGCTAGCCCTGGTTTTGGTCCTCCTATCCTAATGTGGAAGGCTAGCCCTGGTTTTGGTCCTCCTATCCTAATGTGGAAGGCTAGCCCTGGTTTTGGTCCTCCTATCCTAATGTGGAAGGCTAGCCCTGGTTTTGGTCCTCCTATCCTAATGTGGAAGGCTAGCCCTGGTTTTGGTCCTCCTATCCTAATGTGGAAGGCTAGCCCTGGTTTTGGTCCTCCTATCCTAATGTGGAAGGCTAGCCCTGGTTTTGGTCCTCCTATCCTAATGTGGAAGGCTAGCCCTGGTTTTGGTCCTCCTATCCTAATGTGGAAGGCTAGCCCTGGTTTTGGTCCTCCTATCCTAATGTGGAAGGCTAGCCCTGGTTTTGGTCCTCCTATCCTAATGTGGAAGGCTAGCCCTGGTTTTGGTCCTCCTATCCTAATGTGGAAGGCTAGCCCTGGTTTTGGTCCTCCTATCCTAATGTGGAAGGCTAGCCCTGGTTTTGGTCCTCCTATCCTAATGTGGAAGGCTAGCCCTGGTTTTGGTCCTCCCTGCTAGCATCAACTCCAGAGGCAGCCTCCCTCTCCTCTTCATCACTGATACTAATAGAATCCTCTTCACTCTTCACCCCTGCAGCCAGGTCCTCCCCTGTCCCAGGCCCAGGGTCTGGTAGTGAGCTGCTGTGACATTTCCTCTGATGGGCTCGGAGGTTCTGGGTTCGTACGTAGCTCTTCCCACACTCCTCACAGCTGTACGGTCTCTCTCCAGTGTGGGTCCTGAATCAATCAATAACATCAACGAATGACTGAATCAGTCAGTCAGTCGATCAAAATGTATTTAATAAAAGCCCATTTAACATCAGTAGTTGTTCTCAAAGTGCTTTACCTGAAGTGAGCGACGAGGGCCGTAGCTTTGGAGAAGCTCCTCCAGCAGACGGAACAGTCATGCTTCTCCTCGCTGTAATAACAATAAATACATTCTATGTGTAGAGCGCTTTTTATTACACACAGAAATCACAAAGGTTGCGTTTACACAGGCAGCCTAATTCTGATCTTTTGCCCAATTATTGCCCAACGAGCTGGGCCATATTCACACCGCTTCTCAGAGTAGGAGTGCTGATCTAGGATCAGTTTGGCCATTTAGATCAAAATGAATAAGATTATAATCGGCACTTCCACTCTGAGAAGCTTTGTGGCCCAGATCTGATGCACATCAGCAACAGCTGTAGAAATGCTTTAAAAAAGGGCTAAAAGCTATTTAGCCCCCAAAATATGTGTATGACTAATACTGCAAGATAAGCAGACTAAAAAGGAGCCAGCAAAGACTAAACAGCAGAACGCTAAACTTAACATAGAACCAACCTGTGTGTTCGCTCGTGTTCTCTCAGTCGCCCTATCTGGGTGTAGCTCCTCCCACACACAGAGCAGGAATAAGGTTTCTCTCCGGTGTGCGTCAGCAGGTGTCTCTTCATAGCCCCCGAGTGAGCGAACGTCTTCCCACAGTCGGGGCAGGGGTAAGGTTTTTCTCCCGTGTGCACTTTCTGGTGGTCGCGGAGGGCTGTTCTTTCACGGAACTGTTTCCCACACACGGAGCAAGGGTACGGCTTCTCTCCCGTGTGGATCTTCATGTGCTTTTGTAGAGCTGATAGCTTCTTACAGTCTCTTCCACATTCTGGGCAGCAGTGGGACTTCCTGGCTTCGCTGTCAGATCGGTGGTCGGAACTCTCTCCTGTCAAGTCAGAATTGCAGTATTTAGGCTGTGTCCCAAATGGCACCCTATTCCCTATGTAGTGCACTAGGGCCCATATGGTCTGGTCAAAAGTAGTGCACTGCAAAGGTAATAGGGTGCCATTTGGAACACAAACCTAAAGTGAATTTTACATGGTTCACAACAACACTCCTTAAAATCATTGAAAAGGAATCAAAGAACGCAGTAAAATTGGGGAAAAGGTCATGTGGAATTCCATATTAGAACTCATCATTTAATAGGAACTCTGTGGAGACAACAACCTGTGTGTCTCTTCTGGTGTCGCCGTAGGTTAGAGATGTTGGCAAAGTCTTTCCCACATTTGAAGCAGTGGTGAGACTTGGCCTTTGTGTTGTTGTGGTTGTCCTGGTGTTGTTCAGGTTCTCCTGATGTAGAGGGATGGCTGACACTCTGTCCTGTGTTGATGAAACAGTATGGGTTAGATAACGAGTGAAAAGTCAACTGTAATTTAAGGTTTATTTGAACATCATGGTACAGACATAGAAACAGACATAACATGTGATGTCATACAATACATAAAACACAGATGAAAAGATCTGATCTGACTAGAATATACCGTATGTGGACAGAGCATCATCAAAATTCTAACTGTCAACATTCTATCACTTACTGATACGATGACGATCCCAACCGATTTCTTCTCCGTCTGAATTGATCAGACCACCAACTTCCTCATCATAATCATCTTCTTCTTGATCTTCAACTTGGTTCTCAAACATTTCCGAAACCGACTTCGGGCCCTGCAATGCTGAAGATCCAGGACCCGATGGCTCTTCTTCCAGAATGGAGGCGTCGTCACTTACCTGTAGTCCATCTCCAGCGTGGCTTTTTCTGTGTCTCAGGAGACTGCCAGACTGAGAGAAGCTCATCCCACAGTCAGGGTGAGGGCAGGGGTAGGGTTTCTCTCCAGTGTGGGTCCTCTCATGTCTGTCCAACTTTCCCTTCCGGGAGAACAGCTTCCCGCACACAGAGCAGCTGAACGGTTTCTCTCCTGAGTTAGAACAAACATATTTAAGTGTCCATCTCCACAATATTACAGCAATTGGCGATACTAGCGCTGACTTACAATGACTGTGATAAGTGGTTGTCTTACAGTGCCTTGCAAAAGTATTCATCCCCCTTGGCGTTTTTTCCTATTTTGTTGCATTACAACCTGTAATTTAAATGAATTTTTATTTGGATTTCATGTCATGGACATGAATTGGTGAAGTGAAATGGAAAAAAAAATTACTTGTTTCAGAAAATTCTAAAAAATAAATAACGGAAAAGTGGTGCGTGCATATGTATTCACCCCCTTTTGCTATGAAGCTCCTAAATAAGATCTGGTGCAACCAATTACCTTCAGAAGTCACGTAATTGGTTAAATAAAGTCCACCTGTGTGCAATCTAAGTGTCACGTGATCTCAGTATTTATACACCTGCTCTGAAAGGCCCCAGAGTCTGCAACACCACTAAGCAAGGGGCACCACCACGCAAGCGGCACCATGAAGACCAAGGAGCTCTCCAAACAGGTCAGGGACAAAGTTGTGGAGAAGTACAGATCAGGGTTGGGTTATAAAAAAATATCAGAAACTTTGAACATCCCACGGAGCACCATTAAATCCATTATTTTAAAAAATGGAAAGAATATGGCACCACAATCTGCCAAGACTCACGGACCAGGCAAGGAGTGCATTAATCAGTGAGGCAACAGAGACCAAAGATAACCCTGAAGGAGCTGCAAAGCTTCACAGAGGAAATTGGAGTATCTGTCCATAGAACCACTTTAAGCCGTACACTCCACAGAGCTGGGCTTTACAGAAGAGCGGCCAGAAAAAAGCCATTGCTTAAAGAAAAAAATAAGCAAACATATTTGGTGTTCGCCAAAAGCTATGTGGGCGACTCCCCAAACATATGGAAGACGGTACTCTGGTCAGATGAGACTAAAATTGAGCTTTTTGGCCATCAAGGAAAACGCTATGTCTGGCGCAAACCCAACACCTCTCATCACCCAAACTGAGCAATCGGAGGAGAAGGGCCTTGGTCAGGGAGGTGACCAAGAACCCGATGGTCACTCTGACAGAGCTCAAGAGTTCCTCTGTGGAGCTGGGAGAACTTTCCAGAAGGACAGCCATCTCTGCAGCACTCCACCAAGCCACTCCTCAAACAAGATTCTCTGGTCTGATGAAACCAAGATTGAACTTTTTGGCCTGAATGCAAGCGTCACGTCTGGAGGAAACCTGGCACCATCCCTATGGTGAAGCATGGTGGTGGCAGCATCATGCTGTGGGGATGTTTTTCAGCGGCAGGGACTGGGAGACTAGTCAGGATCAAGGGAAATATGAACGGAGCAAAGTACAGAGAGATCCTTGATGAAAACCTGCTCCAGAGCACTCAGGACCTCAGTCTGGGGCGAAGGTTTACCTTCCAACAGGGCAACGACCCTAAGCACACAGCCAAGACAACGCAGGAGTGGCTTCGGGACAAGTCTCTAAATGTCCTTGAGTGGCCCAGCCAGAGCCCGGACTTGAACCCGATCGAACATCTCTGGAGAGACCTGAAAATAGTTGTGCAGCAACGCTCCCCATCCAACCTGACAGAGCTTGAGAGGATCTGCAGAGAATAATGGGAGAAACTCCCCAAATACAGGTGTGCCAAGCTTGTAGCGTCATACCTAAGAAGACTCGAGGCTGTAATCGCTGCCAAAGTTGCTTCAACAAAGTACTGAGAAAAGGGTCTGAATACTTGTAAATTAAATATTTCAGTTGTTTTATTTGTAATAAATGAGCAACAACTTCTACAAACCTATTTTTGCTTTGTCATTATGGGGTATTGTGTGTGTAGATTGATGAGGGGAAAAAAACTATTTAATCCATTTTAGAATAAGGCTGTAATGTAACACAATGTGGAAAAAGTCAAGCTGTCTGAATACTTTACGAATGCACTGTATATAAAACAACCATCTAGTGTACTATGTAGGGAGTAAGGTGTGATTCAGCCTCTACACCAACAACCATCTAGTGTACTATGTAGGGAGTAAGGTGTGATTCAGCCTCTACACCAACAACCATCTAGTGTACTATGTAGGGAGTAAGGTGTGATTTGGGATTCAGCCTATACATCAACAACCATCTAGTGTACTATGTAGGGAGTAAGGTGTGATTCAGCCTATACACCAACAACCATCTAGTGTACTATGTAGGGGGAGTAAGGTGTGATTCAGCCTATACACCAACAACCATCTAGTGTACTATGTAGGGGGAGTAAGGTGTGATTCAGCCTATACACCAACAACCATCTAGTGTACTAGGTAGGGAGTAAGGTGTGATTCAGCCTCTACACCAACAACCATCTAGTGTACTAGGTAGGGAGTAAGGTGTGATTCAGCCTCTACACCAACAACCATCTAGTGTACTAGGTAGGGAGTAAGGTGTGATTCAGCCTATACACCAACAACCATCTAGTGTACTAGGTAGGGAGTAAGGTGTGATTTGGGATTCAGCCTATACATCAACAACCCATGTACTGCCATTGTTCTTCTGTAATTCTGTACGTTTTGTCACCAATAATTATTCTACTTACTGAAGAGAGAATCCCAATTAACTTCTTCTCCTTCGGAATTAATCAAACCACCAACTTCCTCCTCCATCTCTTCTTCCTCCTCCTCCTCTTCTTCTTCACTATCGATATATTTGGTAGATGTTTGACTGCAGCCTTCACCGTAGCCTTGGTCAGGACCCGGAGAGCTTTTATCTTTGACAACGGTTCCCTAAAATGGCAGAAGTGTCACGCAGTACGTTGAGTTAAGTGACAAGTTTAGTTAAAACATTTCTTCCATCCTACACTGAGGACCACGTTGGAAATAAGTGTATTTAATGCTTTATCCTCAGGGATTTCTTTGTACTTTTAAACTGTACAAATGTTGTACCCAAAAATCTATCTCAATCAATCAATTAATCCTGTTAGTGACATCGTATTCCCCCACCTGGTTTGAATAGTCTACAGGTGTAGTCTGATGATTTACCAGAGCATCACCTCCAGCAGTCTGAAATCCCCCAGTAACAGCAGCAGACCCCTCTCCAGTGTGGGACTGTCTGTGTTTCCTCAGGTTTGCTGTTGAGTTGAAGTTCTCCCCACAGACAGAGCACTCGTAAGGTCTCTCCCCGGTGTGCATCCTGCGATGGACCTGTCAAGTCAGAATTGATTTAAAGCGCATATTAGATTGGTCAAAACACACTTCACATCATTAAAGGGATTAAAATAATGTAGGGAAAAGGGAATATGGAGATAACAAGTGAACTACGTCGGTGAGTACATAACCCGCCTCTACCCTCCGTTCTATTGGCGAACGTACAATCACTGGAGAACAAACTGGATGAGCTCCGTTCGAGACTATCCTATCAACGGGACCTGAAGAACTGTAATATCCTATGTTTCTCGGAGTCGTGGCTGAACAAGGATATGGATAATATACATCTAGCTGTTTTTTCTATGCATTGGCAGGACAGAACGGCAGCGTCGGGTAAGCTGAAAGGGGGAGGAGGTGTGTGTCTCTTAACAACAGCTGGTGCTCGATCTCTAATATGAAGGTTCTGCTCGCCTGAGTTAGAATACCTCATGATAAGCTGTAGACCACATTATTTACCAATATAGGGGCCATAAGCAAACAAGAAAATGCTCATCCAGAGGCGGCGCTCCTAGTGGCCGGTGATTTTAAGGAAGTACCAGTGATGCGCTCAATACGGAAGTGGTCCGATGAAGCGGATGCTAAGAAGCTACAGGACTGTTTCGCTACCCCACAGACTGAAATATGTTCCAGGATTGAGGAGTTCAGGAATTTACCACATCAGTCACCAGCTTCAAGTGAACCATCAAACAGGCAAAGCGGCAATACAGGACTAAGATCGAATCCTACTACATCAGCTCGGAAACTATCACGGATTACAAAGCGAAACCGAGCCGAGAGCTGCCCAGTGACGCTAGCCTACCAGACGAGCTAAATGCCTTCTATGCTCGCTTCGAGGCAAGCAACACTGAACCATGCATGAGAGCATCAGCTGTTCCGGACGACTGTGTGATCACGCTCTCTGTAGCCGATGTGAGTAAGACCTTTAAAACAGGTCAACATTCACAAGGCCTCAGGGCCAGATGGACTACCAGGATACATACTCAGGTCTGACCAGCTGGCAAGTGTCTTCACTGACATTTTTCAACCTCTCTCTGAGCCAGTCTGTAATACCTACATGTTTCAAGCTGACCACCATAGTCCCTGTGCCCAAGAAGGCCAAGGTAACCTGCCTAAATGACTAAAACCCATAGCACTCATCTGTAGCTGTGAAATTCTCACATCAACACCATCATCCTAGACACCCTGGACCCACTCCAATTCGCATTACCGCCCCAACAGATCCATAGCTGATGCAATCTCTATTGCACTCCACACTGCCCTTTCCCATCTGGACAAGAGGAACACCTACGTATTGAATGCTGTTCATTGACTACAGCTCAATACCATAGTGCCCTCCAAGCTCATCACTAAGCTATGGACCCTAGGATTGAACACCTCCTTCTGCAACTGGATCCTGGACTTCCTGAAGGGGGCCCCTCAGGGGTGTGTGCTTAGTCCCCTCCTGTATTCCCTGTTCACCCACGACTGCTTGGCCGTGCACGACTCCAACACGATCATTAAGTTTGCCGACGACACGACGGTGGTAGGCCTGATCACCGACGATGATGAGACAGCCTATAGGGAGGAGGTCAGAGACATGGCAGTGTGGTGCCAGGCCAACAACCTCTCCCTCAACGTCAGCAAGACAAAGGAGCTGGATAGTGGAATACAGGAAATGGAGGGCCGAGCATGCCCCCATTCACATCGACAGGGCTTTAGTGGACCGGGTCGAGAGTTTTAAGTTCCTCGGTGTCCACATCACTAAGGATCTATCATGATCCACACACACAATACAGTCATGAAGAGGGCACGACAACGCCTCTTCCCCCTCAGAAGGCTGAAAAGATTTGGCATGGGCCCTCAGATCCTCAAAAAGTTATACAGCTGCACCATTGAGAGCATCTTGACTGGCTGCATCACTGCCTGGTATGGCAACTGCTCGGCCTCCGACCACAAGGTGCTACAGAGGGTAGTGGGTACGGCCCAGTACATCACTGGGGCCAAGCTCAATGCCATCCAGGACCTCTATACCACACGGTGTCAGAGGAAGGCCCTAAAAATTGTCAAAGACTCCAGCCACTCAAGTCATAGACTGCTCTCTGTGCTAACGAACGGCAAGCGGTACTGATGCACCAAGTCTGGAACCAACAGGACCGTGAACAACTTCTACCCCCAAGCCATAAGACTGATAAATAGTTAGTTACTCTTTATTATCTGTCACTTTATTCCTAGTTATATGTACATATCTACCTCAATTACCTTGTACCCCTGCACATCGACTCGGTACTGGTACCTCGTGTATATAACCAAGTTATCATTACTCATTGTGTATTTATTATTACCTTTTCTATTATTTCTCTATTTTCCTTCTCTCTGCATTGTTGGGAAGGGCCCGTAAGTAATCATTTCACTGTTAGCCTACACCTGTTGTTTACAAACTATGTGACTAATAAAATTAGATTTGAGTGATAAAAAACAATGTAGGGAAGTGGGGTAATAATGGCTAAAAACAACAATAAGGACCTTGAGGGAGGACGCGTAGGAGAACCTCATCCCACAGACATCGCAAGAGTGAGGTTTCTCTCCCGTATGCGTCCGCTGGTGGTCCTTCAGACGCTCAAACCGAGGGAAACTCCGTCCACACACGGAGCAGGAGTAAGGTTTCTCTCCAGTGTGCACCTTCTGGTGTTTTAACAGATTCCCCCGCTGGATGAACCTTTTCCCGCAGACAGAGCAGTGGTAAGGTTTCTCCCCTGTGTGTGTTAATAGGTGTCTCTGTAGGGTGATGCCCCCTGTGGAGAAGCCTCTACCGCACACAGAGCAGCAGAAGGGTTTCTCTCCACTGTGTGTGCGGAGATGTGCAACTAGCTTCGATGGTTTAGGGAACTCCTTTCCACACACAGAGCAGAGGTGAGGCTTTTTGGTTCTGCATCGTTTCTCCAGGATTTGTTGGTGGTGTTGTTCACGTTCTGCTGATGTAGAGGGAATCTCACCGCTAACAAAGACTGGGACAGGGCTTTTTCCTGTGTGGAAAAGTGGAGATGGTTAAACATGGAGGTGCGTCCCAAATGGCGCCCTATTCCCTACATAGTGCACTACTTTTGACTGGGCAAAGGACAGGTTAAACAAATACTTAGCCGTTATGGTAACACTAGATGACCAACTAACTAACACTAAGCCTGCGTCCCAAATAGCGCCCTATTCCTTATAGGGCTCTGGTCTAAAGAGGTGCTGTGTAGGGAATTGGGTGCCATTTGGGATGCATCCTTCAACAATGAAGAGCTCAATCAAAATCATCATCGTCATGATCCTGCCCCTTACCAGAAAGAGAATTGTGAGCAACTTCCTCTCCGTCAGAATTGATCAAACCACCAACTTCCTCCTCCTCTTCTCTCTCCAGTTCTTCAACTATAATTTTCAGTCCCAGAGTTTCACCCAGGGACTCTTTGGGTTTGGGGCTCGATCGGTCACCAGTGTCCTAGAATGGCAATGTAATGAAATATCATTACAAATAAAGATAGGAATAACAAATCTTCTGGCCCCGACGACCTATGAGGGTTCCCTAGATGACAGAATACTGATGTCTCATCTTGAAAACACCTGAAGCACTTGTCAATCATAAGATGAGTCCCAAATGGAACCCTATTCCCTATACAGTGAACTCCTGTTGACCAAGGCCCAGGCTATTGCCATTTGGGACGTAACTATAATTGTCTCCCACCTTGCTGCTGTCTCCCTCCGTCTGTCTACCATCTCCTCTGTGAGTCTGCTGGTGTTCTCTCAGGAGACCAGGCCGTGAGAAGCGCTTCCCACACACGGAGCAGGGGAACGGTTTCTCTCCTGTGTGAGACCTAAATCAAATCAAACTTTATTTAAAAAGTCTATTTAGAATCGCAACACTTTACAGTAAAACAATGAAATATAGGAGATCAATAAAACAACAGAAGGCAATAAAATAGAATAATAAAGGAACATCAAATAAAAGAGATGGCTAAAATAATAGTGAAATCATCGATTAAAGTCGAGACTAACCTCTGGTGATCCCTGAGTCCTGAGGCCGTGAAGAAGCTTTTTCCACACACAGAGCAGCGGTGGAGTCTCTCTGCGGTGTGCTTCAGCTGGTGTGTTCTAAGATAAGATAAATATAGATAAAAAACACTATTCTGACTACTTTAAAAATGATCCTGTAAACCTTATAATTGATCAATAAAAAAAGCATAGTTTACACCTCAGGTTCCTCTGCTGGGTGTAGCTCCTCCCACACTCAGAGCAGCGGTACGGTCTCTCTCCCGTGTGCAGAAGTTGGTGTCTCTTCAGGCTGATAAGTTAGAAGTTAGTTTTATGTAGTTCAAGTTTTATTACACCCACATAGCAGCCAGTCAAAACAAACCAATGAACTCCATGAGCATGCAGATGGCATATGCCTAACTAAATACATAAAGGGACGGACCAGGGTCGTATTCACTAGGCACCAAAAGGATGCCCACGGCCTTAACAGGGAGGAGATTACCTGTACTTGTTCAATAAGAAACAAGTGTTTTATTTTTCCTTTGCAAAACGTTTTGCTATGGTGTGCACTAGATTCTATGTGTGCACTAATTAATAGGACACAGGTCTATGCTGATAACAATAACACACCTAATCATCTGGGAGAAGGTGTTCCCACAGTCGGGGCAGGAGTAAGGTTTCTCTCTTGTGTGGACGATCTGGTGGAGTGTCAGGCTCCCCTTCTGGGCGAAGCTCTTCCCACACACAGAGCAGGAGAAAGGCTTCTCTCCAGTGTGGATTCTCATATGGACTTGTAGCTTGTATGCAATGGGAAACTCCTTTCCACACACAGGGCAGGGGTGGGCTCTTCTGTGGCAGCTGTGATGCTGTTTATGTTGTTGTTGTTGTTGTTGTTGTTGTTGTTTTTGCTCTACGGATGCAGGGAGACTCTCCTCAGACTCAGAGTGGTGGTTGTTAGAACTCTCTCCTGTGTGGATGAGGACAATAGTTTGGGTTAACTAAACTATAACTAACTAACTTACCACGAAACCTGAAGGTCAAAGGGTAATGAGTAATTAAAGCTAGAATCCGCAGTTGCTACATCCATTTTTGGACTTAAAATTAAAGGAACACAACATCGTTGTCCTATGTCACGCTATGAACCTGTAGGACTGTAGATCGAAAGCTTGGTATTTTTTCTGTCTGGATTTTTACCATCAATTACATATTTGGGGGTAATCACGTTTCTTTTTTTGAAAACTACAACGAGCTTAGGGAGGAGTGAGGTTGATTTCCTGATCTCCCACCCCCGAATGCGTGTGTGCGTTCCTAGTTAAACAGCCTTGAGACTGTCATCCTGAAGATAGACTGGAGAAGACAGCCTAAACCAGCGGGGCCAAGAGGACAGATAACAACAGAGGAAGTGTTTTGTGTCAGCTAATGTTTTTATATTGAAATACAGTCATATAACGTTAGCGCGGTTGGGAATCCTTAGTTCTGTTATTGTTGCTTAACTTAGAGATCTGCCTGGTTTCTTTACATCCAGAGCTAGCACATTGACATAGCCTAGCTGGTAAAGTAGAGAAAAGTGGAAGCATTGACATAGCCTTGCTGGTAAAGTAGAGAAAAGTGGAAGCATTGACATAGCCTAGCTGGTAAAGTAGAGAAAAGTGGAAGCATTGACATAGTCTAGCTGGTAAAGTTGAGAAAAGTGGAAGCATTGACATAGCCTAGCTGGTAAAGTAGAGAAAAGTGGAAGCATTGACATAGCTTAGCTGGTAAAGTAGAGAAAAGTGGTAATAGAGAAAGTACATTGACATAGCCTATCTGGTAAAGTAGAGAAAAGTGGAAGCATTGACATAGCTTAGCTGGAAAAGTAGAGAAAGTAAGCATGACATAGCCTCTGGTAAAGTAGAGAAAAGTGGAAGCATTGACATAGCCTAGCTGGTAAAGTAGAGAAAAGTGGAAGCATTGACATAGCCTAGCTGGTAAAGTAGAGAAAAGTGGAAGCATTGACATAGCCTGCGGGTTAAAGTAAAAAAAAGTGGAAGCATTGACATAGCCTAGCTGGTAAAGTAGAGAAAGTGGAAGCATTGACATACCCTAGCTGTAAATAGAAAAGTGGAACATGACATAGCCTGCGGGTAAAGTAGAGAAAAGTGGAAGCATTGACATAGCCTTGCTGGTAAAGTAGAAAAAAGTGGAAGCATTGACATAGCCTAGCTGGTAAAGTAGAGAAAAGTGGAAGCATTGACATAGCTTAGCTGGTAAAGTAGAGAAAAGTGGAAGCATTGACATAGCCTAGCTGGTAAAGTAGAGAAAAGTGGAAGCATTGACATAGCCTTGCTGGTAAAGTAGAAAAAAGTGGTAAAGTAGAGAAAAGTGGAAGCATTGACATAGCTTAGCTGGTAAAGTAGAGAAAAGTGGTAAAGTAGAGAAAAGTGGAAGCATTGACATAGCCTAGCTGGTAAAGTAGAGAAAAGTGGAAGCATTGACATAGCCTTGCTGGTAAAGTAGAAAAAAGTGGAAGCATTGACATAGCCTAGCTGGTAAAGTAGAGAAAAGTGGAAGCATTGACATAGCCTAGCTGGTAAAGTAGAGAAAAGTGGAAGCATTGACATAGCCTAGCTGGTAAAGTAGAGAAAAGTGGAAGCATTGACATAGCCTTGCTGGTAAAGTAGAAAAAAGTGGAAGCATTGACATAGCCTAGCTGGTAAAGTAGAGAAAAGTGGAAGCATTGACATAGCTTAGCTGGTAAAGTAGAGAAAAGTGGAAGCATTGACATAGCCTAGCTGGTAAAGTAGAGAAAGTGGAAGCATTGACATAGCCTTGCTGGTAAAGTAGAAAAAAGTGGTAAAGTAGAGAAAAGTGGAAGCATTGACATAGCTTAGCTGGTAAAGTAGAGAAAAGTGGTAAGTAGAGAAAAGTGGAAGCATTGACATAGCTTAGCTGGTAAGTAGAAAAGTGGTAAAGTAGAGAAAAGTGGAAGCATTGACATAGCTTAGCTGGTAAAGTAGAGAAAAGTGGAAGCATTGACATAGCCTAGCTGGTAAAGTAGAGAAAGTGGAAGCTTGACATAGCCTAGCTGGTAAAGTAGAGAAAGTGGAAGCATTGACATGCCTAGCTGGTAAAGTAGAGAAAGTGGAAGCATGACATAGCCTAGCTGGTTAAAGTAGAGAAAGTGGAAGCATTGACATAGCCTTGCTGGTAAAGTAGAGAAAAGTGGAAGCATTGACATAGCTTAGCTGGTAAAGTAGAGAAAAGTGGAAGCATTGACATAGCCTAGCTGGTAAAGTAGAGAAAAGTGGAAGCATTGACATAGCCTTGCTGGTAAAGTAGAAAAAAGTGGTAAAGTAGAGAAAAGTGGAAGCATTGACATAGCTTAGCTGGTAAAGTAGAGAAAAGTGGTAAAGTAGAGAAAAGTGGAAGCATTGACATAGCTTAGCTGGTAAAGTAGAGAAAAGTGGAAGCATTGACATAGCCTAGCTGGTAAAGTAGAGAAAAGTGGAAGCATTGACATAGCCTTGCTGGTAAAGTAGAAAAAAGTGGAAGCATTGACATAGCCTAGCTGGTAAAGTAGAGAAAAGTGGAAGCATTGACATAGCTTAGCTGGTAAAGTAGAGAAAAGTGGTAAAGTAGAGAAAAGTGGAAGCATTGACATAGCCTAGCTGGTAAAGTAGAGAAAAGTGGAAGCATTGACATAGCCTAGCTGGTAAAGTAGAGAAAAGTGGAAGCATTGACATAGCTTAGCTGGTAAAGTAGAGAAAAGTGGAAGCATTGACATAGCCTAGCTGGTAAAGTAGAGAAAAGTGGAAGCATTGACATAGCCTAGCTGGTAAAGTAGAAAAAAGTGGAAGCATTGACATAGCCTAGCTGGTAAAGTAGAGAAAGTGGAAGCATTGACATAGCTTAGCTGGTAAAGTAGAGAAAAGTGGAAGCATTGACATAGCCTAGCTGGTAAAGTAGAGAAAAGTGGAAGCATTGACATAGCCTTGCTGGTAAAGTAGAAAAAGTGGAAGCATTGACATAGCCTAGCTGGTAAAGTAGAGAAAAGTGGAAGCATTGACATAGCCTAGCTGGTAAAGTAGAGAAAGTGGAAGCATTGACATAGCCTAGCTGGTAAAGTAGAGAAAAGTGGAAGCATTGACATAGCCTTGCTGGTAAAAGTAGAAAAAGTGGAAGCATTGACATAGCCTAGCTGGTAAAGTAGAGAAAAGTGGAAGCATTGACATAGCTTAGCTGGTAAAGTAGAGAAAAGTGGAAGCATTGACATAGCCTAGCTGGTAAAGTAGAGAAAAGTGGAAGCATTGACATAGCCTTGCTGGTAAAGTAGAAAAAAGTGGTAAAGTAGAGAAAAGTGGAAGCATTGACATAGCTTAGCTGGTAAAGTAGAGAAAAGTGGTAAAGTAGAGAAAAGTGGAAGCATTGACATAGCCTAGCTGGTAAAGTAGAGAAAAGTGGAAGCATTGACATAGCCTTGCTGGTAAAGTAGAAAAAAGTGGAAGCATTGACATAGCCTAGCTGGTAAAGTAGAGAAAAGTGGAAGCATTGACATAGCCTAGCTGGTAAAGTAGAGAAAAGTGGAAGCATTGACATAGCCTAGCTGGTAAAGTAGAGAAAAGTGGAAGCATTGACATAGCCTTGCTGGTAAAGTAGAAAAAAGTGGAAGCATTGACATAGCCTAGCTGGTAAAGTAGAGAAAAGTGGAAGCATTGACATAGCTTAGCTGGTAAAGTAGAGAAAAGTGGAAGCATTGACATAGCCTAGCTGGTAAAGTAGAGAAAAGTGGAAGCATTGACATAGCCTTGCTGGTAAAGTAGAAAAAAGTGGTAAAGTAGAGAAAAGTGGAAGCATTGACATAGCTTAGCTGGTAAAGTAGAGAAAAGTGGTAAAGTAGAGAAAAGTGGAAGCATTGACATAGCTTAGCTGGTAAAGTAGAGAAAAGTGGAAGCATTGACATAGCCTAGCTGTTAAAGTAGAGAAAAGTGGAAGCATTGACATAGCCTTGCTGGTAAGTAGAGAAAAGTGGAAGCATTTACATAGCTTAGCTGGTAAAGTAGAGAAAAGTGGAAGCATTGACATAGCCTTGCTGGTAAAGTAGAGAAAAGTGGAAGCATTGACATAGCCTAGCTGGTAAAGTAGAGAAAAGTGGAAGCATTGACATAGCTTAGCTGGTAAAGTAGAGAAAAGTGGTAAAGTAGAGAAAAGTGGAAGCATTGACATAGCTTAGCTGGTAAAGTAGAGAAAAGTGGAAGCATTGACATAGCCTAGCTGGTAAAGTAGAGAAAAGTGGAAGCATTGACATAGCCTAGCTGGTAAAGTAGAGAAAAGTGGAAGCATTGACATAGCCTAGCTGGTAAATTAAGAAAAGTGGAAGCTTTGGGACATAGCCTAGCTGGTAAAGTAGAGAAAAGTGGAAGCATATACATAGCCTTGCTGGTAAAGTAGAGAAAAGTGGAAGCATTGACATAGCTTAGCTGGTAAAGTAGAGAAAAGTGGAAGCATTGACATAGCCTAGCTGGTAAAGTAGAGAAAAGTGGAAGCATTGACATAGCCTTGCTGGTAAAGTAGAGAAAAGTGGAAAAGTAGAGAAAAGTGGAAGCATTGACATAGCTTAGCTGGTAAAGTAGAAAAAAGTGGTAAAGTAGAGAAAAGTGGAAGCATTGACATAGCTTAGCTGGTAAAGTAGAGAAAAGTGGAAGCATTGACATAGCCTAGCTGTTAAAGTAGAGAAAAGTGGAAGCATTGACATAGCCTAGCTGGTAAGTAGAGAAAAGTGGAAGCATTGACATAGCTTAGCTGGTAAAGTAGAGAAAAGTGGAAGCATTGACATAGCCTTGCTGGTAAAGTAGAGAAAAGGGGAAGCATTGACATAGCCTAGCTGGTAAAGTAGAGAAAAGTGGAAGCATTGACATAGCTTAGCTGGTAAAGTAGAGAAAAGTGGTAAAGTAGAGAAAAGTGGAAGCATTGACATAGCTTAGCTGGTAAAGTAGAGAAAAGTGGAAGCATTGACATAGCCTAGCTGGTAAAGTAGAGAAAAGTGGAAGCATTGACATAGCCTAGCTGGTAAAGTAGAGAAAAGTGGAAGCATTGACATAGTCTAGCTGGTAAAGTAGAGAAAAGTGGAAGCATTGACATAGCCTAGCTGGTAAAGTAGAGAAAAGTGGAAGCATTGACATAGCCTAGCTGGTAAAGTAGAGAAAAGTGGAAGCATTGACATAGCTTAGCTGGTAAAGTAGAGAAAAGTGGAATCATTGACATAGCCTAGCTGGTAAAGTAGAGAAAAGTGGAAGCATTGACATAGCCTAGCTGGTAAAGTAGAGAAAAGTGGAAGCATTGACATAGCCTAGCTGGTAAAGTAGAAAAAAATGGAAGCATTGACATAGCCTAGCTGGTAAAGTAGAGAAAAGCATTGCAACACTGACTTGAAAATGGTCATATTTGGCTGCTGAATGTGCTCCCACAATAACATTGATAACAACTATACTGTATTTACTAGTCTCCTATAGCATTCAATAGGCTACAAGCGTGCTATGGTAATCTCCTGATGTTTATATGTCCGTCGTCATGGTAGCCTTAGACCACTTTACCTTGGTATTGGCTACATCTATCAGCTGGGTTTACTAATGTTAGAGAACACACTATCCTAACAACAAATCTGATTAGTCATTTTTATGGCCTGCCTACTCAGCATACTGTTTTTTCCTGGAGTGGGTCCTTCCTGGAGTAAGACTTGGGGAAAAACAAGAGTGGTTTCACCTGCAATGGTGGTTGGGCGCATTCATTATGAATATCTATCTCCTGATGGGCAGTACACTACAGAGGTTTCATCCAGGTTGATGATTAATTTCTATCTCCTGATGGACAGTACAGAGGCTTTATCCAAGTTGATGATTCTCTGGTTGAAATGTAATAATGTGTAATATATATTTTTTTATGGTATCTGTGTTGTTTAAAAACATATTAATCTAATACTAAAGTAAAATAGGGTAAGGCCAAGACAGTTCATATTCACTCACTACCACTTTATTTTCACAAAGTACAGCGGTAACATGCTGACTACGTGGCTTCTGGTTCTCCATGGCTTCTGGTTGGGATATGTACGTACCGTCACTGTGGGGACGATGTCATCACGCACAATGGCGCACGCATGTTGATTTTGTCCATCCACACAAGACGCGATCAGGACACGCAGGTTAAAATATCAAAACCAACTATATTAAAATTGTGGGCAGGTCGTAACAAACATGAAACATTCATGGACATTTCGCTAGCTAGCTACTTTGTTCTTGGAGATGAACATTGAGTTGTTATTTTACCTGACATGCATATGGTCCTCTTTTTAGTTGGTCCTTTGTGGGATTTTGACCCGGAGTCATACAAAATCGTGTGTTTCTCTCCTCCGACGTATTAATCCACGGATAAAAAGGGAAACCTATTTTAGTTCATCTTTAATTCATCTCTCCTTCATTTGCCTTTCAAGCATCCAGCTGGGTCTTTATCTTCCTGCTATCCAATAAGGAGGGGGACTTGCAGCGCGTGGAGAGTCTCAAATAGAACCAAGTTCTATTTTAGCGCTTGGCTAAAGCAGACACTTGTTCATGTGCGCGAGTGGTGTGGGTGAAATGATTGAATCCATGGGTATACATCATTAAAGGAACGTTCCACAGCTTGGGTTTTATTTATTTTGCACCGGTCATGCACGCAACCTGGCCGGTGAGGCTTTTCCTTTAATGACATACACTACCGTTCAAAAGGTTTGGGGTCACTTAGACATTTTTTGAACAGTAGTGTACACCCATTGCTTCTTGTAGAATATAACTTATAAATGCTTCATGAGCTTAGTTCAACTGTCGTATCCCATCAGAACCCAAAATATAAAAATGTTTTACTCCAATGTAAATTTTAACAAACACTGTGTAACCTTAAAACATGGTTAAAACTATCATTTTGATTTCATGGATGGTCAGTCCTTGCATTCATAGCTCGGTCTATGAATTTGAGAGTGGTTCCATTTCTCCAGCCCTGTCCCTCAGATTTTTACCAAAACAGAGGCGGGGTGACGGGTTTGTTATTGTTTTAATTAAGGACTCTAGCTTTAATGATTTTTATTTTGATAAGAGAAGCCCTCCTTACCTAGTTTGATTAGTAGTTGGTGAGTAAACTAAACCGGTCTGACACAATAAGGCATGACTATGACATGTGACAGAACATGTGACTCACCAAAAGCAGGATCCTCCTCCTCCTCCTTCACTATGACCTTCAGTACTGGTACACCAGCTTCAGCTTGACCTAGGGTCTCTCCAGCATGTGATAGCTGGAGTCCACCACTAGGGGGCAGTGTGACGGTCTCTTCCGCATGCGCCTGCTTCCTGTGTCTCCTCAGACTGGAGGCAGTGAAGAAGTCCTTGTGACAGTAGGGGCAGGGGTAACCTTTGACCCCGGTGTGTGTCCTCTGGTGTGCCCTTAGGAACCCCGGTTGGGTGAAGCTCTTCCCGCACTCGGAGCAGCCGTACGGTCTCTCGTCGGAGAAGCTCTGCTGGTGTCTCTTCAGGTCTCCCAGAGAGAGGAACCTCTTACCACAGTCGGGGCAGGGGTGTGGTCTCTCCTTGATGTGTACCTACACCCAGGACCACATTGGAAATAAGTGTATTTAAAAGGGATAGTTTATTAAAAAACTATCAGCAGAGTTTTTGCTCTGGACCGAAAGTGCTCCATCTTGAAAACTTGACTTCTGACATGCACAAGTTTGGGGTTGTACTACCATTGGCTAATGAATGAAAATACAAAAAATATCATGTTTGACTAAAGTGATCCTTTAGTCAAACCTGGAATCCGTATTTGGTGGAACTGCCACGTCCGTTTGGGATTTTACAACAATAAAGAAGTTACTTTAAAACAAAGAAGAGTTTTCTTTTCCCTCTGACATCATTGCATGCGCGCTAGAACACCAGAATATGTACTGCAAATTTTTTTTTTTACACTGCTGGACGCTCAACAACAGTAGCGCTGGGGTGAACAGTGGCGCTGTTTCTCCCTTTACGGATTTCAGCTTTAACGCTTTCATTGTCCTCTGGGATTTCTTTGTACTTTTAAAATGGTTTTAAACTGAATACGAATTGTTTTAACAATGTAGCTCAGCTGGTAGAGCACGGCGCTTGTAACGCCAAGGTAGTGGGTTCGATCCCCGGGACCACCCATACACGAAAAATGTATGCACGCATGACTGTAAGTCGCTTTGGATAAAAGCGTCTGCTAAATGGCATATTATTATTATTATTATTATTAACAATAAATAAAACAAGGGTGTACACTACTCTATATAGTACACTACTTTTGACGAGAGCTCAATGGGAATAGGGTGCCATTTGGGACCCAACCTACCCTCTGGTGTGACTCCATGTAGCCCCGGGCTGAGAAGCGTTTGCCACAGTCTGGACAGGAGAAGGGCTTCTCTCCCCGGTGGGTGGTCAGGTGGACACGGAGCTGATAGAAGGTAGGGAACCGCTCTCCACACTTCTGACAGGTGTTGGAGTGGGAAGTCTTCCTGTGGTTCTGCTGGTGTTGGACAGGTCGGCCTCCCGGTGTAGAAGGGCCAGAGCTGGGAGGAGGAGGAGGAGGACTGCCTCCTGTGGGAATGAGATAGGATAGGTTAGACCAGAACCACGTGTTTAGAGAGTTGGACCATAAAGGTTTCTCCATAGTAACGCATTTACATGACACTTCAACATTGCATGGAGCCATGTTAGCACCCCGTTCACATTACATGGGGAACATTTAAATAATGCTGTGTCACTGAATGTCTAGAATTAGAACAATATTACAATTTCAAAGTTGGTCCAACGCTCTAAATATATGGCTCTGGGTTAGACCAGTTGACTCCAGACCTGGGTTCAAATACTATCTGAAATCTTTCAGATTCTGTTAGCGTTTGCTCTAGCCTGCCTGGAGTACCAGATGGGCGGGTTTGCGGTTTTCCAGTTTTCCAGCTACTCTATTGGTGCCATTGCGCCAGACAAGCCCAATCAATCCAAGATAAAGTATTTGGAATGACTTCAAATACACTGAACAAAAATATAAAACGCAATATGTAAAGTGTTGGTCCCATGTTTCATGAGCTGAAATAAAAGATCCCAGAAATTGCCCATACGCACAAAAAGCTGCTGACTGCAAGAATGTCCACCAGAGCTGTTGCCAGAGAATTGAATGTTCATTTCTCTACCATAAGCCGCCTCCAACGTAGTTTTAGAGAATTTGGCAGTACTTCCAACCGGCCTCACAACCGCAGAACACATGTAACCACGCCAGCCCAGGACCTCCACATCCGGCTTCTTCACCAGCCACCCGGACAGCTGATGAAACTGTGGGTTTGCACAACCGAAGAACTGCCAGAAACCGTCTCAGGGAAGCTCATCTATCTGCGTGCTCGTCGTCCTCACCAGGGTCTTGACCTGACTGCAGTTCGGCGTCGTGACCGACTTCAGTTGGCAAATGCTTTGATGGCCACTGGTACGCTAGAGAAGTGTGCTCTTAATGGATGAATCCCGGTTTCAACTGTACCGGGCAAATGGCAGACAGCGTGTATGGCGTCGCGTGTGCAAGTGGTTCGCTGATGTCAACGTTGTGAACAGAGTGCCCCATGGTGGGGTTATGGTATGGGCAGGCATAAGCTACAGACAACGAACACAATTGCATTTCATCAAGGGCAATTTGAATGCACAGAGATACCGTGATGAGATTCTGAGGCCCATTGTCCTGCCATTCATCCGCCGCCATCAGCTCATGTTTCAGCATGATAATGCACGGCCTCATGTCGCAAGAAAATGTCCCAGTTCTTCCATGGCCTGCATACTTACCTGACATGTCACCCATTGAGCATGTTTGGGATGATCTGGATCGACGTGTACGACGGCGTGTTCCAGTTCCCGCCAATATCCAGCAACTTCGCACAGCCATTGAAGAGGAGTGGGACAACGTTCCACAGGCCACAATCAACAGCCTGATCAACTCTATGGGTAGGAGATGTGTCACGCTGCATGAGGCAATTGGTGGTCACACCAGATACTGACTGGTTTTCTGATCCACGCCCCTACTTACATATATATTTTTTTATCTGTGACCAATAGATGCATATCTGTATTTCCAGTCATGTCAAATCCATAGATTAGGGCCTAATGAATTTATTTCAATTGACTGATTTCCTAATATGAACTGTAACTCAGTAAAATCTTTGAAATTGTTTCATGTTGCATTTATATTTTTGTTCGGTGTAGTATTGGAACCCAGGTCTGCTGGCCACCAACCTCGGTTCTGGAAGCCCACCAACCTCGGTTCTGGAAGCCCAACAAACCACGGTTCTGGAAGCCCACCAACCTCGGTTCTGGAATCCCAACAAACCTCGGTTCTGGAAGCCCACCAACCTCGGTTCTGGAAGCCCACCAACCTCGGTTCTGGAAGCCCAACAAACCTCGGTTCTGGAAGCCCACCAACCTCGGTTCTGGAAGTCCACCAACCTCGGTTCTGGAAGCCCAACCAACCTCGGTTCTGGAAGCACAACAAACCTCGGTTCTGGAAGCCCGCTGGGCGTGCAGACTTTTGTTCCGTCCCAGCAGTAACACACCTAATTCAACTGATCGTCATGCCCTTGACACATCAACAACACCCTGTGGGTCTCCAGGACCCACATTAAAGAGCAGTAATGACACATAGGTCTTATAGGCTTCGGACAAAATGGCATCCTATTCCCTATTTAGTGCACTTGTTTCCTTGGTCAAAAGTAGTGCCCTTTATAAAGAATAGAGTGCTACGTGGGACGCAGCCATAGTGATTATATAGTGATGTATGAATCAAACTCTTCTCAGGGTTCCACCACTTCTTACCAAGATGAGGAGGATCCCAGCCAACTTCCTCGGAGTTGATTAAACCACCGGCTTCCTCTTCTTCACCTCTCCTGATCTGTCCGTCTGTCTGACCGCTGTCCTGCTGCTTCACTGACCCCCCCCTCTGAGTCTGCGTGCCCTGGTCGCTATGGTTACCAGTACCTAGAAACATTTGGGGGGGAAATGTATTGATGTACTTTATTAGATCATTAACAGTAGCAGTCTGCTCCAGCCAGAGACAACATCACACACATTAAAAACATAATAAAACTTGGAGGCATATTTACACTGAGTATACCAAACATTAGAAAAACCTTCCTAATATTGAGTTGCACCCCCTTTTGTCCTCAGAACAGCCTCAATTTGTCGGGGCATGGACTCCACAAGGTGTCGAAAGCGTTCCACGGGGATGCTGGGCCCATGTTGACTCCAATGCTTCCCACAGTTGTGTCAAGTTGGCTGGATGTCCTTTGGGTGGTGGACCATTCTTGATATACACAGGAAACTGTTGGAGCGTGAAAAACCCAGCAGCGTGACAGTTCTTGACACAAACCGGTGCGCCTGGCACCTACTACCATACCCCGTTCAAAGACACAAATCTTTTGTCTTGCCCATTCACCCTCTGAATGGCACACATACACAATCCATGTCTCAATTGCATCAAGGCTTAAAAATCCTTCTTTAACCTGACTCCTCCCCTTCATCTACACTGACTGAAGTGGATTTAACAGGTGACATCAATAAGGGATCATAGCTTTACATTTACATTTTAGTCATTTAGCAGACGCTCTTATCCAGAGCGACTTACAGTTAGTGAGTGCATACATTATTTTTAAATGTTTCATACTGGCCCCCCGTGGGAATCGAACCCACAACCCTGGCGTTGCAAACGCCATGCTCTACCAACTGAGCTACATCCCTGCCGGCCATTCCCTCCCCTAACCTGGACGACGCTGGGCCAATTGTGCGCCGCCCCATGGGTCTCCCGGTCGCGGCCGGCTACGACAGAGCCTGGATTCTAACCAGGATCTCTAGTGGCACAGCTAGCACTGCGATGCAGTGCCTTAGACCACTGCGCCACTCGGGTTCACCTGGTCGGTCTGTGTTCTTAATGTTTTGTACACTCAGTGTATATTGTGGTCCTCAAAAAGGGCCAGCAACTCAACTGAATATGATTTGCAAATGAAGATGTGTGTTTGTTTGTTTGTTTATTTGCACAGTAGCAACATGTCTTCATAAACCACCCCATCAGTACCTTGGGCTAGCAACATGTCTTCATAAACCACCCCATCAGTACCTTGGGCTAGCAACATGTCTTCATAAACCACCCCATCAGTACCTTGGGCTAGCAACATGTCTTCATAAACCACCCCATCGGTACCTTGGGCTAGCAACATTTCTTCATAACCCCCATCGGTACCTTGGGCTAGCAACATGTCTTCATAAACCACCCCATCGGTACCTTGGGCTAGCAACATGTCTTCATAAACCACCCCATCAGTACCTTGGGCTAGCAACATGTCTTCATAAACCACCCCATCAGTACCTTGGGCTAGCAACATGTCTTCATAAACCACCCCATCAGTACCTTGGGCTAGCAACATGTCTTCATAAACCACCCCATCAGTACCTTGGGCTAGCAACATGTCTTCATAAACCACCCCATCAGTACCTTGGGCTAGCAACATGTCTTCATAAACCACCCCATCAGTACCTTGGGCTAGCAACATGTCTTCATAAACCACCCCATCAGTACCTTGGGCTAGTCAACATGTCTTCATAAACCACCCCATCAGTACCTTGGGCTAGCAACATGTCTTCATAAACCACCCCATCAGTACCTTGGGCTAGCAACATGTCTTCATAAACCACCCCATCAGTACCTTGGGCCAGACGGACATCCTCTTGCTCTGGCAGCACATCCACAGCAGCCTGAAGTCTAGAATTCTAAAACGAAGCAACAATGAAAAGTTATTGTACAGCTAGTTGTCTAGGGCTGCGTCTCAAATGGCACCCTATCATAGGGATGGGCCCTGGTGCCTGGTCAAAAAGTAGTGCACTATATAGGGAATAGGGTGCCAATTGAGGACGCAACCCTAGTTCTTCCCCACCTTGCTACTGGTATCGTCCCGTCGGACGAGCAGCTCCTGTCGGTGTGGCAGCACATCTGCAGCAGTTCTTAGTCTAGTAGACCCCTCAGCGTGACTCCTTCCGTGTCTCAACAAGGCTCCTGATTGGTAGAAGCTCTTCCCACAGTCAGGTTCAGGGCAGCAGTAGGGCTTCTCCCCCGTGTGGCTCCTCTGGTGTATCCTAAAGGAGGACTGCTGAGAGAAGCTCTTCCCACACACAGTGCAGTGGAACGGCTTCTCTCCCGTGTGGGTCTTCATGTGTCGGTCCCGGGACTGTTTTGTAGTGAAGAGTCGTCCACACACAGAGCAGGGGAAAGACTTCTTAGTGGATGATGTTGTGTTTTTGAGGTTGTTGTGTTGTACTACATTGACATCAGACTCACACCACACTCCTCTCTCCTCCTCTTCCTCTTCCGCTGAAACTTTTGAGGCCAGTGTTTGATGGTGCTGGAGATAATCGTGGTTTTCCGACACCATCTTCTGCTGGCTCAACAGTGAGCTCTGGTCACCATGGTTACAGTCAGCTCCAGCGTTGTAGCGAGGAGGAGACAGACTGGTCGCTTGGTCTACAGACTCCTGTAGTAGAGAACAGCACAGGCTAGGCTACATTGTTACTGGTAAACAATTGATACAAACTCAGCACTTGGTTCAGTCTATTCCGCTGGACCCAGAGTTAGGAACATCGCTACACTGCTTCATTGCTGCTGTATTGTCTCCTGCCGGATACTAAAGTAAAGATTCCTCAAATCAAGAAGTTGTTTCTGCTTTCTTTCACGTTGCGAAACAACACTGTTAAAGCTAGACACATGAAAGGGTGACTATATGATTAACTAAAAAACGACAATGTTATTACACCAAGAATTCAACTGACAGCATAGGCGACAAGCCAGCAAGCTAACTAGCTAGCTACATGAAATCTTTACACTCATATTTTGAGTTCCCTCTCACCTCATCCATGGTGTTCTGTTAAGATGGTCCACCGGGCAGAAATATCACAGGATCACTGAGATTACACACGAATCATTAGCAGGTCATGAAAGTTGTCATGTCACACAGGACAGGGCCATGGCTAACGGTAGCTAAACCTGTTAGCCTGTTAGGCTTATGACTATGCCCAGTACAGAATATGCGGTGTTCTGCAAAAGTTACGGTTCAACGAAGTCCTGTGGCCGATGCATGCAAGACAAAAGCGAAGTTGATAGCTGAACAGTTGTATTAGCAAATGCAAAAATGGGAAGATAATAAGCTACCTTCGGCTAACTATAAACTTGCTAGCTTAACAGTAAAAAGACAGAAGTAAAAGATACTAGCTTGATCACACGCGGTAGTTGATTACTCTCGTCTATCGCGTCTACATGATCACATGTCTGACGACACTAAGGCGGAAGCGGAAAAAAATAAACAACAACCAGTTTGTTTCGTATTCTGAGCTTTCTTAAGAGCACTGCTATATACAATGGACGTGGTGGTGAGTAGATAACAAAAAACTCAAATATAACGTGTATAATGGTGGGCGTATGTTTTTTATCACGCATAAACCCTCAAACAGACCTAATGCAGGGGGGTGCTCAGTTCAGCGGCCAGTTCTAAACAAAGCAGCAGTTTCCTAGCCTGGTGGAAGCAGTCTACTCGATACGTTCGCCATTCTATTTCACTTCACATAAGTGAAGTGAAATAGCTAGAATGGTCAATGCAGCGATCATGTTTGTTCCACCAGGCTAGCAGTTTCCATCAATGAATATGTGTAGATGCATGTTCAGGCATGATGTAGAATGAACCAGAATCTGGGCTTACAACGGAGTTGTTGAATATTGCGATTCTCCTTTAAGCCCAGGAAGCAGCCATTCAACATGCTATTCACCATTTTTTCAAATTTAATAATGTTAAAATATGTTCGAAGAATGGAGTTTCGCTGAGCAACTATCGTCATTACTGGCGTTCCGGCCGGTATGTGCTTCGAAAAAAGTACAAAATAGTAATAATTATATGTAACCAAAAAATGTTATTGTCTGGAAACAATAGTAGTTTTTGAGTAAGTGTGCATGTGCCAAATCCACCTCTGTTCTCTTCTCTCTCAGGAGACCAAACTCCCAGGGTCCCCTGGGCCCGAAGGTATCCATGGAGACCAAGGAACTCAGACCCTGAGGGTGGTGAAGCAGGAGGACTGTGGGCCCCTAACAACGTGCCTGAGTTCTGCCCATGTGAAAACAGAAGAAGAGGAGGAAGAAATAGGGGGTGTGTCTCACCCAAGTCAAGGTACTCTTGCCTTCCCTTTTCTTAGTGATTTGTTTATTTACAACTTACACTGAATTAGATATTGTGTGTTTCCTTCAGGGCTCTTCAGTGTCAAGAAGGAGGAAGAAGAAGAAGCCATAGTATATCTTATACAGCCTAGTGAGTACAGCATCACAGAGGAGCTACCATGGTTACTAAGCCTTACAAGCATTTCGCTACACCCGCAATAACAGCTGCTAAATATATGTATGTGACCAATAAGATTTGATTTGATTTTGATTTTGACCAGAGATTTCCCTGTTCCCTCAGATGACAACCCAAGCCCCACTTCTGACATTACCAGCCACAGTTCTGACGACTCCACCCCTGACAACGGCCCTAGAGCCACCCCTGACAACGGCCCTAGAGCCACCCCTGACAACAACAACCCGCGCCATAACAACAACCCCAGGTCTGGCCCTGCCAGTGGAGGGGCATCAGACAAGGACCCTGCATCCGGAGAGGAAGAGGAGGAGGAGGAGGAGGAGGAGGAGGGAGAGAAGAGTAGCCAGGGACTAAAGCCCATGAAGACCAAAGGAGGTCGTCAGAGGCCGTTCCCCTGCTCTAGGTGTGGGAAGCGTTTATCCACCACTGTTAGCTTAGACAAACACCAGATCATCCACACCCGACTGAGACCATACCCCTGCTCCGCACCAGCCTGCACCAAGAGGTTCTGCTCACCGGCCGAGCTGAGGAGACACACACTCACACACACAGGTTATTTCATTGGGTTCTTCGAAAGTATTTAGCCTGCCTTTCTTTTCAAAGTTCAATCAAATGAAAATCAAGAGTGGGGTTCTAAACCAATCAGGTCAATAAACGTTTTCCCCAAAGTTTTGTCCACTTTTGGTTGAATTGTTTAAGGTCATTCTAGTGGACCTTTAAAAATCTGCCATTCAAGTTCAATAACTTGTGTGTTTTGTGCCCTCCCCCACACAGGAGAGAGACCCTTCCCCTGCCCAGACTGTGACAAGAGCTTCACCATACTGGCTGCTTTAAAGACCCATCAGAGAACACACACAGGGAGAGAGACCTTACGTCTGTGAGGTGTGTGGAAAGGTCGGTTATTTTATTCAGCCCTTTTACTGACTGTTGGCTTTTTACTTCTTGTCATGTGATTGTTTTACTGTAAATAGTGTTTTGCGATTTTAAAATACATTTGTAGTATTTTATTGTTTTTATGGACCGTGATAGTCGGAACGTAGAGGGGAAACAGAGAGAGACGGGATTCGTCGCCACGAGCGTACAAAACATTAGGAGCATCTGCTCTTTCCATGACACAGCTTTCACCTGATTAACCAAAACACAGGTCCCTAATTATAGAATCTCTATGGGGGAAACACAACTCCTGCTCTCTCTTGGACGAGGGAATGCTGTTGTGTCAGGAGGACTGTTATAAATACATCAAAATATCACATAAGTATGTGACTTGTAATTATATATTTTAGATGTTTATATTCATACACAAATGACAGAATGTACAACACAAATGTAGTTTGTAATCCTAGTTTATTTTTTCTCTCTCAAAGTGTTCTTTGGATGGATTGTGCAACAGGTGATGGCTATCTTTTTGTTCCAACACCGAATGCACTCACTATAACTTGGTGTATGGAGTAATGTTTGGTTTGGATCTGAAATGGATGTGATAGTAGATGGTTGAAAATAGAGATGGTCAGTTGTTGCTCTCCGATCTCATTTCTCTCTTTAATTTGTAGCTGAGTTCAAAGCACATGCTAACGTCTGGCAGCATAACAGTTTCCCACATATTCACGTCTTCATATCAGCTTTGAAGCATCTTTTCAAGAGGAGATCTGGCATTGGAACTGGAGGGTGAGCAAAACCACTATATTGAGCAGTGGAGGCTGGTGGGAGGAGCTATAGGAGGACGGTCTCATTGTAATGACTGTCTATGATCCCTTATTGATGTCACTTGTTAAGTCCACTTCAATCAGTGTAGATGAAGGGGAGGAGACGGGTTAAAGAAGGATTGTTAAGCCTATAGACAATTGAGACGCAAGACAAAATATTGAAGTGCCTTTGAACGGGGTATGGTAGTAGGTGCCAGGCGCACCGGTTTGAGTGTTTCAAGAACTGCAACGCTGCTGGGTTTTTCACGCTCAACAGTTTCCTGTGTGTATCAAGAATGGTCCACCACCCAAAGGACATCCAACCAACTTGACACAACTGTGGGAAGCATTGAAGTCAACATGGGCCAGCATCCTTGTGGAATTCTTTCGACACCTTGTAGAGTCCATGCCCCAACGAATTGAGGCTGTTCTGAGGGCAAAAGGGTGTGCAACTCAATATTAGCAAGGTGTTTCTAATGTTTTGTCCACTCAGTGTATGTACTCCAGACTCTGGCATACAGTGGGGGAAAAAAGTATTTAGTCAGCCACCAATTGTGCAAGTTCTCCCACTTAAAAAGATGAGAGAGGCCTGTAATTTTCATCATAGGTACACGTCAACTATGACAGACAAAATGAGAAAAAAAATCCAGAAAATCACATTGTAGGATTTTTAATGAATTTATTTGCAAATTATGGTGGAAAATAAGTATTTGGTCAATAACAAAAGTTTCTCAATACTTTGTTATATACGCTTTGTTGGCAATGACACAGGTCAAACGTTTTCTGTAAGTCTTCACAAGGTTTTCACACACTGTTGCTGGTATTTTGGCCCATTCCTCCATGCAGATCTCCTCTAGAGCAGTGATGTTTTGGGGCTGTCGCTGGGCAACACGGACTTTCAACTCCCTCCAAAGATTTTCTATGGGGTTGAGATCTGGAGACTGGCTAGGCCACTCTAGGACCTTGAAATGCTTCTTACGAAGCCACTCCTTCGTTGCCCGGGCGGTGTGTTTGGGATCATTGTCATGCTGAAAGACCCAGCCTCGATTTCATCTTCAATGCCCTTGCTGATGGAAGGAGGTTTTCACTCAAAATCTCACGAAACATGGCCCCATTCATTCTTTCCTTTACACGGATCAGTCGTCCTGGTCCCTTTGCAGAAAAACAGCCCCAAAGCATGATGTTTCCACCCCCATGCTTCACAATAGGTATGGTGTTCTTTGGATGCAACTCAGCATTCTTTGTCCTCCAAACACGACGAGTTGAGTTTTTACCAAAAAGTTCTATTTTGGTTTCATCTGACCATATGACATTCTCCCAATCCTCTTCTGGATCATCCAAATGCACTCTAGCAAACTTCAGACGGGCCTGGACATGTACTGGCTTAAGCAGGGGGACACGTCTGGCACTGCAGGATTTGAGTCCCTGGCGGCGTAGTGTGTTACTGATGGTAGGCTTTGTTACTTTGGTCCCAGCTCTCTGCAGGTCATTCACTAGGTCCCCCCGTGTGGTTCTGGGATTTTTGCTCACCGTTCTTGTGATCATTTTGTGAGATCTTGCGTGGAGCCCCAGATCGAGGGAGATTATCAGTGGTCTTGTATGTCTTCCATTTCCTAATAATTGCTCCCACAGTTGATTTCTTCAAACCAAGCTGCTTACCTATTGCAGATTCAGTCTTCCCAGCCTGGTGCAGGTCTACAATTTTGTTTCTGGTGTCCTTTGACAGCTCTTTGGTCTTGGCCATAGTGGAGTTTGGAGTGTGACTGTTTGAGGTTGTGTACAGGTGTCTTTTATACTGATAACAAGTCCAAACAGGTGCCATTAATACAGGTAACGAGTGGAGGACAGAGGAGCCTCTTAAAGAAGAAGTTACAGGTCTGTGAGAACCAGAAATCTTGCTTGTTTGTAGGTGACCAAATACTTATTTTCCACCATAATTTGCAAATAAATTCATAAAAAATCCTACAATGTGATTTTCTGGAATTTTTCTCTATTTGTCTGTCATAGTTTACGTGTACCTATGATGAAAATTACAGGCCTCTCTCATCTTTTTAAGTGGGAGAACTTGCACAATTGGTGGCTGACTAAATACTTTTTTCCCCCACTGTAAGTGTGTTGTGATTTTTAAATGAATCTTAAATTTGATTCGATCTGAAGGGCTTCGCCCAAACAGGGAACCTGAAATCCCACGAGCGCAGGCACACCGGAGAGAGACCATTCTCCTGTCCCTTCTGTGGGAAGACATTTGTAGAGTCTGGCCATCTGAAGAAGCACCAGCGTATCCATACAGGAGAGAAGCCGTACCACTGCACCAGCTGCCCCATGAAGTTCCCCTCCTCCAGCGAGCTCAGGTAACTCAGGGCCAGTATTCATAAAGCGTCTCACAGTGCTGATCTAGGATCAGGGTCAGGATCGTTTTGTCTTTTAGATTTTTATGAATGGACCGAGGGACCTGATCCTAGATCGGCACTCCTACTTTGAGATGCTTTATGAATATGTGCTCAGGTGTTACTCACCTGATAACGTAATAACCACCGGACATTGTAATAAGTTATGTTTTTATCTTGAAAAAAGTTATTATTATGTAATCCGTTAGACAGTTTTATTACGACATCCGGCAATTAAAAAAGAAAACAAATGTTTTACGCTATTGAACGTTATTACATTAAACTGTATTTGCTGTTGTTATGATTCAATGTTGTCACGTCTTTTTTTTTTATGTCACAAACCAATTTCCCATCGTGGGATATTCAAGTGAACTACTACTACTACTACTACTTAACCAGTGTTCTTGCATTACCTGTTGTTCCAGGGTCCATGAGAAGATCCACAGCCAGGACAAGCCCCACAGCTGTTCCCACTGCGGCAAGGCATTCAGACAGCTGTCCAACCTCAAGCTCCACCAGAGAATACACTCTGACAAGAAGCCTTACGCCTGCTCCTACTGCGAGAAGACCTTCCGCGCTCAGGGGACCTTAAAGGTACAATATAACTATATACAGTTTAGGATTTTTTTCAGTTACACAACATAATACTGTGTTTACAATATGCTGAAATTCTTATTAATTAATACATTTATATTTTGTATTTTTACTTTAAAGGTGCACCTGAGGACTCACACAGGAGAGAGGCCTTACCCCTGCTTAGACTGTGACAAGCGTTTCATCACGTCCTCAGAGTTAAAGGTACACCAGAGGATTCACACAGGAGAGAAGCCCTTCTACTGCTATGACTGTGGGAAGAGTTACTATCAGCTGAAGCAGCTGAAGGAACACATGAAGTTCAACCCGGACCACAGCACCACACGTAGCGGACTCAATAATATAGAGGACGAGGACAAGCTCTACTCTACGTCACGCCATGATGATGATGATGTAATGTCCTGATGCTTTTTAATGGAATGTTTATAGAGAATTTTTTTTGTTGGCTAGAAACAGACATTACATGACAGATATATTTACCCTCCTCAGTGATGCCATCGATCACATTATTGGAAAGTGTCACCATTGTTTTAAAATAAATAACATTACTTTGCTAGCACTCTACTCGTTCCGTGATGATGACGTCATGGTGCCCTCCTCAGTGGTGATGTCAACATTTCTATCTGAATGTTGTCATTGCACTGAACAGACAGGAGGTCAATGCTCTGTTTGAATTTTTAAGTTGCAGGTAGAATGATCGTTTTGATTAAATGTTTTGAGACATTTTTGAAGTTGTTTAGAAACTGATATTACATGAAAGACAAATGTTATGTGTGTGCATGTGTTTAACCAAGTCTCCTTCCGCTGTTCTTATGTGTGTAAAGTCATACTGTATATAAAAAAAAAATCATGACATCTGTGATGGAAACAGGTAGTTTAGATACAATATTATAAATGCCGACAAATCATTTGTTCGTCGACATGGTGGGATCTTTTTGTGTCTGTAAAATTCATTATGCGAGAAATGGCGGTGGAAACAACTATGTGCAAATATTGATATAATAACTGTCATATCGAAGTACATTTGGAGTCACTCACGCGATGACATGGTGTGTGCTCCACCCACTATGACTCGTCGGGAAAGCATGCAGTTTATTAGGCTACAGATTAAATAAATGATGGTGAACTTCACAGTGTGGTGAAAGTGCAAGGTGATGAGCTTGATGCTCCTTTCCAATACATTTCGAGGATCTTATTCTGGTGACATGATGATCGATGCTTGATTGCCTTTTGACAAATCAAAATATTCTCGCTCTTATCCATAATCTCATCATGTATTGTAGACTAACCTACCCGCACTATATCTGCGAGCTGTTGGTTAGAGCGCACGTGCCAAAACCAGACTAGGCATATTTGCTATTTAACGCAACAGTATTTGTTAAATTGAAAATGCGATGGAAACACATTGAACATTCGATTTTTATTCGGTACATGAAAACTTAAGCGGAAAAAGTACATTTTGCGTGCACTACGTCATCACGCACTGATTTTTATTCGCAACAATTCAGTTTGGTGGAAAACACCACTGGTGGGAAAATGCGCATATTTTCTTTATGCTGATTCTAGAATATTCGCATGGAAATCTGTCGACAATTGGATGGAAACCTAGCTTATGATGTGAATTGTTTCTCTTGGACAAATCTGTTGGCAATCACGTTTGGGTAAAGGTTACCAATAAACCATGTTAGTCAATACAATTAATCAGTACAACCTACAACCAGTCAATGAAGATAACAGTCATGAAATGAGACAAAATCTGTATGTCACCTTATCTGTTAAAGTAGTGTACCTAGTAACTACAGCCATGTTTTGGAGGGGGAAGCACACCTCAATATCAGTGGAGGCTGGTGGGAGGAGCTATAGGAGGACGGGGTCATTGTGACGGCTGGAATGGAATAAATGGAACCTATCAAACACAACAAACATACGTAAACCACGTTTGACCCCATTCCATTTAATCCCTTTCCAGCCATTAAAATGAGACCGTCCTCCTATAGCTCCTCCCACCAGCCTCCACTGCTCAATATAGTGGTTTTGCTCACCCTCCAGATCCAATGCCAGATCTCCTCTTGAAAAGATGCTTCAAAGCTGATATGAAGACGTGAATATGTGGGAAACTGTTATGCTGCCAGACGTTAGCATCTGCTTTGAACTCAGCTACAAATTAAAGAGAGAAATGAGATCGGAGAGCAACAACTGACCATCTCTGTTTTCACCATCTACTATCACATCCATTTCAGATCCAAACCAAACATTACTCATACACCAAGTTATAGTGAGTGCATTCGGTGTTGGAACAAAAAGATAGCCATCACCTGTTGCACAATCCATCCAAAGAACACTTTGAGAGAGAAAAAAACAACTAGGATTACAAACTACATTTGTGTTGTACATTCTGTCATTTGTGTATAAACAGCATTCCCTCGTCCAAGAGAGAGCAGGAGTTGTGTTTCCCCCATAGAGATTCTATAATTAGGGACCTGTGTTTTGGTTAATCATAACAGGTGTCTCGGATTTTAACCTTTATTTAAAGCTTTTAATCAAACTGTCCCCTTTTCTTTTTAAGTCACATGGTCCAGCATCATCCTCAAACAATCGCTTTTATTTTTGGTCTAATTCTCATTTCTGGAAAAGGCTTAAAATAAAGATTAAAATCCAGGTGATGTGACATGATAAACCAAAACAGGGCCCAACCCTGTTCCTGGAGCGCTATCCTCCTGTAATCGAACCCTGTTCCTGGAGTGCTATCCTCCTGTAATCGAACCCTGTTCCTGGAGCGCTATCCTCCTTTAAACCCCAACCCTGTTCACTGGAGAGCTTACCCTCCTGTAACCCAACCTGTTCCTGGAGCGCTATCCTCCTTTAACCCAACCCTGTTCTGGAACCCTCCTGTAACCCAACCCTGTTCCTGGCGAGCTACCCCCCTGTAACCCAACCCTGTTCCTGGAGCGCTACCCCCCTGTAACCCAACCCTGTTCCTGGAGCGCTATCCTCCTGTAACCCAACCCTGTTCCTGTAACCCAACCCTGTTCCTGGAGCGCTACCCCCCTGTAACCCAACCCTGTTCCTGTAACCCAACCCTGTTCCTGGAGCGCTACCCCCCTGTAACCCAACCCTGTTCCTGTAATCTAACCCTGTTCCTGGAGCGCTACCCCCCTGTAACCCAACCCTGTTCCTGTAATCTAACCCTGTTCCTGGAGCGCTACCCCCCTGTAACCCAACCCTGTTCCTGGAGCGCTATCCTCCTGTAACCCAACCCTGTTCCTGGAGCGCTATCCTCCTGTAACCCAACCCTGTTCCTGGAGCGCTATCCTCCTGTAACCCAACCCTGTTCCTGGAGAGCTACCCTCCTGTCCCGTAGCTTCAACTACCAGTTGTAACTAACCTGATTCATTTTATCAACCAGCTGGTTATTAGAATCAGGTGCTAGATTAGGGTTGGAGTGAAAACCTCCAGGTTATCATACATTATTCTATATGTACTTCTATGATTCCACCACCAGTGCTGCTGTGTGTGGCCTGGTGTTTCTGTAGGCTCTTCTGCCAGGCAAAGCCTTTTCCACAGACAGGGCATGTGTATGGTTTCTCTCCAGTGTGGGTGCTCTGGTGGGCTTTGTGGCTGCGCAGGTCCGAGAACCTCTTCCCACAGTCGGCGCACTGGTGGGGCTTCTCTCCAGAGTGAGTCTGCCGGTGGACCTTTAAACCCCATGACGTGCCGAATGTCTTCTTACACTGAGCACACTGGTGGGGTTTGTCTCCCGTGTGCGCCTTCTGATGCACCTGAAACAGAAACATTGAATTACATATTAGAACTTAATTTAATAGGACCTCTGTGGTTAGAAACGCATCCTTCGGTTTCATCAAAATTGAGACAACAGGGCTACGTTCAGTAGCCAAAAAGTTGTCGAACTTTGCGGATAGAAATGCCATGAATAGAGCCGACGAGGTTCCTTATGCTACATGTCAGAGAGGCATGTTTGTTCTAGATAGACTATTTCTATCTGAACGTTTCAAAACATTGCGTCCTGCTGAACTCGCCCAAGGTTTTCTATTGTACATGATTATTTGGAGACGCCATAGAAATGTAATGAATCGAACGGGCTTGGAACTGCCAACCCTGGCAATTTGACTGGCAAACTGACCGCTAGTCCACCCATTACGCCATCATTGACTTGAACGGGGACGCCCATTCTATTTCTATGGGAGACACCTACTGGCCAAGTCTCGGAACTGCATGACAGCGTGACATTTGTAGAAACATTTGTGGTCATACGGCACATCCTTAAAAAGGGGCTGGGCTAATAAAGTCTACATAAACATAACTGAAAGGCCGGCCCACTGGACGTAAACATGTCTGACCACATGACTGTAAGTCGCTTTGGATAAAAGCGTCTGCTAAATGGCATATTATTATTATTATTATTATTATTATTACTAGCGCTGACTTTATTGAGGAAAAATGTACTTACTATGACTAAGATATGTGGTTGTCTACGGTAAGTGGCTCTGGATAAGAGCGTCTGCCAAATGACTAAAATGTAAATGTAAATATACGCTTGTCAATACAGGTGGTAATGGGAGCAGATGTAGGCCTTTCTTTAGAGTGATCTATAGTTGACACACCTTAAGATAGGCTGAACTGGAGAAGCTCTTCCCACACTCAGAGCAGTAGTAGTAATCCACTCCGGCTAGAACTCTCAGAGCTCTCTTCCGCCCCATCGCTGACATCACCACCCCACTACCCTCCCCCGTCCCATCCCGGACGTCAGCCCCCTCCACGGCATGCAGACGTTGGTGTGTCCGGAGCATTCGGCCCTTGGTGAAGCCCTTCCCGCACACGGAGCAGTAGTGAGGCTTCTCTCCGCTGTGGGTTCTCCGGTGGTCTTTGAGGTGCTGGAGTCTCAGGAAGCTCCGGCCACACTGGGAGCAGTGGTGCGTCCTCTCTGCTGTGTGAACCAAACGGTGCTTGTTGAGGTATTGGGCGCTGTCGAAGGTCTTGCCGCAGTCACGGCAGTAGTGAGGCGGCTCACCGGTGGTGGTGGTGTGGATTGTTCTGCTCTGGTGGATTCTGCGGTGCACGTTCAGTATCCCGGGGCTGATGAAGCTCCTCCCACAGTCGGGGCAGTACAGAGGGGAGTGGTGGGGTTCCTGGGGCTGTTGTTGTTGTTTCTTTGGTTGTTGTTGTTGTTGTTGTTGTTGTTGTTGTTGTTGTGGTTCTTCTGACACAGAGGGACTCTTCCCACTGACAGGCCACTGGTTGCAGTTTCCGTCTGTGTCAACGAAATAACGAGTCTTTGGTTAAATCTGAAGAAATAACAGTACCGTGCTAAGGTTCATACTAGCAAACACTCAATATTGGTTTACGTCCCAATTGGCACCTTATTCCCTTTATAGTGCACTATTTTTGACCAAGGCCTATAGGGCTCTACAGGGAATAGGGTGCCATTTTGGACGTACACATTATCTGTACATACCAGGAAGAATAAAAACCCCAATAGCTTCTTCCTCTTCTTCTTCTTTGACCGCAAAACCACCCTCCTCTTCTTCTTTTTTAACTACAAGAGCTTTGTCCTCCTCTTCCTCCTCTACTTTGACCATGAAAGCATGATCTTCCTCCTCCTCTTCTTCTTCTTTAACTTGTAGAGAGCTATCCTCTTCCTCCTCCTCCTCCTCTTCTTCTTCTTCTTCTTCTTCTTCAACTTGTAGAGCGCTCTCCTCTTCCTCTTCTTGTTTGATGATGATGTTCAGGTCTGCAGTCTGCCAGCAGTCTACCAGTTCCAGCCTCACTAGTCTATAACTGTAGTCAGGGTCCTTCGTGTTGGTGTATGTTGGTGGTAGTAATCTATAAGTGTAGAGAGGATCCATGGTGACTATTGGTTTAGGTTCAGTGTTGTAGAATATACAATTGAGGTTCACGGAGTTAGTTCACCGATCGTTCTTTTTTAGAGCCGTATGTAGCCAGTTTGCTCAGGGAAGTTGTTGATATCTCTAGAACACAGTTTGATAGCTTAGCTGACATTAACCATTTGATTATTCAGCTTCCGACGTACGTCACTCACGCTGCAATCGTAGACATGTAAACAAGAAACAGATTCTACGAAAGGACAAAGCAGTCGAACTTTGAACTGGAAGAGCATTAGCGCAAAACGCCCGTGTTCCGTTTCCGAATTTTGAACTTTTCAAAATAAAAGCCCCACCACCAATAACAGTAAAGTAAAAGAACATGGAGCGCAACCAATGAGGAGCGAGAACACGGTTTTTTAGCTCACTGATAAGTTCGTCACCGCGCTGCTAGCGTGACCAGAGTGTGAGTTTTGCCGCTTTCAAAATAGTTGGGAACTCGGAAACCATCGACTTCCGATTTCAGTGTGTTCAAAACAACTGGGAACTCGGAAAAAAACGACCTCCGACTGGGAAAATCGATTTGAACGGTCATCCAACTCGAAATTCCAACTCGGGAAGTCGGGCCTCTTTCTAGAGCTCCGATTTTCCGACCTGAAGATCACTGACGTCATGATTTGACCTCGTATTTTTCCGAGTTCCCTGTTGTTTTGAACGTAGCATTTACCTAGCTAGCCTGGGGTATATTCATTACGCGGATTCCACTGCAAAACGTCTCCTCTGTTGCAAAACGTTTTGCAACGGACACAGTTTACTCTAAACGGAAAACATTTTGCAACGAAAATAAATTAATATAGGTACCTCCCCGTTTGGTTCTGTTTGCTCTGTTTGTTTCCTAGAGTAAACGGTTTCCGCGTAATGAATACATCCCTGGCAAGAAAGAAGTGAAATGAGAAGCTAGCTAGCTGTTTACCTATCCGCCTGACTGCTCGGAAAATGTCTACTTGTCTTATTTGCTAGCTAGCATAATCAAAACTAACTTTGGAAAAGCATCTATTCGGCAGTGATGTGATTTTCCAGCTTCGTTGCAACGGCCGTTATACCTGAGGTAGGAAACTAAAGATGACAAATGCTGTTTTATACCTAACAGTAGCTAACGGTAGCTAACGTTAGCAAAATTGGGGGTTTGCCACTGACTAGCTAACTAGTTAGCTTGTTAGCAGCTAGATACAGTGATTTGGTCAAGAATAAGCTAGCTAACTAAAATAATTATTGTTTTCATTGAATGGCTAGCCATAACCTGTAAGAACCCCTGTTTCCTAGGAACAGGTTTGATATGCGGAGTTGACAATTACGCATTTGTTGCAGTGTTCGTGTTCAGTTATGTGCATTTGAGTTGTTTCCTGGATGCTAACTGTCATTTAGCTGTCAAAAACATCAGTTATTACTAAATGAAGAAAGCTATAAAAATGGGATCCTGCCGTAGTATTAATAACTGTATTAGCTATAAGATACATTATCAGAACTCAAAGCCAGTTATTCTGTAATATTTGGACATTTTCCTCTGTCACAGAGAGTATGGCCAAAAAGCTATTACCTAGTATAGTGAGTGCACTAATTTTGACCAGGGCTATGGAGGAGTACCTATGCTATGGGCTCTGGTCAAAAGTAGTTGTTATGATATTTCTTGTATTTTCTCCTTTTGGATTATGTGTGTATTGCTCAATATTACTGCACTGTTGGCGCTAGAAAGGTAAGCATTTCGCTGTGTCTGCGATAACACATCTGTGTACAGGACCAATAAACTTTGATTTGAGGTAATAGGGTGCTATTTGGGTCTCAAACAGTTCATATTTCTCTCTCTCTGTCTCTCTCTCTGTCTCTCTCTCTGTCTCTCTCTCTGTCTCTCTCTCTCTCTCTGTCTCTCTATCTGTCTCTCTCTCTCTTTCTCTCTCTTTCTATTTCTGTCTCTCTTTCTCTTTCTGTGTCTCCCTCTTTCTCGTTCTGTGTCTCCCTCTTTCTGTTTCTCTTTCTGTCTCTGTCTCCCTCTCTGTTTCTCTCCCTCTCTCCAATTCAAAGGGCATTATTGTCATGACAAAGCAAGTGAACTAGATAATAATGATCAGTAAACATTACACTCCCAAGTTTCAAAGGAATGGACACACTTCAAATGTCATTATGTACAGTGTTATAACCATGTGCAAATTGTTAAAGTACAAAAGGGGAAATCAATAAACATGGGTTGTATTTACAATGGTGTTTGTTCTTGTGGCAACAGGTCACACGTCTTGCTGCTGTGACGGCACACTGTGGTATTTCACCTAATAGATACGGAAGTTTATCAAAATTGGATTTGTTTTCAAATTCTTTGTGGATCTCTGTAATCTGAGGGAAATATGTGTCTCTAATATGGTTGTACATTTGGCAGGAGGTTAGGAAGTGCAACTCAGTTTCCACCTCATTTTGTGGGCAGTGTTTAGGCCGAGGTAGGTATAGTTTTTTTGTGTGCTCTAGGGCAACTGTGTCTAGATGGAATTTGTGGTACCTGGCAACTGGACTTTTTTTGTAACACCATTATTTTTGTCTTACTGAGATTTACTGTCAGGGCCAAAGTCTGACAGAATCTGTGCAGAAGATCTAGGTGCTGCTGTAGGCCCTCCTTGGTTGGGGACAGAAGCACCAGATGATCAGCAAACAGTAGACATTTGACTTCAGATTCTAGTAGGGTGAGGCCGGGTGCTGCAGACTGTTCTAGTGCCCTCGCCAATTGGTATGTGTGTGTGTGTGTGTGTGTGTGTGTGTGTGTGTGTGTGTGTGTGTGTGTGTGTGTGCGCGCAGTACCTGTCAAAGGTTTGGACACAACCTTCAAGGGTTTTTCTTTATTTTTACTATTTTCTATATTGTAGAATAATAGTGAAGACATCAAAACTATGAAATAACACAGTTGGAATCATGTAGTAACCAAAAAAGTGTTAAACAAATGAAAATATATTTTAGATTCTTCAAAGTAGCCACCCTTTGCTTTGTTGACCGCTTTGCACACTCTTGGCATTCTCTCAACCGGCTTCGAGGTAGTCACCTGGAGGTAAAAGATACATTTTTCCACATTTTGTTACATTAGTCTTATTCTAAAATTAATTAAATAAAGAAAATTCCTCAGCAATCTACACACAATACCCCATAATGACAAAGCGAAAACAGGTTTTTTGAATTTTTTTGCAAATGTTATATTTGATACTGAAGCTTAAAGGTCAAATCTACTGTTTAGGCTTTCTACTGCCAAGTTTACACCTTCACTATTACAGTGAAATGTTTTGTCCAGGAAGGTTTCTACACTACTTTCCTTCCATCTATAGCGTTTCTTAATATTATGCATTTCCTTTGGCTTTGATGCCTCATGATTTGAGTGTTGCTCTGTTCAAGTAGACTGTGATTTTGCTGTGGTCTGATAGGGGTTTCAGTGGGGTGACTGTGAACGCTCTGAGAGACTCTGACCTGAGGTCAGTAATAAAGTAGTCTACAGTACTACTGCCAAGAGATGAGCTATAGGTGTACCTACCATAGGAGTCCCCTCGAAGCCTACCATTGACTATGTACAGACCCAGCCTGTGACAGAACTGCAGGAGTTGTGAACTGTTTTTGTTGGTTGTTTTGCCATAGTTGTGTCTAGTGGGGCATATTTGGGAGGGAATACTGTCACCTCCAGGTAAGTGTTTGTCCCCCTGTGTGCTGAGAGTGTCATGTTCTGGTCCAGTTCTGGCATTTAGGTCGCCATAGACTGGTACATGTCCCTGGGCCTGGAAATGGTTGATCTCCCCCTCTAGGATGGAGAAGCTGTCATCGTTAAAGTATGGAGATTCATTTGGGGGGATATAGGTAGCACACATGAGGACATTCTTCTCTGTTGAGATTAATTTCTAGCCAGATATAAAATGTTCCTGTTTTGACTAATTTAATAGAGTTGGTTAGGTCTGCTCTATCCCAAATTAGCATACCCCCTGAGTCTCTTCCCTGTTTCACACCTGGTAGTTTGGTGGATGGGACTACCAGCTCTCTGTAACCTAGAAGGCAACCAGTGGGTCCATCTCCTCTATACCATGTTTCTTGTAGGATGACAATGTCTGTATTTCCAATTTCTTTGAAGTCTGGGAGGGTGTCTCGCTAGTCTGGGCGGGGTTTCTGTTGCTCCTGTGTGAGGTGCTGCGGTTGAGAGTGACGTCCTTCAGGGTCCTGGCAAAAGTTGGGATTGCTGCCTTGTATAGGTGGACCTGGTCCTAAAGGCTGTTCCCGTCCAGGGTGGAGTGGTGGGCCAGGTAGACATTAGGTTTTGAGGCACAGTCCAGGGTGGAGTGGTGGGCCAGGTAGACATTAGATTTTGAGGCACAGTCCCGGGAAATGCTTCCATTCACCCTCTGTGTGGTGGCAGGGTGGCGATAACCACTTGTGCGTTGGGGAAAGTAGAAGAAGCTTTTTCAATCACTCCCTTGAGTGCTGTAGCCACCCTTTCCTGCTGGACCCTCAGGTCGTCTGTGCCTGTGGAATTATGATGTGGCTGGGGGATCCTAGTCTGTCCTCTGACAACAGCTCCAGGGCCTGCCTAGTGTTTGGGCACCAGAGTTTAGCCACTTTGTGTTTGGGAAAAAGTTCATTCTCTTGAATGTATTTGCCATTTGAGTCAATGAGGAGCACAATTTATGGTTTTTGTGTTTCCTCAGTGGGTGTGTGGGGTTTTTCTCTCTCGCTCTCTTTCTCTCTCGCTCTCTTTCTCTCTCGCTCTTTCTCACTTGCTCTCTCTCTCACACACTTCTCTGTCCCACTCTCACTTATTCTTTGGTTCTCTCTCCTCCAGACCCCAGATGATCCAGCAGATGAAGGAGGGGGGTGCCGCTGCTGCCCCCGTCCCCAACCCTCTCTCTGAAGTCTCCTCCCCCCCGACCCCTTCTGTGACCTCTGACCCCCCTCGCTCTCCGTACCCCCGGCCCTCTGCCAGCCCCTTCATCAGCGAGGACCAGTTTGCGTGCCATTGTTGCTACGACATCCTGGTCAACCCAACAACGCTTAACTGTGGTCACAGCTTCTGCCGCCACTGCCTGGCTCTCTGGTGGGAGTCTAGTAGGAAGACTGAGTGCCCTGAGTGCAGGGAGAAGTGGGAGGGCTTCCCCAAAGTCAACATCCTACTGAGGTAAGGTACTAGGGTACATGAACTTAACTTACTGGTATTACTCTCTAGGGTTGGGAACTACCAGGGACCTCACCATATTATCACCATACTTAGGTGCCGATACGTATTGCGATTGTCACGAGAGATATATATATACATACATACATACATACATACATACATACATACAGTGAGGGGGAAAAAGTATTTGTACGTTTGGCCACTGACAAAGACATGATCAGTCTATAATTTTAATGGTAGGTTTATTTGAACAGTGAGAGACAGAATAACAACATAAACAACAAAAAATCCAGAAAAACGCATGTTATAAATGTTATAAATTGATTTGCATTTGAATGAGGGAAATAAGTATTTGACCCCCTCTCAATCAGAAATATTTCTGGCTCCCAGGTGTATTTTATACAGGTAACGAGCTGAGATTAGGAGCACACTCTTAAAGGGAGTGCTCCTAATCTCAGTTTGTTACCTGTATAAAAGACACCTGTCCACAGAAGCAATCAATCAATCAGATTCCAAACTCTCCACCATGGCCAAGACCAAAGAGCTCTCCAAGGATGTCAGGGACAAGATTGTAGACCTACACAAGGCTGGAATGGGCTACAAGACCATCGCCAAGCAGAAGAAACACAAAAGAACTGTCAATCTCCCTCGGCCTGGGGCTCCATGCAAGATCTCACCTCGTGGAGTTGCAATGATCACGAGAACGGTGAGGAATCAGACCAGAACTACACGGGAGGATCTTGTCAATGATCTCAAGGCAGCTGGGACCATAGTCACCAAGAAAACAATTGGTAACACACTACGCCATGAAGGACTGAAATCCTGCAGCGCCCGCAAGGTCCCCCTGCTCAAGAAAGCACATATACAGGCCCGTCTGAAGTTTGCCAATGAAACATCTGAATGATTCAGAGGAGAACTGGGTGAAAGTGTTGTGGTCAGATGAGACCAAAATCGAGCTCTTTGGCATCAACTCAACTCGCCGTGTTTGGAGGAGGAGGAATGCTGCCTATGACCCCAAGAACACCATCCCCACCGTCAAACATGGAGGTGGAAACATTATGCTTTGGGGGTGTTTTTCTGCTAAGGGAACAGGACAACTTCACCGCATCAAAGGGACGATGGACGGGGCCATGTACCGTCAAATCTTGGGTGAGAACCTCCTTCCCTCAGCCAGGGCATTGAAAATGGGTCGTGGATGGGTATTCCAGCATGACAATGACGATCTGCAAAGAGGAGTGGAACAAAATCCCTCCTGAGATGTGTGCAAACCTGGTGGCCAACTACAAGAAATGTCTGACCTCTATGATTGCCAACACCACCTTCCGGAGACATTTGAAACCCCACCTCTTTAAGGAATACCTGGGATAGGATAAAGCAATCCTTCTACCCCCCCCCCCCCCCCCCCACACACACAGCGGAGTCGCTCACCACCTTCCGGAGACATTTGAAACCCCACCTCTTTAAGGAATACCTGGGATAGGATAAAGTAATCCTTCTACCCCCCCCCCCCCCCTCACACACAGCGGAGTCGCTCACCACCACCTTCCGGAGACATTTGAAACCCCACCTCTTTAAGGAATACCTGGGATAGGATAAAGTAATCCTTCTACCCCCCCCCCCAAAAAAAAAAAAAAATTTGTAAAGTGGTTATCCCACTGGCTATAGGGTGAATGCATCAATTTGTGAGTCGCTCTGGACTAGAGCGTCTGCTAAATGACGTAAATGTGCCCTTGAGCAAGGCACTTAACCCTAATTGCTCCTGTAAGTCGCTCTGGATAAGAGCGTCTGCTAAATGACTAAAATGTAAATGTAAAATGTAAACAAGGGTTTTGCCACCAAGTACTAAGTCATGTTTTGCAGAGGGGTCAAATACTTATTTCCCTCATTAAAATGCAAATCAATTTATAACATTTTTGACATGCGTTTTTCTGGATTTTTGTTGCTATTCTGTCTCTCACTGTTCAAATAAACCTACCATTAAAATGATAGACTGATCATGTCTTTGTCAGTGGGCAAACGTACAAAATCAGCAGGGGATCAAATACTTTTTTCCCTCACTGTAGATACATACAGTTGAAGTCAGACGTTTACATATACCTTAGCCAAATACATTTAAACTCAGTTTTTCACAATTCCTGACATTTAATCCTAGTAAAAATTCCCTGTTTTAGGTCAGTTAGGATCAACACTTTATTTTAAGAATGTGAAATGTCAGAATAATAGTAGAGAGAATGATTTATTTCAGCTTTTATTTCTTTCATCACATTCCCAGTGGGTCAGAAGTTTACATACACTCAATTAGTATTTGGTAGCATTGCCTTTAAATTGTTTAACTTGGGTCAAACGTTTCGGGTAAACTTTCACAAGCTTCCCACAATAAGTTGGGTGAATTTTGGCCCATTCCTCCTGACAGAGCTGGTGTAACTGAGTCAGGTTTGTAGGCCTCCTCGCTCGCACACGCTTTTTCAGTTCTGCCCACACATTTTCTATAGGATTGAGGTCAGGGCTTTGTGATGGCCACTCCAATACCTTGACTTTGTTGTCCTTAAGCCATTTTGCCACAACTTTGGAGGTATGCTTGGGGCCATTGTCCATTTGGAAGACCCATTTGCGACCAAGCTTTAACTTCCTGACTGATGTCTTGAGATGTTGCTTCAATATATCCACATAATTTTCCTTCCTCATGATGCCATCTATTTTGTGAAGTGCACCAGTCCCTCCTGCAGCAAAGCACCCCCACAGCATGATGCTGCCACCCCGTGCTTCACGGTTGGGATGGTGTTCTTCGGCTTGCAAGCAACCCCCTTTTCCTCCAAACATAACGATGGTCATTATGGCCAAACAGTTCTATTTTTGTTTCATCAGACCAGAGGACATTTCTCCAAAAAGTACGATCTTTGTCCCCATGTGCAGTTGCAAACCATAGTCTGGCTTTTTTATGACGGTTTTGGAGCAGTGGCTTCTTCCTTGCTGAGCGGCCTTTCAGGTTATGTTGATATAGGACTCGTTTTACTGTGGATATAGATACTTTTTTACCTGTTTCCTCCAGCATCTTCACAAGGTCCTTTGCTGTTGTTCTGGGATTGATTTGCACTTTTCGCACCAAAGTACATTCATCTCTAGGAGACAGAATGCGTCTCCTTCCTGAGCGGTATGACGGCTGCGTGGTCCCATGGTGTTTATACTTGCATACTATTGTTTGTACAGATGAACGTGGTACCTTCAGGCGTTTGGAAATTGCTCCCAAGGATGAACCAGACTTGTGGAGGTTTTTTTTCTGAGGTCTTGGCTGATTTCTTTTGATTTTTCCCATGATGTCAAGCAAAGAGGCACTGAGTTTGAAGGTAGGCCTTGAAAAACATCCACAGGTACACCTCCAATTGACTCAAATGATGTCAATTAGCCTATCAGAAACTGGCCATGACATCATTTTTTGGAATTTTCCAAGCTGTTTAAAGGCACAGTCAACTTAGTGTATGTAAACTTCTGACCCACTGGAATTGTGAAATAATCTGTCTGTAAACAATTGTTGGAAAAATTACTTGTGTCATGCACAAAGTAGATGTCCTAACCGACTTGCCAAAACTATAGTTTGTTAACCCTCTCTGTATGGTGAAATGTATAGGTCGAGCTAAGATATCAGAGAGAAGTGGGAGGGCTTCCCCAAAGTCAACATCCTACTGAGGTAGGCAGGGCATAAAATTAACACCTGCCACCTGCCAATTGCGGGTCAATTTAGGTATTGGCGGTTAAGAATGTCTATTTCACCAACCACGTTGGCGGGTGTCTGCTGGCTGCTGGGTGGGGCGTTACACGTTCCATCATTCACTGGATTCCTTTCTATAATATCAATTCAATTTAAGGGGCTTCATTGGCAATGAGAAACATATGTTTACGTTGCCAAAGCAAGTGAAATAGATAATAAACAAATGTGAAATATGATGAACAGTAAACATTACATTAAAAAAGTTATAAAAGAATAAAGACATGTCATATTCTGTCTATATACAGTGTTGTAATGATGTGCAAATAGTTAAAGTACAAAAGGGAAAATAAATCAACATAAATATAGATTGTATTTACAACGGTGTTTGTTCTTCACTGGTTTTCTGGCAACGGCACCATGCAGTGCACCCTGGACTAAAGAGGCAGACCAATAGGAGAAATGTGCTAGACCCTCCGTTAAATAGCAAGTTTCTCAGGTAGGAATATCACTAAAATATGATCAATGGCTCATTCGAGAGAAGATATCCTCCCGAGTTATGACATCGGCCAGTATTGAAATCTGACATGTATGATAGTCGTTTACGCAATCTAAAAGTTGTATTCCTATTAACTTTCAGTGTAGCGAGAGCGACTTTATCGTGGCTCTACGTCATACCAGCCGAATTTCTGCCTTCTTGAACGCCAATAACTCAGATACACATGGAAACATGAAATGACCCAGGGAATCGATAGAACATCACTCGGAGATGCATAAAAACAATATAACATTCCAAATGGGTGAACCGTTCCTTTCTAAGGATATGGCTGCGGCCCAAATGGCGCCTTATTCCCTTCATAGTGCACTACTTTTTAGAGCGGTCCCCATAGGACTCTTGAAAGCAGAAGGGGAGTGTACGTGATCTCATCTTATCGCTAGTACCCTCTGTAGGGTGACTGTAGCCTATAGGTCTAGCTAGGACAACATGTTTACCTTATCGCTAGTACCCTCTGTAGGGTGACTGTAGCCTATAGGTCTAGCTAGGACAACATGTTTACCTTATCGCTAGTACCCTCTGTATGGTGACTGTAGCCTATAGGTCTAGCTAGGACAACATGTTTACCTTATCGCTAGTACCCTCTGTATGGGGACTGTAGCCTATAGGTCTAGCTAGGACAACATGTTTACCTTATCGCTAGTACCCTCTGTATGGTGACTGTAGCCTATAGGTCTAGCTAGGACAACAAGTTTACCTTATCGCTAGTGCCCTCTGTATGGTGACTGTAGCCTATAGGTCTAGCTAGGACAACATGTTTACCTTATCGCTAGTACCCTCTGTAGGGTGACTGTAGCCTATAGGTCTAGCTAGGACAACATGTTTACCTTATCGCTAGTACCCTCTGTATGGTGACTGTAGCCTATAGGTCTAGCTAGGACAACATGTTTACCTTATCGCTAGTACCCTCTGTATGGTGACTGTAGCCTATAGGTCTAGCTAGGACAACATGTTTACCTTATCGCTAGTACCCTCTGTAGGGTGACTGTAGCCTATAGGTCTAGCTAGGACAACATGTTTACCTTATCGCTAGTACCCTCTGTATGGTGACTGTAGCCTATAGGTCTAGCTAGGACAACATGTTTACCTTATCGCTAGTACCCTCTGTATGGGGACTGTAGCCTATAGGTCTAGCTAGGACAACATGCTAGGTTCGGTACTATGACCTGGATGTACAATACAGATCCTGGATGAAATAGGCTGTAGTCAGTGTGTGACTTCCTTCTCTCCACCCTTTCCTTCTCTCTCCATCCTCTACCTCTCTTACTCCTCCCTCTCTCATCCCCTCCTCTCTCTCCTCCTTTCTTTACCCCCTCCATCCTCTCTATTTGACCCCCCCCCCCCTCTCAGAGATGCAGTAGAGAGGTTGTTCTCAGAGGTGGTGGGGAGGAGGAGAGCAGAGATCCAGGGGAACCCCAAGATCTCACAGAGCCTGCTGGCCTTTCAGAGGTACCATACTAACACACTCCGAGCCAGCTGGCCTTTCAGAGGTACCATACTAACACACTCCGAGCCAGCTGGCCTTTCAGAGGTACCATACTAACACACTCAGAGCCAGCTGGCCTTTCAGAGGTTCCATACTAACACACTCCGAGCCAGCTGGCCTTTCAGAGGTTCCATACTAACACACTCCGAGCCAGCTGGCCTTTCAGAGGTACCATACTAACACACTCAGAGCCAGCTGGCCTTTCAGAGGTACCATACAATGTACACTATATATTCAAAAGTATGTGGACACCCCTTCAAATTAGTGGATTTGACTATTTCAGCCACACCCGTTGCTGACAGGTGTAAAAAATCGAGCACACAGCCGTGCAATCTCCATAGACAAACATTGGCAGTAGAATGACCTTACTGAAGAGCTCAGTGACTTTCAACGTGGCACCGTCATAGGATTTCACCTTTTCAGCCGCGAAGTGGTAGGCCACACAAGCTCACAGAACGGGACCGCCATGTGCTGAAACACGTAGAGTGTAAAAATCATCTGTCCTCGGTTGCAACACTCACTACCGAGTTCCAAACTGCCTCTGGAAGCAACGTCAGCACAATAACTGTCCGTCAGGAGCTTCATGAAATAGGTTTCCATTGCCGAGCAGCCGCACACAAGCCTAAGATCACCATGCGCAATGCCAAGCGTCGGCTGGAGTGGTGTAAAGCGTGCCGCCATTGGACTCTGGAGCAGTGGAAACGCATTCTCTGGAGTGATGAATCACGCTTCACCATCTGGCAGTCCAATGGACAAATCTGGGTTTGGCGGATGCCAGGAGAACACTACCTTACCCAATGCAAAGTGCCAATAATAAAGTTTGGTGGAGGAGGAATAATGGTCTGGGGCTGTTTTTCATGGTTCTGGCTTGGCCCCTTAGTTCCAGTGAAGGGAGATCTAAATGCTACAGCATACAATGACATTCTAGACAATTCTGTGCCTCCAACTTTGTGGCAACAGTTTGGGGAAGGCCCTTTCCTGTTTCAGCATGACAATCCCCCTGTGCACAAAGCGAGGCCCATACAGAAATGGTTTGTCGAGATCGGTGTGGAAGAACTTGACTGGCCTGCACAGAGCCCTGACCTCAACCCCAAGAACACCTCTGGGATGAATTGGAACGCTGACTTCGAGACAGGCCTAATCGCCCAACATCGGTGCCCGACCTCACTAATGCTCTTGTGGCTGAATGGAAGCAAGTCCCCGCAGTAATGTTCCAACATCTAGTGGAAAGCCTTCCCAGAAGAGTGGAGGCTGTTATAGCAGCAAAGGGGGGGGGGGACCAACTCCATATTAATGTCCATGATTTTGGAATGAGATGTTGGACGAGCAGGTGTCCACATACTTTTGATCATGCAGTGTAATATATAAGCCGATGTCAAATCAAGGGCATCCATATGGATCAAGTGTCTCAGAGGTAGGAGTGCAGATCTGGGATCACTTTTGGCTTTTAGATCACAATGAATTTGATTTACATGGACGGGGACCTGATCCTAGATCAGCACTCCTAGTCTGAGATGTATGTTGCTCGTACTTAGGGCCTTGTGTTTATCACAATCATGTGACCATAGCAAGATTTGATCCTGTATTTTAAGCCTCGTCCAGAAGTGAGATTTACTCGTGTGTGTGTCGTCCAGGTATGGTGTCTCACCTCCTCACCTGTCTGTGTCTAACCTGTATGCAACCTGTCTGTCTGTCTGTAACCTGTCTGTCTGTCTGTAACCTGTCTGTCTGTAACCTGTCTGTCTGTGTGTAACCTGTCTGTAACCTGTCTGTAACCTGTCTGTCTGTCTGTAACCTGTCTGTCTGTCTGTAACCTGTCTGTCTGTCTGTAACCTGTCTGTCTGTCTGTAACCTGTCTGTAGGTATGGTGATCAGGCAGCCAGAGGAATCCCCAAGACCAGTCCTGGTAGAGGAGCAGGAGGGTTCTTCTCTGGAGTCCTCACTGCACTCACCTGTGTTGCGGTAAGAGAGAGAGAGAGAGAGGGAGAGGGTTTTATTTTAACTAGGAAAAGAGCCTTGAGGTTAGAAGCCTCTTTTTCGAGGGGGACCTGGGGAGAGGTCAACAGGAAGGAGTCGGTGAGGGGGACCTGGGCAGAGGTCAACAGGAAGGAGTCGGTGAGGGGGACCTGGGGAGAGGTCAACAGGAAGGAGTCGGTGAGGGGGACCTGGGGAGAGGTCGACAGGAAGGAGTCGGTGAGGGGGACCTGGGGAGAGGTCGACAGGAAGGAGTCGGTGAGGGGGACCTGGGGAGAGGTCAACAGGAAGGAGTCGGTGAGGGGGACCTGGGGAGAGGTCAACAGGAAGGAGTCGGTGAGGGGGACCTGGGGAGAGGTCAACAGGAAGGAGTCGGTGAGGGGGACCTGGGGAGAGGTCAACAGGAAGGGACCATTACAACTCTCTGTGTGTGTGGGACAGGAATGCTTGGAGTGTGTGTCAGCCTACTTTTCTCTACGTGTGGCAGAAAGGGTCAGCGTGTGTAGTGAGGGTGTGGGGGGGGTAGTGGTGGGTTGGTGTGTGTTTAGTGTGTGTGTGTGTTGAAGGGTCACAGTTTGTGTGTGGTTTTGTCTATTTGTTCTGTCCATGTGGCAGTAAGAGGGCAACGTCTGTGTGTATCTTTCCGCGTGGCAGTGTGTCTGTCTGTCTGTGTTTTTATTTGAAAGACATTAGTCTGTCTGAGTGCTTCATGTTAATATGTGCCAAAGTAGTGTGAATGAAGTTCCTGTCTCACCTGTCTGTGTCCCACCTGTCTGTGTCCCACGTGCTGTGTCCCACGTGTCTGTGTCCCACGTGTCTGTGTCCCACGTGTCTGTGTCCCACCTGTCTGTGTCCCACCTGTCTGTGTCCCACCTGTCTGTGTCCACGTGTCTGTGTCCCACGTGTCTGTGTCCCACGTGTCTGTGTCCCACGTGTCTGTGTCCCACGTGTCTGTGTCCCACGTGTCTGTGTCCCACGTGTCTGTGTCCCACGTGTCTGTGTCTCACCTGTCTGTGTCCCACGTGTCTGTGTCCCACGTGTCTGTGTCCCACGTGTCTGTGTCCCACCGTATCTCTTCCTATTCTATGCCCGTCTCACCTCTCTCACACCTGTCTGTTACCTGTCTTACCTGGCTCTCTCCCCTACCTGTCCCAGGTGATGTTGCTGGTGTACCACTGGCCCAGTGGAGAGAACACTCATCTCTGCTCCTTCACATATACCGGTCTCTCCTACCTGTCTCTCCTCTCTCCTACCTGTCTCTCCTCTCTCCTACCTGTCTCTCCTCTCTCCTACCTGTCTCTCCTCTCTCCTAGCTGTATCTCCTCTCTCCTACCTGTCTCTCCTACCTGTCTCACCTCTCTCCTACCCGTCTCACCTTTCTCATACTGTCTCTCCTCTCTCCTACCTGTCTCTCCTCTCTCCTACCTGTCTCTCTTCCCTCCTACCTGTCTCTCCTCTCTCCTAGCTGTATCTCCCTCTCTCCTACCTGTCTCTCCTACCTGTCTCACCTCTCTCCTACCCGTCTCACCTTTCTCATACTGTCTCTCCTCTCTCCTAACTGTCTCACCTCTCTCCTACCCGTCTCACCTTTCTCATACTGTCTCTCCTCTCTCCTACCTGTCTCTCCTCTCTCCTACCTGTCTCTCTTCCCTCCTACCTGTCTCTCCTCCCTCCTACCTGTCTCTCACGTCCTCCCCTACCTGTCTCTCTTCCCTCCTACCTGTCTGTCCTCTCTCCTACCTGTCTGTCCTCCTCCCTACCCTGTCTCTCCTCTCCTCTCTCCTACCTGTCTCTCCTCTCTCCTACCTGTCTCTCTCCTCTTTCCCCTCCTACCTGTCCTGTCCTCTCTCCTACCTGTCTCTCTTCTCTCCTACCTGTCTCTCCTCCCTCCTACCTGTCTCTCCTCTCTCCTACCTGTCTCTCCTCTCTCCTACCTGTCTCTCTTCCCTCCTACCTGTCTCTCCTCCCTCCTACCTGTCTCTCCTCTCTCCTACCTGTCTCTCCTCTCTCCTACCTGTCTCTCCTCTCTCCTACCTGTCTCTCTTCCCTCCTACCCATCTCTCCTACCCGTCTCACCTTTCTCATACTGTCTACCTCTCTTATACCTGTCTCACCTCTCTTCTACCTGTGTGTCTCTCCTACCAGGTGATGTTGCTGGTGTACCACTGGTCCAGTGGAGACGGGGTCCATGACCTCTTGGTCAGTAAACCTGTGTCAAAATGGACACCGGAGGAAGTTCTGTTCTGGTTGGAACACCTGGGACCCTGGACCTCTCTCTACAAAGAACCCTTCCTACAGGAGAACGTCAACGGACGGTGAGGAACGCTTAACAGTTTGTGGTATGGTTATAGTACGGTTCTGTTCTGGTTGGAGACCACCTGGGGCCCTTGACCTGGACCTCTCCCCTCCCTCTGGGGCCCTGGACCTCTCCCCTCCCTCTGGGGCCCTGGACCTCTCCCCTCCCCCTGGGGCCCTGGACCTCCTCCCCCCTCCCCCCTTGGGGCCCTGGAGGACCTCTCCCCTCTCCTCTGGGCCCCCTGTGCCTGGACCTCCCCCCCTCTGGGCCCTGGACCTCTCCCCTCCCTCTGGGGCCCTGGACCTCTCCCTCCCTCTGGGCCCTGGACCTCCTCCCCTCCCTCATGGGCCTGGCCTCTCCCCTCCCTCTGGGGCCCTGGACCTCTCCCTCCCTCTGGGCCCTGGACCTCTCCCTCACCTGGCCTTGGTCTTCCTCTTTTGGGCTACTGGCTCTCCTCTCCCTTTTTGGGGCCCTGGACCTGACCCTGACCCTCCCCTCCCTCTGAGGCCCCCCCAGGGCTGGACCTCTCCCCTCCCTCTGGGGCCCTGGACCTGGACCTGGACCTGGCTACCCCTCCCCTGGGGCCTGGACCTCTACTTCTCCTTCCCCTGCCCTGGACTGGCCTGGACCTCCCCCTCCGCTTGTTTTACCCTGGAATTTCGTCTTCCTCCTTACCCCTCTGGGGCCCTGGACCTTCGTATCCCCTACTCTGGGCTGATTCTTTGGACCTCTTTCCCCTCCCCTGGGGCCCTGGACCTTCCCCTCCCTCTGGGCCCTGGACCTCACCACTCCCTCTGGGGCCCTGGAACCACTACTACCACTCCCACATTGCCCTGGACTGGACCTACTCCCCTCCTCGTGGCCCTGACCTCTCCACTCCCTCTGGGCTCCTGGACCTCTCTCCTCCCTCTGTGCCTGGATCCTGCTCATCCCAATCCCTCTGGGGTCCCTTGGGCTACTTCATGGCTGTACCCCTGCCCCTCTGGGGACTCCCCCCCCTGGGGCCCTCTGGACCTCTCCCCTCCCCCTGGGGCCCCTGGACCATCTCCCCTACCCTCTGGGGCCCCCTGGACCGGGACCCTGACCTGGACCTGGAACTCTCCTCGTCGTCCTCTTGTGCGCTCTCTTTCTTTCTTTCATGGTCAGGTTATTATTGATGTTAGGTAGTGATGAGTTGACCTGAGCTCCCTATAACATAGAGAACTATGGTTATGTCATGGTTATTTAATGGTTGTATTATGGTTATGTTCTCTCTCTCAGGTTATTGTTGATGCTAGGTGATGAGGAGCTGACCAGAGCCCCCTATAACATAGACAACCAGGCCCACAGGAGAGCGGTGCTGGCTGAACTGGAGAGGATCAAAGAACTGGGGGTCAAACCACCTCAGAACCTCTGGGAGTACAAGGTAACAGAAACCATAAACACTATGTATTATATCAACTTATAAACTGGGTGGTTCGAGCCCTGAATGCTGATTGGCTGACAGCCGTGGTATACCACGGGTATGACGGAACATTTATTTTTACTGCTTTAATGTTGTTGGTTACCAGTTTATAATAGCAATAAGGCACCTCGGGGGTTTGTGGTATATGGCTAATATACCATGGCTAATTAATTTTTTTATTTTTTATTTCACCTTTATTTAACCAGGTAAACCAGTTGAGAACAAGTTCTCATTTACAACTGCGACCTGGCCAAGATAAAGCAAAGCAGTGTGATTAAAACAACAATGGGGTAAAACAAAACATAAAGTCAAAAATACAACAGAAAATATATATACAGTGTGTGTGAATGTAGTAAGTTATGGAGGTAAGGCAATAAATAGGCCATAGTGCAAAATAATTACAATTAGTATTAACACTGGAATGATAGATGTGCAAGAGATGATGTGCAAATAGAGATACTGGGGTGCAAATGAGCAAAATAAATAACAATATGGGGATGAGGTAGTTGGATGGGCTAATTTCAGATGGGCTGTGTACAGGTGCAGTGATCGGTAAGGTGCTCTGACAACTGATGCTTCAAGTTAGTGAGGGAGATAAGAGTCTCCAGCTTCAGAGATGTTTGCAGTTCGTTCCAGTCATTGGCAGCAGAGAACTGGAAGGAATGGCGGCCAAAGGAGGTGTTTGCTTTGGGGATGACCAGTGAGATATACAGGCTAAAGGGCTGTATCCTCTCCACGTTGTGTCGTGCGTAACAACAGCCCTTAGCCGTGGTGAATTGGCCATATACCACACCCCCTCGGGCCTTATTGCTTAATTATACCATGGCATTGTTGAATACTCTGGCTGGGCCACTCATGGACATTCAGAGACTTGTCCCGAAGCCACTCCTGCGTTGTGTTGGCTGTGTGCTTAGGGACGTTGTCCTGTTGGAAGGTGAACCTTCGCCCCAGTCTGAGGTCCTGAGCACTTTGGAGCAGGTTTCCATCAAGGATCTCTTTGTACTTTGCTCTGTTCATCTTTCCCTCAATCCTGACTAGTCTCCCAGTCCCCGCCGCTGAAAAACATCCCCACAGCATGATGCTGCCACCACCATGCTTCACCGTAGGGATGGTGCCAGGTTTCCTCCAGACGTTGACGCTTGGCATTCAGGCCAAAGAGTTCAATCTTGGTTTCATCAGACCAGAGAATCTTGTTTCTCATGGTCTGAGAGTCTTTAGGTGCCTTTTGGCAAACTCCAAGCGGGCTGTCATGTGCCTTTTACTGAGGAGTGGCTTCCGTCTGGCCACTCTACCATAAAGGCCTGATTGGTGGAGTGCTGCAGAGATGGTTGTCCTTCTGGAAGTGTCTTGGTGGTTCCAAACTTCTTCCATTTAAGAATGATGGAGGCCACTGTGTTCTTGGGGACCTTCAATGCTGCAGACATGTTTTGGCACCCTTCCCCAGATCTGTGCCTCGACACAATCCTGTCTCTGAGCTCTACAGACAATTCCTTCGACCTTATGGCTTGGTTTTTGCTCTGACATGCACTGTCAACTGTGGGACCTTTTTATATAGACAGGTGTGCGCCTTTCCAAATCATGTCCAATCAATTGAATTTATCACAGGTAGACTCCCATCAAGTTGTAGAAACATCTCAAGGATGATCAATGGAAACAGGATGCACCTGAGCTCAATTTCGAGTCTCATAGCAAAGGGTCTGAATACTTATGTAAATAAGGTATTTCGGTTTGTTTTTAAAAAATACATTTGCAAAAAATATTAACCTGTTTTTGCTTCCTCATTATGGGGTATTGTGTGTAGATTGATGAGGAAAAAGTTAATTTAATCAATGTTTATAATAAGGCTGTAATGTAACAAAATGTGGAAAAAGTCAAGGGGTCTGAATACTTTCCAAATGCACTGTATCATAGTTCATGCTGTTTTAATGCTAATGTGATGTACTGTAAATCCTATGCCATTATCAATAAGATATACTGTATTTCTGCTAACAGAAACACAGGTTGTATCCCGAATAGCACCCTATTCCCTATATAGTGCACTACTTTTTACTAGTACCACAGCGCTATATAGGGAATAGGGTGCTATTGAAGTGCACATAATAAATACTCTATATGCTCTGGTTGAAGTAAGCCTATTGAAGATATATGCTGTGTGTATCATTTTGATGATAAGTCAATTAGGGTTTAATTATGGTTTCAACTATCTACCCCTCTCCTCTCTCCCTCTATCTACCCCCTCCTCCTCTCTCTCCCTCTCTCCTCTATCCACCTCTCTCCCTCTCCTCTCTCTCTCCCTCTATCTACCCCTCTCCTCTCTCCCTCTCTCTACCCCTCTCCCTCTTCTACCCCTCTCCTCTCTCCCTCTCTCTACCCCCCTCTCCCTCTCTCTCTACCCTCTCCCCCCCTCTCACCTCTCTCTCCCTCTCTCTACCCCTCTCCTCTCTCCCTCTCTCTCTCCCCCTCTCCTCTCTCCCTCTCTCTCTAACCCCTCCTCTCCTCTCTCCCTCTCTCCCCCCTCTCCTCTCTCCCTCTCTCTACCCCTCTCCTCTCTCCCTCTCTCTAACCCTCTACTTCTCTCCCTCTCTCTACCCCTCTCCTCTCTCCCTCTCCTCTCTCCTCTCCCCTCTCTAGCCCTCTCCTCTCTCTCCCTCTCCTCCCTCTCTCCCTCTCCTCCCTCTCCTCTCTCTCCCCTCCCTCTCTACCCCCCTCTCCCCTCTCTCTCCCTCTCTCTACCTCCCCCTCCCCCCTCTCCTCTCTCCCTCCCCTCTCCCTCTACCCCTCTCCTCTCTCCCTCTCTCTACCCCCTCTCCCTCTCCTCTCTCTCTAACCCCCTCCTCTCTCCCTCTCTCTCCTCCTCTCCTCTCCCCTCCTCCCTCCTCTCCCTCTCTCTACCCCTCTCCTCTCTCCCACCGGCTCTCCACCCCCCACCAGGCTGTGAATGCAGGTAAATCTCTGTTCCTTCTCTATGCTTTGAAGAGTTCTCCTCGCCTCACCATCCTCTACCTCTACCTCTTCGACTACTCCGAAACCTTCCTCCCCTTCCTACACACCTGCTGCCCCGCCCTCTCACACACCAGCGAGCCAATGGAGGACAGCCTCCCCCTCAACCACCAGGTACCATTGGACGGCTCAACTGTCATGTTGATTGTATTTATTTGATAAATAAAGGTAGGAGGCTGCTCCAGCCATAGACTATAACTAAACGTAGGCTACTGTACATGTTGTTGTCAGTATGGCTGACCGTACAGATGATATTGGAGAGAACATAAGGACACATGTTCTTAAGTTCTCTCACCCCCTCCCCCCCCCCCCCCCCCCCCCCCCCCCCCCCCCCCCCCCCCCCCCCCCCCCCCCTCTCTCCCCTCTCCAGGTGCACCCCACCTGGCGCCAGTGGGCAGAGTTCCTAGTTAAGTACCTCCTCCTCCCGTACCAGCTGATCGCTGAGTTTGCCTGGGATTGGCTGTCGGTTCACTACTGGACGTCACGGTTCATCATCGTCAACGCCATGCTACTGTCTGTCCTGGAGGGCTGTGTCCTGTGGAGGTTCTATAACCGAGCTGAGATCAGGTACCGTGTGTGTTTCTCTCTGTTCCTCTCGCTCTCTCTGTCTTTCCCTGTCACACCAACTTTCTCTCTCTTTCAATCTCCCTGTCCCTCTCTCACCCTTTTACTTGAATTATCCACCCCTCTTTCTCTCCCTCTCTCACCCTTTACCTTGAATTATCCACCCCTCTTTCTCTCTCTCACCCTTTACCCAGAATTATCCACCCCTCTTTCTGTCTCTCTCTCACCCTTTACCCTGAATGATCCACCCCTCTTTCTGTCCCTCTCTCCACATCTCATCCCTCACTACCTCTCTCTCTCCACATCTCATCCCTCACTACCTCTCTCTCTCTCTCCACATCTCATCCCTCACTACCTCTCTCTCGCTCCAACATCTCATCCCTCACCCTTCTCTCACTCTCTCATCTCTCTCTCTCTCAACATCTCAGCCCTCACTAATACCTCTCTCTCCTCCACAGCTCATCCCTCCCTAGTCACTACCTCTCTCTCTCTCTCTTCCTCATCTCTCTCTCTCTCTCCACATCTCATCCCTCACTACCTCTCTCTCTCCACATCTCATCCCTCACTCCCTCTTCTCTCTCTCCACCTCTCATCCCTCACTCCTCTCTCTCTCCTCCACTCTCATCCCTCCTACCCCTCTCCCTCTCTCTCCACATCTTCATCCTCACTATACCTCTCTCTCTCTCCACATCATCATCCCTCACCTACCTCTCTCGTCTCTCTCTCTCTCGTCCACTCTCATCCCTCCCTACCTACCTCTCTCTCTCTCTCCAAATCCTCATCCCTCACTACCTCTCTCTCTCTCCACATTTCTCATCCCTCCACACAAACAACTACCATCTCTCCTCTCTCCACATCTTCATCCCTCACTACCTCTCTCTCTCTCCACATCTCATCCCTCACTACCTCTCTCTCTCTCTCCACATCTCATCCCTCACTACCTCTCTCTCTCCACATCTCATCCCTCACTACCCCTCTCTCCTCTCTCTCTCCACATCTCATCCCTCACTACCTCTCTCTCTCTCTCTCCACATCTCATCCCTCACTACCCTCTCTCTCTCTCTCTCCACATCTCATCCCTCACTACCTCTCTCTCTCTCACATCTCATCCCTCACTATCTCCCTCTCTTCCCTCTCTCCACATCTCTTCCCTCTCTCTCTCTCTCTCTCTCTCTCACATCTCACCCTCATACATCCTCTCTCGTCTCTCTCCTCTCCACATCTCATCCCCACTACCTTCTCTCTCTCTCTCCACATCTCCTATCCTCCCTCATCCCTCCCGTCCCACCCTGCACTCCAATCCGCCTCACTGACAATACTCCTGCTCTTCCCTCACTAGGAACACCCTTTGCCGAAAGAGCGGGGATATTCTCGCTCTCTCTCCTCTCTCTCCCTCTCATCCCTCTCTCTCTCTCTCCACATCTCATCCCATTGTTGTTTTAATTGTTTGACAAAGTCTTCTCTCCCCTCCAGGAGTCTCCATAAGAAGATGTGGGGTCACTTCTGGAGGATGTCTTCCCAGGGTTTTGCCTTTGCCCTGTTCTGGCCGGTGATCCCCCAGTTTGTGTGTAACTGTCTGTTCTACTGGGCTCTCTACTTCAACCCCATCATCAACATTGACCTGGTGGTGCAGCAGCTAATGCATCCTGACACACAAGGGCCCTGATCAGACCGAGGGGATGCTGTTCCCTTCATGGTGCACTACTTTTGAACAGTGCCCCCTATATGGGTAGAGCCATGAGTGAGGAGGTACTGTTAAAACCCAGGAAGTGTCCTAAACAGCACCCTATTCCCTATATAGTGCCCTACCTACAGGGCTCTGGTCAGAAAGTAGTGCGCTATGTAGTGAATATTTGGTGCTATTTAGTGCACTACTTTTGACCAGGGTCCGTAGGGAGCGCCGTAGGGTTTCTGGTCCAAAGTGGTGCACTATACAGGGAGTGGGTTGCCATTGGCGACGCAGACCAAGCTCTATATAATATTGGATGGTTTCTCCTAATGTCTTAATTACATGATAGATAGATATATATATATATATATATGATGGTTTCTCTCTGATGGTAATTCATATTGAAGGAAAGCGGTGGTGTGTTTGTCTGTGATGGTGGTCAGTGGTAATAACTGTAGGGAGAGGATTGATATGATTCTGTTATGGTGGTCAGGGCTAATAACTGTAGGGAGAGGATTGATATGATTCTGTTATGGTGGTCAGTGGTAATAACTGTAGGGAGAGGATTGATATGATTCTGTTATGGTGGTCAGTGGTAATAACTGTAGGGAGAGGATTGATATGATTCTGTTATGGTGGTCAGTGGTAATAACTGTAGGGAGAGGATTGATATGATTCTGTTATGGTGGTCAGTGGTAACTGGAGGATTCTGTCGTAGGGAGAGGATTGATATGATTCTGTTATGGTGGTCAGTGGTAATAACTGTAGGGAGAGGATTGATATGATACTTGTTAATAATTTAAGGAGCCCATATTCCAGGGCTCTCCAACCCTGTTCCTGGAGAGCTACCCTCCTATAGGTTTTCACTCCAACCCTCCTATAGGTTTTCACTCCAACCCCAGTTGCAACTAACCTGATTCATCTTATCGACCAGGTAATTACTAGAATCAGGTGAGCTAGATTAGGGTTGGTGTCAACCTACAGGATGGTAGCTCTCCAGGAACAGGGTTGGAGAGCCCTGCGCTATTCACACAGCGTGTGATCTAGGATCAGATCCCCTCCCCGTCCATATCATCTTATTCATTATGATCTAAATGATCTAGAATCGTATTGATTGATATCAAAACTGATCCTAGATCAGAACCTGGCAACTTCATTCTGTTTCCATGGTGTTTTGGAGCTTGCTCAGCTTGTCTCGTTGGAAGGGAACACATATAATGCCTTATTCTTTACAAGGACTTAAAATCTAGCAATATGTTAAGTGTTTTTGTTTTTTTCTTCTTTAAAAATAGTTACGCTCTTGAGTTTCAGATGGTAATAGTAAATAATAAAAATGTATACTTCCTGCATTCAGAATGAGTTTAAACATGGCGATATCCAACTGTTGTAAATTTTCAATTTAAAGGAAATCACGTGTTCAAGTGTTCGTCCCAAATTGCACCCTCTTCCCTATGTAGTGCACTACTTTTGACCATAGCCCAATAGGTTGAGCCATAGGGATCTGGTCCAAAGTAGTGCACTGTATAGGGTGTAGGGTGCCATTTGGGACGAACCCTCGGACAGGTGAGACTGTTTAAAATAAAAGGGCTGTAGCTTCATTGGTCCCTCTCATGTAACCAACGGCCTGAAGGATGTTTTATGTTTGTATGTGACAAATGTTTAAAATGTTGTTTTACATTTTCAATTTGTTTAATTGTTCATGAAGAGATTCATTATTCTTTGCGGTATTCAGTCCCACCGGTCCTGCGGTTGGTTGTAGCTAATTGCGTAGATTTAATTATTAAATATCTGTATTTTTTTAAATTCTGATTTCTATTTTCACTCAAGATAAATTTCACCACTTTTCGACATCATATCATCATCTACAGGTGCAGTGCAGCCCAAATGGTACCCTATTTCCTATTTAGTCCACTACTTTTGACCAGGACCCATAAGTAGTGCCCTATTTAGGGGATGACATTGGGGACACAGACTGGATACTGGAGGTGAAGAATGAGGTATAAAAGTGGTGGAATGTCCCTTTAATTAAACTGCTAGTACTGCTTCAGGTGCACTGTGATTCCCTCTGATGTGTTACCTGGGTTACGGTGCACTGTGATTCCCTCTGATGTGTTACCTGGGTTACGGTGCACTGTGATTCCCTCTGATGTGTTACGGTGCACTGTGATTCCCTCTGATGCATTACCTGGGTTACGGTGCACTGTGATTCCCTCTGATGTGTTACCTGGGTTACGGTGCACTGTGATTCCCTTGGGTGCGTTACCTGGGTTACGGTGCACTGTGATTCCCTCTGATGCATTACCTGGGTTCTTCTGGTTTCTCCCAAAAATATAGACTTAGCAAAGAAACAAATGAATAAATTACAATTTTTTAAAGAATATGACCAAACTTCTTGTGTTTGTTAAAAATATTTTTTGTATAGATTAAATGAGAAAATGTATTTTCCTTGTAGGCCTACAGATGAAATGAGAAAATGTGTTTTTCTTGTAGGCCTACAGATGAAATCATAAGATGTAATTGATGGCGATATTAGAATATGACCTTCCTGTTTTTTTTTGTACATTGAAAATGACAGTCTACAACCTGTTTATAGAACTGCTGTTTGAATCCTCAGTGCTGGACTTAATGTTCACACACATCAGTCTATCATGGTGATCTAAGCAACCTGTTTTAATAAAGTCCATGAATCAGATGTGCATTGTGTAAAGTCAATGTACTGTATGGCTTGGTAATACACACACACCACTACCAGATAAACTCAGAGAAAACACTCAGTCTCTCTCACACACACAACACCACACACACACACCACACACACCCACACACACCACAGCACACACACAAACCACAAAAAAACAACCCTACACTTTGTACGCATCAGTGATAATTCAGTGTGGGGTGTCCTATCCACACAAAGTCAGGCCAGACAGAGTATTTGTGGATGAAGGTCTCTCTCCTCAGACCTGGCCGCCTCCCGGTCACACCCTGCCAGAATCTTGTCACCCCTGGCCTGGAGAGACTCTAGAAACCACCGGACAAACATCCAGGGTGGAATTCAGAACTCTTAGAATGCAATAGGACAAATATAATACATAGAACTGTCTTTTTCACATTATCGATGGAAAATTGCCCCTTGGCTTCAGACCTAGAAATATAGCTTGTATCCATGGTTGTCACTAGTTACCACAGCCACAAAGTCAAAATTGGCTAAATCGTAAAAATTCATGAAAACAAAAATGTGCTTTTTGCTCTTCATTTAAGGTTAGGGTTAGGCATAACGATGAACCACTAACCCAGAGAGTGCTTAGAGTACAGAAATACAGTGTTGCATTATGGGATGGGTAGTTCATACCGCAGTCGGCCATCTTGTTCTCACAGGTCCACTGGTACTTGTCTGTCTTGGTCTGACAACCCAGATCCTCAGCCTTCCCATAGCAACAGTCATGCTTGTGACAGCACCTTGTGGACAGAAAATAACACAATCATGTTGATTCTGTGAGTTATTCCATTACAATGTATAAAGCACTTTGAGTAATTGGAGAAGTAATGTCAATCCAGTCTGCTATACAATCCATTATGTGAGGAAAATGCTTTGGGTTGTGTTCTCTTCAGCCTCTGACTATGTAGTAGCTCATCAACAAGCCAGAATTCAGTCCATATTATTCCAAGCTCAAAATGTAGGGTCTGAGAAACTAGCTGTTGTCCATGGGTTAGGAGACAGCAGGGCCAGCTCTAGCCTTTTTGGGGCCCTAAACGAGATTCAGCTTCAACCAGCTGAAAATACAATATGTTTGGTTATTGAAAATATATTTCACAGCAGGTTAGATGATACAATGATTCTCTAAACTTGCTTGTTTTGTCACAAACTATTACAATTTTCGCAACCAGAAAATGGTTGAGCGATTTCTACATATTGCACCTTCAATGATATCTGTGAGAGTGACTAACAAAATCAATGTGGGCCCACTGGAGATCAGGCCTCCTGGGCACGTGCCCTGCATGCCCGTTCGGTATTTGGCCATGATTACTACAAGTTTAGATAACTGGCTAGACTAATTTACCAATCTAAACATGGTTAGCTGACATGGCTAATTGAGTGACTGTCAGTGACTGACAAAACAAGAGAAAAACTGCTGATGCACCACCAAATTTCGACACCTTGTGTATTCTACTATTCTGACTCTCAACAGTAAGTTGAGAACCTGACTGTTCCTAATATATATATATATATAATATATATATTTAGATTTTTTGGGTCAGGCCCCCTAGCAGCCGGCAGCAGTAAGCGACTGCTTATGCATGGAACCGGCCCTGGCAGACAGACACCCCATTACAGCACCAAATGACTGTTTGTAGATGTTTATGGTCTGTGGATGGGATTTAGAAATCAGAGTTGGTGCCAGCCAGGGTTTGGGCTGTAATTACCCAGCTGTCATTCCACCAGGGCTAAGTGCTGAGCCCTAGTAGACTTTTGACTAGGGCCCACCAGTCAGCCTTGTCCCGCAGTAGCTGTGTGTGTGTGTGATGGTACTCACCAGTCCTGCCTTGTCCCGCAGTAGCTGTGTGTGTGTGTGTGATGGTACTCACCAGTCCAGCCTTGTCCCGCAGTAGCTGTGTGTGTGTTTGTGTGATGGTACTCAACCATTCAGCCAATGTCCCTCGTAGCTGTGTTGTGTTGTGTGTTGTGATGTACTCACCAGTCCAGCCTTGTCGCAGTAGCTGTGTGTGTGTGTGGATGGTTAACCCCATCCATCTTGTCCCGCAGTAGCTGTGTGTGTGTGTGGATTGTACTCACCGTCATCCTTGTGTCCCCGAGTACTGTGTGGTGTGTGCTGGTACTCACCAGTCCAGCCTTGTCCCGAGTAGCTGTGGTGTGTGTGTGATGGTACTCACGCAGTCAGCCTTGTCCCGCAGTAGCTGTGTTGTGTTATGGTACTCACCAGTCCATCCGTGTCCCGCAGTAGCTGTGTGTGTGTGTGATGGTACTCCCCAGTCCCAGTCCTTGTTCCCGCAGGACTGTGTGTGTTTGGTGATAGTTACTACTCACCATCGCAGCCTTGTCCCGCAGTAGCTGGTGTGTGGTGTGTGATGGTACTCCCACCAGTCCAAGCCATGTCCCGTAGTAGCTGTGTGTGTGTGTGAATGGTCTCACCAGTCCAGGCCTTGCCCGCAGTAGCTGTGTGTTGTGTGTGATGGGACCACCGTCAGCCATGGCCCGTCAGTAGCTGTTGTGTGTGTGTGATGGTACTCCCAGTCCACCTTGTCCCGCAGTAGCTGTGGTGTGTGTGATGTACTCACCAGTCGCCATGTCCCGTAGTAGCTGTGTGTGTGGTGATGGTACTCACCAGTCCATCCTTGTCCCCGCAGGTAGCTGTGTGTGTGTGTGTGTGATGGTACTCACCAGTCCAAGCCTTGTCCCGCTTAGCGTTGTGGTGTGTGTGTGATGGTACTCCCCCAAGTCCAGCCGTGGTCCCGCAGTACTGTTTGTGTGGTGTGTGATGGTACTCACCAGTCCAGCCTTTTGCCCGCAGTAGCTGCGTGGGTGTGTGTGATGGTTACTCACCAGTCGCAGCCTTGTCCCGCAGTAGCTTTGGTGTGTGTGGGTGTGATGGTACTCACCAGTCCAGCCTTGGTGGTGTGTGTGTGTGTGTGTGTGTGCAGTAGCTGTGTGTGTGTGTGTGAGGTACTCACCAGTCAGCCTTGTCTCGGGGCCAGCCCTGGCCTCCCAGCCCGCAGTAACATCCATACATGATGTAAGCCACCGCCGACCTCCCAGTGCTGCATTTAATGACGCCCGCCAACTCCAACAAGCCCCGCTTTTCCCGCAGCCGCCATCGCCCTGGTAACGGGGAAGTGACGGTCGGTGTTGTCGCTAACTCCGTCCCTTCATAAGATCTGGTTATCCCGTCGATGACATGCTCTAAATGTAGATTGTAATAGGTATTGTTAAATAAACGGTTGATGCATTAACTATAACAGCTGTGAGTGTTTGTATACTCACAGAGAGACAAACCCACACAGACTACAGTGTACAACAAACTACATTGATGTACAGTTTGACGGCTTTGTTTTGGAGCCATTCTGTTATATTGCTGAGGGATTCTAACACGCGCACGCCAACTTTCCCCCGGTCTGTAGGCTGTCCTATTTAGACCAGACAACAAAGTCTGCTATACAATGCAGGAACACCACTGTGGGATACACCTATATGACATATACATATATAAAACTGTTTTGTGTCGAAAAGGATGAATATACATTTTTAGATTGAATATAGCCTTCACCCCATGGCCATATGTGCATCCATTCCAATTTACGCACAGCTTTTTCGCTCTTCAGAAAATAACCACGAAATCAAATTCGACATCAATGCTGCTGTTTTGATAAAATTGTGTAAAAATAATGTTCTGAAAGTGACCGAGAACAGAACACTTACCCGAGAGCAGCAGCAAAGCGATGTATAGCGCAGACATCTCCATGGATAAAAACGGTCTCGCATGCCACTTGCCTAGTAATGGTCTTCTGTTCTAGAACGTGTCAGTATAGGACCGCGCGTCCCAAACTAGGGGTCGCGACCCCATGTGAGGTCGCCTGATATGAAAATGGGGTCACGGGAGAATTGACAAAATCCTCCCCCCAAAATATATACAGTACAAAAATATATATATATATATATATATATATATATATATATATATATATATATATATATATATATATATATATATATTAGAATATTGTCTTTGTATCTCAATCATTGTAATGTGGTTAACCTTAAAAATCGAAATGAATATTATTCAAATCTAAAAGATCAAATTCAACCAGAGAGCGCCCTCAGATCACGGGAAAAGTCCAAAGGCCGCACTTAACCGTTGCACTTGAATCGTTCCCACAGTGAATGGCTAGGCCCGCTATGCTATGAAACCACACGCTATTGCAGAGATGTTGATTTTACCGTTTGCAATTGATATGGTGAAAACTATTTGTTGTGAGGCAGAGGCACATAAACTCACATCAATACCTTTGTCAGATAACACTGTTAAGCGAAGAATTTATGCTCTGACAACGAATCAAAAACTCCCCAGCGTATGCTCTCCAAATGGCCGTTAGCTGTGAGGGACTAGATGCCCATGCATTTACTTTTGTTCGCTATACATTTTACATTTACATTTAGTCATTTTAGCAGACGCTCTTATCCAGAGCGACTTACAGGAGCCTTGCTTAAGGGCACATCGACAGATTTTTCACCTAGTCGGCTCGGGGATTAGAACCAGCAACCTTTCGGTTACTGGCACAACGCTCTTACCCACTAAGCTACCTGCCGCCCAGGTGATGCTATTATCGAGGACATATTGTTCTGATTCACGATTCCCGAGCATGAATTGACGAAAAACAGTTTCCATATGGGATCGAATCGTGGGATTTTGCAAAGATGGTTCTCCATCTATGGTGGGACGGCACGTCAGGCCTCTGCACTCTAGTTATGAATGCGTCTCCCTCTGCCATATGGACGCATTGTATGATACATTGAGAGCAACCGGCTTCAAAAAGAGGTGAGCACAGAACTCGGAGATATACTGCAGCAGGTAACTACGATTGTAAACTATGTACATCAAACCACATCCAATACCCTGCCCTCTCCCTCTGAGCATTAATGACGCGTTCAAAACAACTGAGAACTCGGAAAGAAATGAGCTTCAACTGGGAAAAATCGTTTTGAACAGTCATCCAACTCGGAATTCCAACTCGGGGACTCAAGCATCTTTCTAGAGCTCAGAGCTCTGACTTTTCGACCTGAAGATCACTGACGTTCCCAGTTGTCTTGAAAGCACCATACAACTAATGGGAGGCTACCCTTTGCCAGCTCATATTTTACATTTACATTTTAGTCATTTAGCAGATGGTCTTATCCAGAGCGACTTACAATTAGTGAGTGCATACATTATTATTATTATTATTGTTATTATTATTATATATATATATATATATATAAAAATAAAAATCATACTGGCCCCCTTGGGAAACGAACTCACAACCCTGGCGTTGCAAACACCATGCTCTACCAACTGAGCTACATCCCTGCCGGCCATTCCCTCCCCTACCTACCCTGCACAACGCTGGGCCAATTGTGCGCCGCCCCATATGTGGGAACTCCTTCAAGACATGATTCCATATGTGTTATTTCATAGTTTTGATGTCTTCACTATTATTCTACAATGCAGAAAATAATACAAATAAAGAAAAACCCTTGAATGAGTAGGTGTGTCCAAACTTTTGACTGGTAAATAAATATGCCATTTAGCAGACGCTCTTATCCAAAGCGACTTACAGTCATGTGTGCATACATTTTTACGTATGCGTTGTCCCGGGGATCGAACCCACTATCCTGGCGTTACAAGCGCCGTGCCCTACCAATTGAGCTACAGAGGACCGCTATATGTACGTACGTATATTATACAGAACAGTATATGGCTCTGGTTTCAACATGCAGCACACATAGAAATGGAATTCAAATTATATGGCTGCCCATGGGGTCCATGTTTTCTGGACTTCGATGAAGGGGATGTTGGGTGTGGTTACACAGCAGGGTCCTATAGCGTCATATATGTGTGACGCTGGATTCGGTGCTCTCCTCTGCATTAAAACAAAAATATCGATCCATGTTGGACGCGACATGCATCAAGCACACCCATCTCATTAGTGGTGGTGAGATAGACATTATGTCAGACTCATTTGCAATTGGCTGTCACAGCCCCATCATTACGAGTATATGTTGGTGAGTTGAGAAGGCGATCAGAAATATTGTTAATGTTTTTCTATTGACTGCAAAGTTCTCTATAGCCCCAAATAAAAAAGTAAACATTGGCTCTTAATTAAAAAATATATATAATATGGTTGGGGCCGCGATAATTTTCAGATATCAAAATGGGGTCGTGGGCCAAACAGGTTTGGGACCCCTGCGGCATAGTCGATAAAAAAAATTGGTTGCTCATGGAAGCTGATCCCGCCCCCCTCCCCTGTTGCCGCCCTGTTTAAGGTTAGAATGAATGAGAGGTTGGGTAATTAGATTTTAGGACAGGGGTTGAGGGCAGCATCCACCCAGGAGGCGATAACTGTGATTGGATACACCTTTCTTGGTCATGGACACATTGGCCGTGTTTGACTGCATCAAAACCATTATGTATCATGGGTAAATTGTGACCAACTGACTGATCTACAACTAATATTGAGTAGTTATTTATGATCAGTGGCGACCTGTCATTCAGTGCAAGTGGGGCAGAGCCCCACCTGTTTTGAGCCCCACCTGTTTTGCACATTAAAAAAAAAAAAAATCTATTATTTTTGTTGTTTTTGTTTTGTTGTTGCCTGTTTAGCATATTATTTTGGCATTAATATGTGTCACATATCAGTTTGCAAACAACGTAAAAATAAAAATAATCATTAAGTTAATAAAGCCGCATACAAACATGGCCTCTTTTTTGCTTTCTTGAGTAAGGCAGCTCCAAAATGCAGGTGTTTCAGCCTAGCTCAGTGCTTTCTGTGGTGGTGGGGCAGCCAGTGGAAAATACGGAGCGTAGGGGTTAGTAATGTTCTCTAGTTGCGCCGTGATTGGCTCAGTGTTCTGTCACTCATGGGGATACTACGTCACCGCAAAATCTACGGGGAGAGCTGAAAATTCAAGCCCCTTGGGTGCTGCCATAGATTTACATTAGAAGTGCCCATCGAAGAAGGCTCAAGGTCATTGCCACAGATAAAATGACATCAAATCACGTTATATCTACCGTAACTTTGATTGGACTGATCATGTCCATATCATACTTTCAAAAATCTTAGCTAGCAAGCTAGAAAGCAGTCATCATCATGAATCAAGTCAACAATCTACTGGCAAATCCTTTTCAACCCTTGTCATATGAAGAGATATCATAGATAAAACGTATCGGTGCTCATCAGCCGTTGGACATAAACATTACACAACAAGTTGGAAATCGCAAATTCAACAATGAGTGGTTTGGAAGGAATCAGTGGCTAACTGCAAGCTTTGCAAAGCAATCACTAGCCTGCTATTCAGTGGAGTGGCTGTGTGGTCCAAGTCTGGGTTTAAGGGTCTCGTTTCCAAGGATAAACATTCACTCGCAACACACCAGGGGCCAGAAAAGGTTGAATAAATTGGCCATGCTGTCAATCCAGCATGACTTCTGCCACGTTCAAAACAACTGGAAACTCGGAACTCGGGAAATCTCAGACTTCAGTGAGTTCAAGACAAATACATTTTGAACGGTCATCCAACTCGGAATTCCAAGTCGGGAACTCAGGCCTCTTTCTAGACCTCCGACCTGAAGTTCACTGATGTCATGATTCGACCTGGTTTTTTTCCTAGTTCCCAGTTGTCTTGAAAGCACCATAAATCCAGAGAATGCCGACTTCGATGACAAAGTTTGTCCACAAGAAGGACCGCTGCGCCACCTTCCTGTTCAAGTGAGCACAGCACAACAAGGGGAGTCCAAAAATGTATTGTATGCTGCTGCATAAATGATGTAATATGCCAGGGAGATATGTATACTGTAGCTAAGCAAGTAATACTAAGTGTATGTTGTGTAGTAAGCTGTTAGTAGCCCATGTGCCTCACCCTAATAATTTGGCCCCTTTCCCCCTCATAACTTAGCCTACTGTTCTGACACCCTCCCTACACCTCTGATGAATATAACAGGAAACCTGTTTGATCACCATACACTCTAAAAAGTAAAGGCTCTTTAGGGGTTCTTCAAATTGAAACTGTGGGGGAACCCCTATAAGTTATTCGAAAACCCTTTAAAAGGGTTCTTCAAATAACCCCTTTTAATGGATCCTCAAATAACCTTTTGAAAAACCTTTTGGGGTTAATTTTTGAACTACCCCCCCTCCCGAATTATTATTATTAATTAATAATATGAATAATAATATGCATAACAATAACACAATATTTTAGTTGTCAGTGTTTATTAGGATTTTAGTGGCAAAGCAGAATAAAAAAATCTAAATATGAGGTAAACTCCCAGCAGAGCCCCAAGTCCAATGTGTATTTCCTCTGGCATGTTGATGTTAATGTATTGATGTTCTCCGTATCCATAGCCATAATGATTTTGCAGTGCTAAAATTGCCACTGTTTATGATGCAAGATGATTTGTATTAATCAGTCTCGCCTTAAAAGTCGGCTGTAATGTCGAACGCTCTCATTATATTATCTACGGATGTGGCTGAGAAAGCATTGCGGTGGAGAACTACCCCGACCTAGCGGTCTTTGACCGTAATACAACAGATATGACAGCTCCAGTTTAGCAGTTTGAGAGACAATCTGACAATAACGCAACAATTCATAACACGAAACCTTAAAAAACAAACCCCTTACCTTTACGACACAATACGTATCCGTGTAGAACTATAAGCAATGGAGTAAATTCATACTTTAAGACACTTTTTTTTCTGATCGCTTATTCGACAAACGACTACTACAATAAAGTCGAAAGATTCTACTTTTCAGATTTTACCGATTACTCCCAGACGCTCCCTTGACGTAAAGTTGCGTCATTGCGGAAGTAGCTAAGACTACGTGGGGAAGGAAGGTTGGCTTGTTAGCGTTCGAACTAAACTCTTCCTAAAACACGATAAATGTGCAACCTACGGAACCTACAATAACCCTACCGAGCCTCGCCACGTCTTCATATAACCTCCACGCCCGCTAGCTTAATGGCTTTGTACAACCGGGGCGTGTAGATCCGATGGGAGGGCTACCCGGGTAGTTTCCTGTAATGCTTCGGTGGCTACGGCAGTCTCTTCGGCAGGTGTCTAGTCTGATGGCCCGGAGACCAGGGCTTGTCTGCGGGGCGATACTGCTGAGCGTCCTGCTACTACTGGCCGTTACATTTACCTGCAGGTAGGTAACAGAATATGAGGTCTGATGGTTGGTTATCTACCGGTAGTTATCTGTGGTTTTCAGTGAGAAACTCCCAGGCGTTTCACAGTTTTGTTGCAGCCCTGTACTAGCTCAGCTGATTCACAAGGGCTTGATGATTCGTTGACAAGTTGAATCAGGTGAGGTAGCGCTGGAATATATCAAATACATGGAACAACTGGGGGTCCCCGAGAGGTAAACCCCCCTTATCTAGCTATCTGTCTAGCTAACTGCTGGTTAACGTTACAACTTCAGCCTTTGTTAGGATAGCTAAAGTTATGGTTAGCCAGCTGATCCGACCCGCTTGATTACAACTGCACTAGGGTCGAAAAGCATTCCTGTGTAGATTAAGACACTGCAGAGCTGGTGCGAGATTTGGCTTTGAAAACGTACCTCAATCCAGGGATTAGAAATGCATTGTACTCCTAATTGTCCCATTATCCCAACTGTTACACCGAGAAGATTGAACGACGGCTAGTTTTTTTTTAGCAGTAGTTCAACCTTCTCGGTGTAACAGTTGGGATAATGGGACAATTCAGAGTACAAAGCATTTCTCATCCCTGGATTGAGGTACGTTTACCGAGCCATATCTCTCGCCGGCGTGTCTTCATCTACACATGAATGCTGTCTGACCCTAGTGCAGCTGTAAACAAGGGGTCGGATCTGCTGGCTAACTGTATAGGTAGAGAACAGTCTGGGCTAGCCCACCTGCAGTGGGAATGCTGTCTGACCCTAGTGCAGCTGTAAACAAGGGGTCGGATCTGCTGGCTAACTGTATAGGTAGAGAACAGTCTGGGCTAGCCCACCTGCAGTGGGCTTAATGTGAAATCCCCTGCTCATTGGTTGGATATCTAACTTAAGCCTTTGTTTGGGTAGCTAGTAGTGTAGTAGCTGGAACAGGGAAGTGATCAGTGTGCGTTCTAATCTAGCCGGCTGTTTAGGGTCTGTTTTCTATAAAGCATTGCAGTGCAGCTTGCTAGATCACTACGTTTGTCTACTTTCTGTTCATAAACACTGGACCCACAGCCTACAGTGGGAGGCTATCATTGTTGTGTTGTGTTTGTCCATGTCGCCAGTCGCAGCTGGTAGAGAGAGGGGAGTCTGTCTCATGTCCTACTGCTTGTCATCAGAGACTGACTGTCTGACGTGTCCTCCTGTATTACTAGCAGCTGGTAGAGAGAGGGAGTCTGTCTCATGTCCTACTGCTGGTCATCAGAGACTGACTGTCTGACGTGTCCTCCTGTAATACTACCAGCTGGTAGAGAGAGGGAGTCTGTCTCATGTCCTACTGCTTGTCATCAGAGACTGACTGTCTGACGTGTCCTCCTGTATTACTAGCAGCTGGTAGAGAGAGGGAGTCTGTCTCATGTCCTACTGCTTGTCATCAGAGACTGACTGTCTGACGTGTCCTCCTGTAATACTAGCAGCTGGTAGAGAGAGGGAGTCTGTCTCATGTCCTACTGCTGGTCATCAGAGACTGACTGTCTGACGTGTCCTCCTGTAATACTAGCAGCTGGTAGAGAGAGGGAGTCTGTCTCATGTCCTACTGCTGGTCATCAGAGACTGACTGTCTGACGTGTCCTCCTGTAATACTACAGCTGGTTAGAGAGAGGGAGTCTGTCTCATGTCCTACTGCTGTCATCAAGACAGACGGTCTGACGTGTCCTCCTGTATTACTAGCAGCTGGTAGAGAGAGGGAGTCTGTCTCATATTCCCTACTGCTTGTCATCAGAGACTGACTGTCTGACGTGTCCTCCTGTATTACTAGCAGCTGGTAGAGAGAGGGGAGTCTGTCTCATGTCCTACTGTTGTCTCAGAGACTGACTGTCTGACGTGTCCTCCTGTAATACTACCAGCTGGTAGAGAGAGGGAGTCTGTCTCATGTCCTACTGCTTGTCATCAGAGACTGACTGTCTGACGTGTCCTCCTGTAATACTACCAGCTGGTAGAGAGAGGGAGTCTGTCTCATGTCCTACTGCTTGTCATCAGAGACTGACTGTCTGACTGTCCTCCTGTATACTACAGCTGGTAGAGAGAGGGAGTCTGTCTCATGTCCTACTGCTTGTCATCAGAGACTGACTGTCTGACGTGTCCTCCTGTAATACTACCAGCTGGTAGAGAGAGGGAGTCTGTCTCATGTCCTACTGCTTGTCATCAGAGACTGACTGTCTGACGTGTCCTCCTGTAATACTGGCAGCTGGTAGAGAGAGGGAGTCTGTCTCATGTCCTACTGCTTGTCATCAGAGACTGACTGTCTGACGTGTCCTCCTGTAATACTGGCAGCTGGTAGAGAGAGGGGGTCTGTCTCATGTCCTACTGTAATACTAGCAGCTGGTAGAGAGAGGGAGTCTGTCTCATGGCTGTTAGATACACTTGTGATCTAAGGAGATTTAAATGTTCATTTAGACTGAACGGTTATCGAATCAAATGAAATTGTATTTGTCACATACGCGTTGTTGTGGGTGTGGCGAAATGCTTGGGCTTCTAGCTCCGACAGTGCAGAAATATCTAACAAGTAATATCTAACAATTTCACAACATATACCCAATACACACAAATCTAAGTAAGGAATGGATTGAAGAATATATAAATATATGGACGAGCAATGACAGAGCGGCATGGACTAAGATACAGCAGAATATTATAGAATACAGTATATACATATGAGATGAGTAGTGCAAGATATGTAAACGTTATTAAAGTGACTAGTGTTCCATGTCTTAAAGTGGCCAGTGATGGAGGGACTGACATGTTAGAATGAGGAAAGCCTAGAGAGGACTCGATGTATGTTGTTACACTCAACTTATTTAAAGACGAGACAAATTAGAAGCAAGTTGCGGACAAATCCTTCCTCTCTCTCTCCCTAGTGTGTTACTCTCTCTCTCTCTCTCTTCCATCCCTCTCTCCCTCCTAGCCGGGCTAAGAATGTGGTGGCGTCGGCGCGTCCCCCGGTGAGGTTCTTCTCTGCCGAGGCCCCCGTGGTGGACCTGTACCTGGGTCAGCTGGAGCAGGTAGAGAGGCTGAGGGGCGTGGCCGAGGTGTCTGTCATCTTCTTCTACGCTCCCTGGTGTGCTCACTCCATCGCCGCTCGCCACGAGGTCCAGGAGGTCGCCCGGAGGCTTGCCAAACAGGTAACACACACACACCACCCGCACACCACACGAGGTCCAGGAGGTCGCCCGGAGCTGCACAACAGGTACACACACCACACACCACCCCCACATCCACCACAGCATGCCACCCACCAGTCAGGTCCCCAGAGGCTGGCCAAACAGGAAAACACACACCACACTCCATCGCCCTCGCCACGAGCCAAGGCGCAGGAGGCTCCAACAGACACAACACACGCAGGAACACCGCTACCTCATTAGCGTCCCAGGGTGCCCGGAGGCTGGCCAACAGAGTTACGCACTGTGACGACACAGGATGCCACAATCATGTGACAGTCAGATGGATGAGCTGCCATCACAGCACCACACCACTCACCTAAAACCGACCAACCACAGCAGGAACCAACCAGCAGGAACACACGCTCACCCTCCATTGCCGCTCGCCAAGAGGTTATGTACTCGCGCGTGCCCCAACTTAGCAGCGTTGGCGTGCATCTTCTCTCCCCCTATGGTCTGCTCGTCTCGTACTCATCTCCCTCCGGTCGTGACGAGGTCCGGTCCGAGCTGCACGGCCCCTCGTACCCGGACCTACACCCCACCTAACCCTCACTCCCAGGTGCCACACATCGACCAGTGACTCCTCGCCGAGGTCCTAGCTCACCGAGGCTCCACAGTTCCCAACTCACCTCACCCTAGGCCACGGTGCCATCCATATCGCGCTGCAAGTTGTGCCTCAGTATGGCTGCCAGTCGGTGCCATCCCATAGTGATGCTATCAGCAGGGCCATCAAGTGATGTAATCTGGTGCCACGATGGTCAGGGGTGCCAGTCAGTATGTGTTAAGTCGGTCCAGCCAGTATGGTGCCATAAGTCTGGTACCATCAGTATGTATAAGCGGTCCCATCAGTATGTGATGCATAGCCGGTCCAGTCAGTAGGTGACGCTATAATCCTGGTGCCAGTCAGTATGGGATTAGTCTGGTGCCAGTCAGTATGGTGCTATATAGTCCTAGGGTGCTCGAGGTGCATGGGCCTATATGTAGTCAGTCTGGGTGCCAGTCACGTATGGTGATTATAGTCCTGGGTGCCAGTCAGTATGTGCTATGATATCCTGGTGCCACAGTATGGTGCTTATAGTCTGGGTGCCAGTCAGTATGGTGCTATATATAGTCTGGGTGCCAGTCAGTATTGGTGCAGTGTATGTCTGTGGTGCCAGTCAGTATGGTGATGTATAGTCTGGGTGCCAGTCAGTATGGTGATGTATAGTCTGGGTGCCAGTCAGTATGGTGCTATATAGTCTGGGTGCCAGTCAGTATGGTGCTATATAGTCTGGGTGCCAGTCAGTATGGTGATGTATAGTCTGGGTGCCAGTCAGTATGGTGATGTATAGTCTGGGTGCCAGTCAGTATGGTGATGTATAGTCTGGGTGCCAGTCAGTATGGTGCTATAGTCTGGGTGCCAGTCAGTATGGTGATGTATAGTCTGGGTGCCAGTCAGTATGGTGTATATAGTCTGGGTGCCAGTCAGTATGGTGATATAGTCTGGGTGCCAGTCAGTATGGTGCTATATAGTCTGGGTGCCAGTCAGTATGGTGCTATATAGTCTGGGTGCCAGTCAGTATGGTGATGTATAGTCTGGGTGCCAGTCAGTATGGTGTTATATCTGGGTGCCAGTCAGTAGGTGCTAGTCTGGGTGCATCAGTGGTGATGTATAGTCTGGGTGCCAGTCAGTATGGTGCTATATAGTCTGGGTGCCAGTCAGTATGGTGATGTATAGTCTGGGTGCCAGTCAGTATGGTGCTATATAGTCTGGGTGCCAGTCAGTATGGTGATGTATAGTCTGGGTGCCAGTCAGTATGGTGCTATATAGTCTGGGTGCCAGTCAGTATGGTATATAGTCTGGGTGCCAGTCAGTATGGTGTATATGTCTGGGTGCCAGTCAGTATGGTGATGTATAGTCTGGGTGCCAGTCAGTATGGTGCTGTATAGTCTGGTGCCAGTCAGTATGGTGCTATATAGTCTGGGTGCCAGTCTGTATGGTGCTATATAGTCTGGGTGCCAGTCTGTATGGTGCTATAATAGTCTGGGTGCCAGTCTGTTTCTACAGTATGGTGCTATATAGTCTGGGTGCCAGTCAGTATGGTGCTATATAGTCTGGGTGCCAGTCTGTATGGTGCTATATAGTCTGGGTGCCAGTCAGTATGGTGCTATATAGTCTGGGTGCCAGTCAGTATGGTGATGTATAGTCTGGGTGCCAGTCAGTTTGGTGCTATATAGTCTGGGTGCCAGTCTGTTTCTACAGTATGGTGCTATATAGTCTGGGTGCCAGTCAGTATGGTGCTATATAGTCTGGGTGCCAGTCTGTATGGTGCTATATAGTCTGGGTGCCAGTCAGTATGGTGCTATATAGTCTGGGTGCCAGTCAGTATGGTGCTATATAGTCTGGGTGCCAGTCTGTATGGTGCTATATAGTCTGGGTGCCAGTCTGTATGGTGCTATATAGTCTTGGTGCCAGTCTGTATGGTGCTATATAGTCTGGGTGCCAGTCAGTATGGTGCTATATAGTCTGGGTGCCAGTCAGGTTAAAGTATGGTGCTATATTAGTCCTGGGTGCCAGTCCAGTATGGTGGCTATATAGTCCTGGGTGCCAGTCAGTATGGTGCTATTATAGTCTGGGTGCCAGTCCAGTATGGTGCTATATAGTCCTTGGTGCCGTCAGTATGGTGCCTATATAGTCTGGGTGCCAGTCGTATGGTGCTATATAGTTGGGGTCTGTATGGTGATATAGTCTGGGTGCCAGGGTCTGTATGTGTGCTATTAGTATGGGTGCCAGGTCAGTATGGTGATATATAGTCTGGGTGCCAGTCCGTATGGTGATATATAGTCTGGGTGGCCAGTCAGTTATGGTTTGTACTAGTCTGGGTGCCAGTTAGTATGGTGCTATATAGTCTGGGTGCCAGTCAGTATGGTGATATATAGTCCTGGGTGGCCAGTCAGTCATGGTGCTATATAGTCCTGGGTGCTCAGTCAGTATGGTGATGTATTAGTCTGGGTGCCAGTCAGTATGGTGCTATATAGTCTGGGTGCCAGTCAGTATGGTGATGTATAGTCTGGGTGCCAGTCAGTATGGTGCTGTATAGTCTGGGTGCCAGTCAGTATGGTGATGTATAGTCTGGGTGCCAGTCAGTATGGTGATGTATAGTCTGGGTGCCAGTCAGTATGGTGCTATATAGTCTGGGTGCCAGTCAGTATGGTGCTATATAGTCTGGGTGCCAGTCAGTATGGTGATGTATAGTCTGGGTGCCAGTCAGTATGGTGATGTATAGTCTGGGTGCCAGTCAGTATGGTGATGTATAGTCTGGGTGCCAGTCAGTATGGTGATGTATAGTCTGGGTGCCAGTCAGTATGGTGCTATATAGTCTGGGTGCCAGTCTGTTTCTACTGTAGACAGTACAACTCAATACACCTCAGAGTTACTGTACTAAATTCTGAAGCTGTTTCTAAATGCGCCTCCTTCTCTGTGCAGGTGGTCTGCTGTGGCCTTATTCTTGCTCTGCTGTCTGCACTGTTTGTACAGGTGCAGTTTGTGGCAGTGAACTGTTGGTGGAGCCAGGGGAAATGCAGGAAACAGAAGAGCTTCTACCAATACCCTGTCATCCAGCTGTTCTACAAGAGGTAATACAGTCTACTAGTTCTATATCTATACCCTGTTCTACAAGAGGTAATACAGTCTACTAGTTCTATATCTATACCCTGTTCTACAAGAGGTAATACAGTCTACTAGTTCTATATCTATACCCTGTTCTACAAGAGGTAATACAGTCTACTAGTTCTATATCTATACCCTGTTCTACAAGAGGTAATACAGTCTACTAGTTCTATATCTATACCCTGTTCTACAAGAGGTAATACAGTCTACTAGTTCTATATCTATACCCTGTCCTCCACCTGTTCTACAAGAGGTAATACAGTCTACTAGTTCTATATCTATACCCTGTTCTACAAGAGGTAATACAGTCTACTAGTTCTATATCTATACCCTGTCATCCAGCTGTTCTACAAGAGGTAATACAGTCTACTAGTTCATATCTATACCCTGTTCTACAAGAGGTTAATACAGTCTACTAGTTCTATATCTATACCCTGTTCTACAAGAGGTAATACAGTCTACTAGTTCTATATCTATACCCTGTCATCCACCTGTTCTACAAGAGGTAATACAGTCTACTAGTTCTATATCTATACCCTGTTCTACAAGAGGTAATACAGTCTACTAGTTCTATATCTATACCCTGTTCTACAAGAGGTAATACAGTCTACTAGTTCTATATCTATACCCTGTTCTACAAGAGGTAATACAGTCTACTAGTTCTATATCTATACCCTGTTCTACAAGAGGTAATACAGTCTACTAGTTCTATATCTATACCCTGTCATCCACCTGTTCTAGAGGAAGGAGATACAGTCTATTCATTTTATATCAAGGGGAAGGAGATACAGTCTATTCATTTTATATCAAGGGGAAGGAGATACAGTCTATTCATTTTATATCAAGGGGAAGGAGATACAGTCTATTCATTTTATATCAAGGGGAAGGAGATACAGTCTATTCATTTTATATCAAGGGGAAGAAGATGCAGTCTATTCATTTTATATCAAGGGGAAGGAGATGCAGTCTATTCATTTTATATCAAGGGGACGGAGATACAGTCTATTCATTTTATATCAAGGGGACGGAGATACAGTCTATTCATTTTATATCAAGGGGAAGGAGATACAGTCTATTCATTTTGCGTCTTGTTTGGTTATTACTCTCTTTGTGATAATATTCTGTCCTTTATGAGATATTATTCCCCTCTGTCCATGTATTCTTCATTCTGATCTAAAAGGCTGATTCTACTCCTCCTACTCTGACATGCTCGGTACCTAAGACCTGTTGTATCTGTCTGTCCCCTGTCTGTCTCTGGAGGTTTGGCCCTATACATTACAAAGGTCCATTCATGGCTTCCTATGTAGAGAGATTCATCCTGAGAGTCATCACTCCACTGACCTATCTACCATCACGAGCCACACTACAAGACTTTCTGTCTTATCATGAGGTATGAGGTGGGGGGAGAGGAGGAGGAGGGAGATGCTGGAGGGAGGGAAGGAGGGAGATGCTGGAAGGAGGGAGATAAATAATATGAGTGTTATGCTTTGGGTCTTTCTGTTGTTAGAGAGAAAGACATAGTTCTATTTAATAATGAGAGATAATGTCCCAAATAGCACCCTGTTCCCTTTATAGTCCACTACAGAGCTATGGTTAAAAGTAGTACACTATAAAAGGAATAGGGTGCCATTTGGGAGGAGTCCACTAGGTGTGGTGTACCTGTGGGTCAGGTCTAGTGTATGGTATGATGGAGGGTGTTATTGTGTTCAGGAGCCGCTCCGACACTTTCTAGTTTAGTCCTTTCTGTAGTGTCTCTGTGTCTCTCACAATAGACTTCCTGGTTGTTTTGCTAGCAGGGTTTTAGCCTGTAGATATGGTTGTTTTGCTAGCAGGGTTTTAGCCTGTAGATATGACCTAGATAAAAAGACGGAGTCTTTCTGACATGGCTGACTGCTTCTTCTGTTCATGATCTGTGATGTGACACGTAGGGTTCCAGTACCTTTCCCATAATGCCCAGGTTTTCCACATCCTGTTTGGAGGATTCTCAGAATCGGTAGGGAATCAGCAGGAAATCCAGAATCCTCTAACCAAGGTTTCTGGAAAACCTTTGAATTCTGAGGAAGTTACTAGATTTTTGCAACCCAAGTCACGTTTCATGTCTGTTCTCCCCTCCTGCTTCCCAGCCGGGGGTAGTGGGTTATTTCCAGTTCAACTCTTCTCCTCAGCCTCCCGGCTACATCACATACCTCTCCTCAGCTCTACAGGCCTTGAAGAGAGGTAAGCTAACCTCGACATGCTAACCCCCATGTTGTCCCAATTACTTTCAATTACTTTCCATCTCCTAATATCCTCTCCTTGATGGGAGATGGATACATTTAAGTCCATCTAATCCAGTGTCTCTTTGATAACCGCTACTCGCTGTGTTTTGCCTCTGGAGTAGAACGTCATAGCCATTTGAAATAGAATGAATAGAACAGACTTGGAAGCTCTGCCCGTAGCAAGGCCTGTTCTACTCATTCTAGTTCTGTGACTATAGAAATGAGAAGTTTGCTGGATGAATAAAGGATGAATAGATGAATGAAAGTGTGAGTGTTCTCCCCCGGTGCAGACTTCCGCGGTGTGGTGCGGTTCGGGGTGGTGACCAGTAAACTGGTGGCAGAGTCCATCTCCGTCAGAGATGACCAGACCATCTACCTGCACCGACACTTCAACTCCTCACTGGTCAGTCAACACACACACACACCCCTGTCTACCGACACTTCAACTCCTCACTGGTCAGTCAACACACACACACCCCTGTCTACCGACACTTCAACTCCTCACTGGTCAGTCAACACACACACACCCCTGTCTACCGACACTTCAACTCCTCACTGGTCAGTCAACACACACACCCCTGTCTACCGACACTTCAACTCCTCACTGGTCAGTCAACACACACACACCCCTGTCTACCGACACTTCAACTCCTCACTGGTCAGGCAACACACACACACCCCTGTCTACCGACACTTCAACTCCTCACTGGTCAGTCAACACACACACACACCCCTGTCTACCGACACTTCAACTCCTCACTGGTCAGTCAACACACACACCCCTGTCTACCGACACTTCAACTCCTCACTGGTCAGTCAACACACACACACCCCTGTCTACCGACACTTCAACTCCTCATTGGTCAGTCAACACACACACACCCCTGTCTACCGACACTTCAACTCCTCATTGGTCAGTCAACACACACCCCTGTCTACCGACACTTCAACTCCTCATTGGTCAGTCAACACACACATACCCCTGTTTACCGACACTTCAACTCCTCACTGGTCAGTCAACATACACACCCCTGTCTACCGACACTTCAACTCCTCACTGCTCAGTGGTGATGTCATCAGCACGTGACAAACAGACCTGTCATGCTAAGGGGCCCAGAGTTTGTCGCAGCATCGCATTAGTGGAAACCAAGACTGTTCTCAGGGCAGACCTGGTTGTAGATAGATTTGTTCGAGTTGCGTCGGGGACAATTTTAGCTAACCCTAAACCTAATTCTACAAACCTGCCACGTTAATTATCCTAACCTGCTACGAAAAGTAACTTCTGCTAGTCAACACCGGCAGACCTGCCTTGAGAATAGTCTTGGTTTCCTCTAATGCGATACAGTGACTTTCTTCTGGTCAGGTCAAATGTTCAGGGAAAAACTCCTGCCGCTGTCATTTGTACCTATGGAAGTTTAGCTCTACCTTTCTCTCTCCCTCTCTCCTCCCTCCCTCCCCCCATCCCGCCTCCCCCTGTCTCTCCCTCTCCCCCATCCCCTGTCTCTCCCTCTCTCCCCCATCTCCTCCCTTCCCCATCCGTCTCCTCCTCTCTCCTCCCTCCCCATCCCCTGTCTCCCCCTCTCTCCCCCCATTCCGTCTCCTCCTCTCTCCTCCCTCCCCCCATCCCCTGTCTCCCCCTCTCTCCCCCCTCAGATCTTCCCTAGTTGGGAGCGAAACTTCACCTCTGAGGGCATCTGTTCCTGGGTCTTCGAGCACCGCGAGACCGTGCTCCAATGGCTGCAGCCGCCTGGCGCTAAGTCCCGCCTCCTGGAGCAGGAACTGACCAAAGGCCCTGCCCTCCTGCTCTTCCTGCCCCACAATCCCCTGGGGCCTGGCCCCGACCCGCTGCTGACGCAGGTGAGTCACCACGACAACAACAACGACCTTTACAACCAACAACCACTACTACAACTACTATAAAAACATTTAATATTTTTATGTGATTTTTATATCCACATTAATTTAACTCTTCGACCCCGCCCCCTTCTAGATTGCAGACATTGCGGTTCGCTACCATTCCTGTAACAACTCCCCTCACCACCACCCCTCTGACCACTACTACAGTGGACCCTCCCAGCCCCTGTCCACCCCTCTCTGCTGCCTCTCAGTGGCTCTTCCCGGGCCACACCCCCTCCCAGGCTCCACCTCCAGGGTGTGTGAGCTTTGTCTCAACCAGTCCCAGTCCAACCCGGGTAGCTCTCCCCGCTGCACCTTCCCCTCCCAGACATCAGGTGGTGCTGTCGTGCTCCAGTCCTACCTCAGACGATGCTGTCTACCTGTTGCTGTGACGGCGACGGCAACGACGGTTTCCTGTAGTAACATCCTGAGTAGCTACAGCCCGTCGTCAGGTCGCTATAGTGCCTGTTGTAGAACTCTGGGACAGCTAGGGGCTTCCCTGCCCCCACAGCAGGGGCTAGGGCTAGACAATGAGGGGCTAGGGACACCCCCTCCCTCACCACCCTCCTCCCATGACTCCTCCCCATCCTCTCAGGACCAGGAAGTAAGTGGGATTAAAGGGCTGCGTTGTCGGACCAATAAGACTCTCAGGTTCTATGTCCTGGACTCCGCCCTCCACTGGCCGCTGGCGGTGCGTCTCGGGGCGCTAGGCAACAACGAGATGGGTGGCGGCAGCCGGGGGGAGTTAGGAGGGTTGCTAGGCAATGGGACCAGTGTTGGCGCACGGTCGTTTGTGACCATCGTGAACCTGAAGGATGAGGTGCACTACGTTCTGGACCACAGAGGGACCGCTAGTGTTACGGAGTCACTGGGTAAGACTGGGGAGTTACTTGGTCAACTATCTACTGTAATGGAGTCACTGGGTAAGACTGGGGAGTTACTGGGTCAACTATCTACTGTTACAGAGTCACTGGGTAGACGCTGGGAAGTTACTGGGGTCAACTATCCTACTGTTCCGGAGTCACTGGTAATACTGGGGAGTTACTGGGTCAAATCTATCTACTGTTATGGAGTTACTGGGTCAACTATCTACTGTTACGGAGTCACTGGGTAAGACTGGGGAGTTACTGGGTCAACTATCTACTGATACAGAGTCACTGGGTAAGACTGGGGAGTTACTGGGTCAACTATCTACTGTTACGGAGTCACTGGGTAAGACTGGGGAGTTACTGGGTCAACTATCTACTGTTATGGAGTCCCTGGGCAGTTACTGGGTCAACTATCTACTGTTACGGAGTCACTGGGTAAGACTGGGGAGTTACTGGGTCAACTATCTACTGTTATGGAGTCACTGGGTAAGACTGGGGAGTTACTGGGTCAACTATCTACTGTTACGGAGTCACTGGGTAAGACTGGGGAGTTACTGGGTCAACTATCTACTGTTACGGAGTCACTGGGTAAGACTGGGGAGTCAACTATCTACTGTTAGGGTCAAACTGGAGTTACGTCACTATTATGTTACGAGTCACTGGGTAAGACTGGGGATTACTGGGTCAACTATCTACTGTACTGAGTACTGGTAAGACTGGGGAGTTACTGGGTCAACTATCTACTGTTAAGCGGAGTTTCACCTGTTAGAGACTGGGGAGTTATACTGGGTCAACTATCTACTGTTACGGAGTCACTGGGTGTAAGACTGGGGAGTTACTGGGTCAACTATTACTGTTACGGAGTCACTGGGTAAGACTGGGAGTTACTGGTCAACTATCTACTGTAGATCCTGGTAACTGGGATCAACTATCTACTGTTACAGAGTCACTGGGTAAGACTGGGGAGTTACTGGGTCAACTATCTACTGTTACGGAGTCACTGGGTAAGACTGGGGAGTTACTGGGTCAACTATCTACTGTTACGGAGTCACTGGGTAAGACTGGGGAGTTACTGGGTCAACTATATACTGTTACGGAGTCACTGGGTAAGACTGGGGAGTTACTGGGTCAACTATCTACTGTTACGGAGTCACTGGGTAAGACTGGGGAGTTACTGGGTCAACTATCTACTGTTACGGAGTCACTGGGTAAGACTGGGGAGTTACTGGGTCAACTATCTACTGTTACGGAGTCACTGGGTAAGACTGGGGAGTTACTGGGTCAACTATCTTTAACTGTTAACGGGAGTTCCACTCAGCGGGTAAGACTGGGGAGTTACTGGGTCAACTATCTACTGTTACGGAGTCACTGGGTAAGACTGGGGAGTTACTGGGTCAACTACTACTGTTATGGATCCTGGGGTTACTGGGTCAACTATCTACTGTTACGGAGTCACTGGGTAAGACTGGGGAGTTACTGGGTCAACTATCTACTGTTATGGAGTCACTGGGGAGTTACTGGGTCAACTATCTACTGTTACGGAGTCACTGGGTAAGACTGGGGAGTTACTGGTCAACTATCTACTGTTACGGAGTCACTGGGTAAGACTGGGGAGTTACTGGTCACTATCTACTGTACGGAGTCACGGGTAGACTGGAGTTACTGGTCAACTATTGTTCATGAGTCACTGGGTAAGACTGGGGAGTTACTGGGTCAACTATGTAGTAGGCAACAGACCTGGTTATAAATACCATTTGAAATTCAAATTCTGCAGCTGTGCTCGATTGAGCTTCCCTGGCTTAATGGACCAATAGAAAAGTCCTGAAACTACAAACCCCACCCATCTGGCACTCCAGGCAGGCTAAAGCAAAGTATTTGAAAGATTGCTAGTAGTATTTGAACCCAGGTCTGGTCTAGGGAAAGTAGCCAGCTTTACCCCCGGTGTGTCTTCTTGGCCCTCCAGAGATGTTCATCAGGAACTTCAGCACCCCCCACAGCCCACTGCAGAGACGCCTGGTGGGGAGGAGGGATGAGGAGAGGGAGAGGCCCCAGAAGAGACCCCTCATCTCAGAACTAACCACCACCTCCTTCCTCAGTAATGTCATGGATCCTCACAGGGTGGGTGAGAGAGAGGAGGAGAGGGGGAGAGAGAGAGAGGGCGAACGAGGAGGAGGAGGAGGAGAGGGCGAAGGAGGAGGAGAGGAGGAGGAGGAGGGAGAGAGAGGGAGATAACCTCACCCCCACCTCACACTGGTTTAACATCATAACTGTGTGATGTGGTTTGACAGACTTGTACTGGTCTTTAAAGACATGTCTTAGTTCTAATTATTCACTTCAGTTTAGACTGGTTTCTGGTTTCTGGAATGGACATTGGTTATGGCTATAAAAAGGCTATGGTAATGGCTTTTCTTCATGAATGTGATAAAATGACTTCCTGTTTTCCATGTTGTGTGTTCTCCAGGACGTGCTGCTGTTCTACTACAGCCAGTGGTGTGGCTACTGCTCTGTTCTAAACCATGTCATCATCCAGCTGGCTAGAATGTTCCATGGAAACAGCACCGTCACCATCGCCAGGTAGGGCTGGCTGGCTTGGCTGGGTTTTGTTTCTATTTTGTGACGTAATGCTGAGTTGGGTTGTTGTATTGATTTCTGTTTTTATTGAGCTTTTTTTGTTTTTTTATTTATTCCATAGATATTCAACTGTTTTAAAGTTAAACATCCTGTAGTAACAGGATGTGACGTCATACTGTCTCTGTGTGTAGGGTGAACGTGGCGCGTAACGACCTGCCGTGGGAGTTCATGGTGGATCACTTCCCCTCAGTCCTCCTGTTCCCCAGACACAGGTCAGATAGAACACACCCCTGTATGTACCATTACCTACTCAGACAGGTCAGACAGAACACACCCCTGTATGTACCATTACCTACTCAGACAGGTCAGACAGAACACAACCCCTGTATGTACCATTACCTACTCAGACAGGTCAGACAGAACACACCCCTGTATGTCAGACAGGTCAGACAGAACACACCCTGTATGTACCATTACCTACTCAGACAGGTCAGACAGAACACACCCTGTATGTACCATTACCTACTCAGACAGGTCAGACAGAACACACCCCTGTATGTACCATTACCTACTCAGACAGGTCAGACAGAACACACCCCTGTATGTACCATTACCTACTCAGACAGGTCAGACAGAACACACCCCTGTATGTACCATTACCTACTCAGACAGGTCAGACAGAACACACCCCTGTATGTACCATTACCTACTCAGGACAGGTCAGACAGAACACACCCCTGTATGTACCATTACTATCAGACGAACACACCCCTGTATGTACCATTACCTACTCAGACAGGTCAGACAGAACACACCCCTGTATGTACCATTACCTACTCAGACAGGTCAGACAGAACACAAACCCCCGTATGTACCATTACCTACTCAGACAGGTCAGACAGAACACACCCCTGTATGTACCATTACCCACTACTCCCGACTCACGGTCAGATAGAACACACCCCTGTATGTACCATTACCTAATCAGGACAGGTCAGACAGAACACACCCCTGTATGTACCATTACCTACTCAGACAGGTCAGATAGAACACACCCCTGTATGTACCATTACCTACTCAGACAGGTCAGAATAGAACACACCCCTGTAGTACCATTACCTACTCAGACAGGTCAGACAGAACACACCCCTGTATGTACCATTACCTACTCAGACAGGTCAGACAGAACACACCCCTGTATGTACCATTACCTACTCAGACAGGTCAGATAGAACACACCCCTGTATGTACCATTACCTACTCAGACAGGTCAGACAGAACACACCCCTGTATGTACCATTACCCTACTCAGACAGGTCAGATAGAACACACCCCTGTATGTACCATTACCTACTCAGACAGGTCAGACAGAACACACCCCTGTATGTACCATTACCTACTCAGACAGGTCAGATAGAACACACCCCTGTATGTACCATTACCTACTCAGACAGGTCAGACAGAACACACCCCTGTATGTACCATACCTACTCAGACAGGTCAGAAGAACACACCCCTGTATGTACCATTACCTACTCAGACAGGTCAGACAGAACACACCCCTGTATGTACCTTACCTACTCAGACAGGTAATAGAACAAACCCCCCCTGTATGTACCATTTCCTACTCAGACAGGTCAGACAGAACACACCCCTGTATGTACCATTACCTACTCAGACAGGTCAGAAGAACACACCCCTGTATGTACCATTACCTACTCAGACAGGTCAGAAGAACACACCCTGTATGTACCATTACCTACTCAGACAGGTCAGATAGAACACACCCCTGTATGTACCATTACCTACTCAGACAGGTCAGACAGAACACACCCCTGTATGTACCATTACCTACTCAGACAGGTCAGATAGAACACACCCCTGTATGTACCATTACCTACTCAGAAGTCGACGACACCCCTGTATGTACCATTACCTACTCAGACAGGTCAGACATTGTCTGTTGTTGAACACACTGTTCTCTTTGTACTAAACAAGACATGTTGGCTATGATTCACTAATATGTAAAGATATCCCACAGTCTCTCACTAATATGTAAAGATATCCCACAGTCTCTCACTAATATGTAAAGATATCCCACAGCCTCTCACTAATATGTAAAGATATCCCACAGTCTCTCACTAATATGTAAAGATATCCCACAGCCTCTCACTAATATGTAAAGATATCCCAAAGCCTCTCACTAATATGTAAAGATATCCCACAGCCTCTCACTAATATGTAAAGATATTCCACCGCCTCACTAATATGTAAAGATATCCCACAGCCTCTCACTAATATGTAAAGATATTCCACCGCCTCACTAATATGTAAAGATATCCCACAGCCTCTCACTAATATGTAAAGATATTCCACCGCCTCACTAATATGTAAAGATATCCCACAGCCTCTCATGCCTTATTTAGTTTGACTAACTAGTCTTATGTTACTTCCTGCCGCTCTTCGTCCTTAGGAAACACCTGTCCGTGAAGTTCCCGGAGGACACTCCCATCACTCTCCCCAACCTATTACGTTTCATCCTGAAGCACTCCGACTCCGCCCACCAGCCAATGAAAGCAGAAGGATCCGACCCTAACCCTCAGGTTCTCCTCAAGGCGGAGTTCCGCGCTCTACAAGGAGAAGTCCAAACATTACACCGTGCACGCCAGCGCCTCTCCAACCAACTGGCCCAGCTATGGCGAGACAACCGGCGGTTATCCTTCGACGCCGTGGCCCTGGAGACCCACAATGCACTGCTTCAGTCCCAGAATGGCGAGTTGCAGCGTGAGAGGCTGAGCCTAGTGGAGCAGCACAGGGAGAAGAGTCGTCAGTTAGGGGAGGCAGTCAGGAGGCTACAGGAACTAGCAGATGCATCAGAGAACCTTCTCACTGCGAGAGCCAGCACGCTGCAGGCAGAGGAGTCTTACAGCTGAGGTGAGCCTATGGGAGCCCTGAGAGTCTCAGAGGGGCAGTCAGGGTACAGAACGGGCCAGAGAACCGTTCTGAGAACACAGCGAGGGTCTACTGGAGCCTGGACGGGGCTGAGGGGAGGACGAGAAGGGTGTGGGGTGGGGAGGATGAGAGGGGGTGAAGGAGAGTTAGGTAGGGAGGAGAGAGGGAGCAGTAGGAACTTAGTCCTTTCTGAGATCTGTGTCCTTTTCACCCGTAGTGTTACGTGATTCCTGTAACGTGATGACGTCGGTGGAAATTATTGATCGTATGACAAAGCTTGGAGATGGATAATTGAGGAGAGAGAAACACACTGTGAGGTCTACGGGACCTGAGGAGGAGGAGAGGAGTTATATGGCCTCTTGACGGAGAGGGGGCATGTCATGCCATGTACTGCTGGTAGAACGGGAGCAGGAGAGAGGAAAGAGATGGAGAAGAGCCGATGAATCACAGCCTCTTCACAATACGGGGCCCTGACAGATGGAGGGAGACCAGATGAATCACAGCCTCTTCACAATACGGGGGCCCTGACAGATGGAGGGAGACCAGATGAATCAGAGCTTCCTAGAGGAAGGAGGAGACAGCAGCTTTATAACCAGGATGTCCTTGGGGGAAAGAAAGAAAGAAAGAAAGAAAGAAAGAAAGAAAGAAAGAAAGAAAGAAAGAAAGAAAGAAAGAAAGAAAGAAAGAAAGAAAGAAAGAAAGAAAGAAAGAAAGAGGGGTTAAAGGACATGATACTACAGAGAGAGGGTGCAGAAGAACAAGATAACTGTAAAATGTGTTGTTGATGACGTCTCTAAGCTCCGGACTTAGAATGTGTGGAACACTCTAGAATGTCCAGTGCCAACTCTATAATCAAAGGGCTAGCGGTCTAGGAGAAGGTTCGGGCCGTATCACAGAGAGAAACAAATACATGTCAAACGGGTAGTTGGTGACATGGAACTAAGCTCCATGGGCCGTTGAACACTATATAAATACGTCCCAAATGGCACCCTATTCCCTATGTAGTGCAAATGCTTGTATAGCTAATAGGGTGCCATTTGGTACATAACCCTAGATGAGTTTAGTAGTTGTCTTCTAAAGCCTTCTCGTTGGTTTTTATCATCAAGGAGCACCAAGTGAATTCTCCATACAGAATGTGTATTTGTTTTTGTTCATTGGTTAAATTAATCTATTTTTACAAGAATCGCTAGAAATACGTCTAGTTCTATGTAACGTTAATTCAGGTATGAAGATGAAGATGCAGCTGTTTACGTGTGAAATATTGCACCGATTTTTACTGATTAAAATGTTTAATTTAATCAACCGCGTTGTGAACTATTCGTTTTCTTCAGACCCGTATTTTAATACATTTGAAGTGGCGCGACTCTCGCTCACAGTTAGAATCGTGACGCAATGGCCTTCACCCGACGGCCAATAGGATTGCTGGTTGCATCTCGTCTGACATTGGTTGAGCAGCTTCTACTTCGCGCCTACCTTCTTCAGTATATAAATTATTTTACTGCAGATTGTCTGCTCAAAGAATCCCTCGTCTCTGAGTAGAACCTAGTCAATATGGACAGTAGAGGGCGCCACATGTCTGTAAAATCAGTTGGCCAGTGGTGAGACACGCTCACACACAACTATATATATATTTTGACCATGTAGCTCAGTTGGTTGAGCATTCGATTCCCACTGGGGGGCCAGTAAAAAAAAAACATATATATAAATAAAAAGAATGATGTATGCACTCACTAAACTGTAAGTCGCTCTGGATAAGAGCGTCTGCTAAATGACTAAAATGTAAATGTATATATATATACATACATACATACATACATACATACAGTGAGGGGAAAAAAGTATTTGATCCCCTGCTGATTTTGTACGTTTGCCCACTGACAAAGAAATGATCAGTCTATAATTTTAATGGAAGGTTTATTTGAACAGTGAGAGACAGAATAACAACAAAAAAATCCAGAAAAACTAATGTTATAAATTGATTTGCATTTGAATGAGGGAAATAAGTATTTGACCCCCTCTCAATCAGAAAGATTTCTGGCTCCCAGATGTCTTTTATATAGGTAACGAGCTGAGATTAGGAGCACACTCTTAAAGGGAGTGCTCCTAATCTCAGCTTGTTACCTGTATAAAAGACACCTGTCCACAGAAGCAAACAATCAATCAGATTCCAAACTCTCCACCATGGCCAAGACCAAAGAGCTCTCCAAGGATGTCAGGGACAAGATTGTAGACCTACACAAGGCTGGAATGGGCTACAAGACCATCGCCAAGCAGCTTGGTGAGAAGGTGACAACAGTTGGTGCGATTATTCGCAAATGGAAGAAACACAAAATAACTGTCAATCTCCCTTGGATTGGGGCTCCATGCAAGATCTCACCTTGTGGAGTTGCAATGATCATGAGAACGGTGAGGAATCAGCCCAGAACTACACGGGAGGATCTTGTCAATGATCTCAAGGCAGCTGGGACCATAGTCACCAAAAAAACTATTGGTAACACACTACGCCGTGAAGGACTGAAATCCTGCAGCGCCCGCAAGGTCCCCCTGCTCAAGAAAGCACATATACAGGGCCGTCTGAAGTTTGCCAATGAACATCTGAATGATTCAGAGGAGAACTGGGTGAAAGTGTTGTGGTCAGATGAGACCAAAATTGAGCTCTTTGGCATCAACTCAACTCGCCATGTTTGGAGGAGGAGGAATGCTGCCTATGACCCCAAGAACACCATCCCCACCGTCAAACATGGAGGTGGAAACATTATGCTTTGGGGGTGTTTTTCTGCTAAGGGGACAGGACAACTTCACCGCATCAAAGGGACGATGGACAGGGCCATGTACCGTCAAATATTGGGTGAGAACCTCCTTCCCTCAGCCAGGGCATTGAAAATGGGTCGTGGATGGGTATTCCAGCATGACAATGACCCAAAACACACGGCCAAGGCAACAAAGGAGTTGCTCAAGAAGAAGCACATTAAAGGTCCTGGAGTGGCCTAGCCAGTCTCCAGACCTTAATTCCATAGAAAATCTGTAGAGGGAGCTGAAGGTTTGAGTTGCCAAACGTCAGCCTCGAAACCTTAATGACTTGTAGAAGATCTGCAAAGAGGAGTGGGACAAAATCCCTCCTGAGATGTGTGCAAACCTGGTGGCCAACTACAAGAAACGTCTGACCTCTAGGGTTTTGCCACCAAGTACTAAGTAATGTTTTGCAGAGGGGTCAAATACTTATTTCCCTCATTAAAATGCAAATCAATTTATAACATTTTTGACATGCGTTGTTCTGGATTTTTGTTGTTGTTATTCTGTCTCTCACTGTTCAAATAAACCTACCATTAAAATTATAGACTGATCATGTCTTTGTCAGTGGGCAAACGTACAAAATCAGCAGGGGATCAAATACTTTTCCCCCTCACTGTATATATATATATATTAATATACACATACATACAGTACCAGTCAATAGTTTGGACACACCAACTCATTCAAGGGTTTTTCTTTATTTTTTACATTGTAGAATAATAGTGAAGAGATCAAAACTATGAAATAACATGTAGTAACCAAAAAAGTGTTAAACAAATCAAAATATATTTGAGATTCTTCAAATAGCCACCGTTTGTCTTGATGACAGCGTTGCACACTCTTGGCATTCTCTCAACCAGCTTCACCTGGAATGCTTTTCCAACAGTCTTGAAGGAGTTCCCACATATGCTGAGCACTTGTTGGCTGCTTTTCCTTCACTCTGCCGTCCGACTAATCCAAACCATCTCAATTGGATTGAGGTCGGGGGATTGTGGAAGCCAGGTCATCTGATGCAGCACTCCATCACTCTCCTTCTTGGTAAAATAGCCCTTACACAGCCTGGAGGTGTGTTGGGTCATTGTCCTGTTGAAAAACAAATGATAGTCCCACTAAGCCCAAACCAGATGGGATGGCCTCCTTGTAGCTCAGTTGGTAGAGCATGGCGCTTGCAACGCCAGGGTTGTGGGTTAGTTTCCCACGGGGGGCCAGTATGAAAAATGTATGCACTCACTAACTGTAAGTCGCTCTGGATAAGAGCGTCTGCTAAAATGACTAAAATGGCGTATTGCTGCAGAATGCTGTGGTAGCCATGCTGATTAAGTGTTCCTTGAATTCTAAATAAATCACAGTGTCACCAGCAAAGCACCCCCACACCATAACACCTCCTCCTCCATGCTTTACGGGGGGAACTACACATGCAGAGATCATCCGTTCACCCACACTGCGTCTCACAAAGAACCAAAAATCTCCAATTTGGACTCCAGACCAAAGGACACATTTCCACCGGTCCAATGTCCATTGCTCGTGTTTCTTGGCCCAAGCAGGTGTCTTCTTCTTATTGGAGTCCTTTAGTAGTGGTTTCTTTGCAGCAATTCGACCATGAGGGCCTGATTCAAACAGTCCCATCTGAACAGTTGATGTTGAGATGTGTCTGTGACTTGAACTCTGTGAATCATTTATTTGGCCTGCAATTTCTGAGGCTGGTAACTCTAATGAACTTATCCTCTGCAGCAGAGGTAACTCTGGGTCTTCCTTTCCTGTGGCGGTCCTCATGAGAGCCAGTTTCATCATAGCGCTTGATGGTTTTTGCAACTGCACTTTAAGAAACTTTCAAAGTTCTTGAAATGTTCCGTATTGACTGACCTTCATATCTTAAAGTAATGATGGACTGTTGTTTCTCTTCGCTTACTTGAGCTGTTTTTGCCATAATATGGACTTGGTCTTTTACCAAATAGGGCTATCTTCTGTATACACCCCTACCTTATCAGAACACAACTGCTTGGCTCAAACGCATTAAGAAGGAGAGAAATTCCACAAATTAACTTTTAAGAAGGTACACCTGTTAATTGAAATGCATTCCAGGTGACTACCTCATGAAGCTGGTTGAGAGAATGCCAAGAGTGTGCAAAGCTGTCATCAAGGCAAAGGGTGGCTATTTGAAGAATCTCAAATATAAAATATATTTTGA